GATTTTTATTGCTACTGATAAAGTTAATCGGTTCGTTTGTTTTTGTGCGGGTTCTACGTTTTTTTTAGCAGCTTTCAAGATCCATTGGGACGATCAGAAGAATAACGCCATAAACGATGACTTCCTACTGTACATCTTTTGACCCTTTTGCGCGTAACTCGTTGCTCCATTGATCACCTTGCTCACCCGCCATTCCTTTGTGCACTTTGAGTACCAAGTAAATTGGCCAAATCGTTGCGTAACAATGCGCTTTCACTCTACGGAGTTTTCGTTTCAAGGGAAAGCTGTTGGAACGTTCGAGGTTTGACACACGCATCACTTGTCACTATCCAAAGAAGAAAGATCTGTGTTGCGCTCTTCCTGAGCTCCTCGTTCCTAGACTACCTTTGCTTCCTGCTGACTCACGTCAGTACAGTATGTATTTGGTAATCCATTTGGAAGAATAGAGAAAGAAGGAAGAGGGCAAGAGCGGTGGTGCAATTTAGCATTCTGCACTTGCTTGACTTACCACGATCGATAAGATGCTACAGTGTGTTTTGTGATAGTTAGATTTTCACTTTTTCGGCAGTGAGATGTGTGCTGCTACTATTGGCATTTCTTGAAGTCTGGTTCGTTTTCTCCACACATTAAATACTATTCCTACTACTACAATGAGAGAAAAACTCACAACTACATGTTTCCTCTTTTCTAGATGTATCAAGTTATACTCGGTAGTGCTATTATTTGGTGCGCTAATTTCAGGCACATATTCATGCAACGAGTATTTTTAATCAACCAATGGATTGCAATTGTAGGAACGAGTGTAAAATTTCAAATTCTGTGCGCTGGTCACGAATCCGTAGTGCAACAACAACAGCAGCAAAGCAGCAGCAGTAGCAGTAGCACCATGTGAAGGCAGTAGGATGATTTTGGCGATTTTGCTTTTGTAAAGACATTGGCAAAACAATGACATAGAGGCGAATTAAAATTAGTACTGGTATAAATATTAGCTGCCGCTGTAGTCAGGTTCAAATTGATGATGATGGAAACTTTGCATGTGGTGTAACCAGAACTAAAAGAAACGAATTTTCTGGTGGAGGCCATAGACATACAGTAATTCGTTCTCACGGGAGAATATACAGAGAATCTATTTAGGCAGTGATGTTGTCCGTAATGTATGTGGACAGTATTATAAATTCTCTCGCTTCATTGCCAAGGCTTGCATTGCTGTTGGAACCGTGATGCTACTACTTGACAGGTTATACACCACTTTTTTTAACAATGTGTTGTTGCAGGTTTTCAACTTATCATGATCACATATTGACCCCATTCCATCTTCTCTCGTAAGTTCTTTGTAAAATAAACAAACTGACATCGTCAGACACGTTGTATACGATCTTTTACAGAAGTAGTAGGTCGTTCCAGACTAACCCTGTGTTGAAGATGAATCCTTTCCGGAAGTTCTTCACGATTTCAGACTCGGCGGCAGCACCCCAGTTAGCACAGTTTTACTATCGTGTCATTTTTGAGACCATATTCTTGTGTAGTGATGTTTTTTAGCTTAAGCCTATAATACCTCCAAACTTCCACTGACTATACGTATGTCGCCTGGGTCGCTTCGATGGCTTCTAGACAGCATTGTTTGCAAAACCTCACCCTAACCGGACCGACGGCTTTGACCTTCCAGAATTGTACGGAGCAAATCGTGTTTTTTTGATTCTATATGTTGTATATGTTGAGCGGAAAACCATCCTACGTGATGATGTTTGAGTATACAACTGAGGCTATTTTTGAGTCAGACGTTCATGCATCTCGTTGTTTTCATTGAATATGCGTCCTATCTATATATCTTGTCACATTGATTCTATCATTGTTGAAGGCGTGTGACATAACCGTCGAAACTGGTCATCTGATAATGAACAGTGAAGAAGAAGGTTGCACGTCTTGATTTGTGCTTCAGAACACCGGTATATTTGTGATCTGCTCGTTTTGACTCGCTGATTGTAAGTAAGTTACGAACAACCTCCTGCTACGATTTTTTTCTATCTTGTGGTATAATGTGAGTTGTGCAATGGTTGTTCCATGTTGTAGTCGATGCTCGTCTATGTGTCAGTTGCCTTGTATCATATCCTGGTAGTAATACTGCGGTTTAATATGCTGAATGTGATTTTTGTGTATCGTTATATTCTTTTGGGGTCGATGGAACAGAGTTGTGATCACCGCTATAGGTGTTGTTGCTAGTCCGTGTTGCAGCCAATATTAGTTTCTGAAGATGCTTCAATATACTCACAAAACTCGGTGTAAGCGTGGGTCTAATAGATATCATTCGATGCGCTACTGACAGTTGTACCTATAAAAAAATGCATTGATCTGCTTAAAGAGAATGAGACTGAGAACTTCTTGCCACTTTTTGAGAATGACTGTTACATTTTCTTTTTAATAACTGGAAATAGAAGGATTGTTAACGTGGTTAATTATGCATCTGCATTTAACTCTTGACTAGAATTTTTTTTTGCGGGGCCAAGTTATCAAGTATGTTTCTCCGTTTACAACCAGTAGGTATTTTAAACTTTTTAAAATACTAATATGCACGTCTGTGAGTACAACAACAATAACTAATCAAGGAGAAGAAGAGCAGGAAAAGAAGCTCATTACTTCTTCTTTATTTTCTCAATGCTCAACAGAATTATATTCTAATTCTGCCATAAGCATATTACAACCGTATATTTTTGCATGGTATTGATTTAATTCACTCTACTTTTTATTGAGCAATGACAGCTGTTTTCACAAACAAAAGACTATAATAAGGTCAAAATTGCGCGTTGAAAATAATCATTATCACAACAACTACTACTACAACTACAGTTTCAACGTAAGTATAATCATTTAAAAGACCGGGTCTCACTATTCGACTCACAATCTGCATCACTATACCTACTCATCCCTCCAATTTATTATATGCCACAGTACCTTTTACTTAAGAATGGCTCTCTTCGATATCAAGAACACTTTCATCTTCATGGTGATGCTCTTCTTCGCTATGGGTTTGGTGGCTCAGGTTCGCGCCCAGGAACAAGAAGACCTCGTTGAAGATGCTGCCTGCATTCCAGAAGGAGCAAGATGCGATAAACCCGTCGGCAAATGCTGCGGTCGTTTGTCATGCCTTATTGATGACGACAACCTCGTTTGGGTTCGTCGCTGCCTACAAGGTTGCAGTACTATCATAAGAATAGTAGACTGTTACAGTAATCTCAGTAACAACAGATGCTACTCCAGCGTCGACTTTACCTACTATACAGCTTGTTATCGTATTATGAACTTTATAATAAATTTGATATCCGTTTATAATCTATAAAAAAAGAGGATTGGTATTATTAAACTCTAATTGGGATTTGGTGTATACTGCTACTAAATAATTATTGCAGCATCCCGCTCACACAATAAACCGGTTGGATCTCACTATTTCATGATGATATTTCGTCCTACCGACAGCAACATTAACATGAATATATATGTCGCTTTTATTTTATGTTGCCAACAGTATATTTATCAACAAAGAACCGTTAATTCTTGATAGCGACAAGACAAAAAGATTTGATTTGAGATGGGAGCACGATGTATATCTGTGGTAGTAGCATACATGTATACACCAGCTGCTTCACATAGACAACAGGTACTTTATGCGAATGAAAGAGAGTTTGGACTTTTTTTGTTCCTGTTTACCGTCCTTACACAGTTTCAATGGCTGCCTTTTCAATAAAGCATGTGTGTATCACTACAATATCAGGTGATCATAGCAATACCAGTGTGTGCATACTTGGTATGCGGCATGGTCAATGCAGAACCCTCTCCACATATTCGTGTGACATTACTCAGGTGGAGGATAGACGTGGTGGCTATGTTGTTTGCGAAATGCAAGTCCATAAAAGTCTACAAGCGATAAACCATAATATCTGGGACTACTCACAGAGTCCAAAAAGCATATCAATAAAAGTGTGCATCCGCTGACCAACAACAAAAAAGAGGATTCTTCTCGATAAATCAAGTACATATCAGGACTATTGTGTATTTTTTTCGGGTTCTCTTTTTAGGATCTGGTGACTGAGGACACACATACATAGCTCTTCTTTTATTGCAGACTACGTACTACAAGTATGTCGATAACAGTCATCGTTTATATCATTTGCTTGATTAAGTTTATACAGTGATAATGAAGAGTAAAATGTTAAGCTACTTGGAGACTTTGGATGGTGTATTGCTCCCTAAAAATTAGGAAGAAAGCCAAACCAACGTACTATGAAGGCTAAAAAATGAAATTCCTTCTTGCAACACGACTTGACCGCGGGAAAACAGAAAGGAGCTAGGACAAGACAAAAGTAAAACACTTTTGTCAAATGCCCACATGTTCGGACTATCTGACAACATGACTCCGAATGAAAATACGGTCAATTTGCACTGCTTATATGAAGAAGTCGAGCAATTGCGTGGGGTTACAAAAATTCGACCATTTACCGAGTCTAGCAACTTGTGGGTACGTCAGCTCGTCGTCAATGTAATATAGAAGAAAGTAGCAAAAATACATGACATGGGCTAGTTATTGCTATAGTATAAGTAGATGTAATAAGTACGTTTCCCTAGAGTCATTATTATCTATTAATCTTCTTGGACAGGGGTCAATACTAAATGATGGGCAGGTTTTTTTTTGTCACTCCACACAAAAAACAATTTTTTTTTATGGTTCGCCGATATCCGGATCCCATGACCCCCATTCGGGTTAATTGTTTTTGAGTGTGTGAGCGTGTGCGTGTGTGCGCACGATGTTTCGCTCCGCGGAATGACAATAATTGAGGGGCAGAGAGTGGAGAAGAGCCGTCAAGTTCTGTTCTTCTAAACCCCTCCCCGTAACGTTTGTTTCTACGTCTTTCTTTCTTTTTGTTCTTTTCCTTATTCTTTTTCTCGTTTCGCCTTCCCCTGTTTTTCGTTACTTTTTTTTTTATTTCATTCCAAACCCTCAAACACTAATGATTGCCACTTCACCCAGTAGCCAGTTTGGTAAGCTATCAAAAGCGAAAAAATAAAAGACAGAAGTTGCGAGTTACTGACATGGTAAAGTAGTAGCTGTAGGCGACGAGCACAAACGCACAGAACCGATTCCTATATCTTCGCACTACGAAGAAGACGACACTGCTACGACCACAACGGCGGGAGCAACGCTGAGCATGGTTGCTGATACGGTTGAAGATAACAATGCTACAACACCTTGTTTCTCAGCCACACCCTCATCATCGCCATCAACGACAACCACATCGCCGTCGATAGCAGCTTTTGAAAAGCAAATGATGGATACAACAAACGCTCAAGTATCTCGATATCAAAACACATATTTTATGGACGGTGGCAACAGATTCATCTCGGTAAGAAGAAAACCTTAAGCTTATGTTTCCACACGTTTTCCAGCAGCTAATCACCGCATTCACAACAGTTACCGACGCTTGGCAATACAAACACCAAAGCCGCGTCTCACATTTCTCGCCTTTTTGAAGAATGGTTAGAAAACAAAATCTATCGTCACCCTTCGTCGAACTACGGATACGATCAGCATTTGCCCATTCTCGAGGACAGCGTCGAACTGCTAGCAGAAGATGTCTTAAACAAGCTGAAATCCAGACCACAGACCATGACAGGCATGTCCAAAGTTTTGGTCAAGGTCAGAACAGGTCATGTGTACACGTATCATCAGCTGCAGGACGGCCAGCCTTTGATTACTGAAGATATGGAAGATTTTTTTCAGCAGTTTCCTCTTTTTGTTGAAATCATGATTTACACGATGGGTGGTGATTGCTGTACCACTACTATGAACGACGATTCAGCAGCAACGACAACAACTGAGCTTTTGCTTGCTGTCGAAAATGCAACCATCAACCCCGAGAATCCGTATCGCATTATGGACGAAATCTAATATTTGGTTCCCCTTTCAAATGTTCTTCTTACCTGCAAGCCATCCCTTCCTTTACTTCATATTATGTACCTAATATCTAAATCCCAGCAACAAAACCCACAGACCTCTCGCTTTAGTTTTTTCTTTCTGTTTTTGTAAATATTTTCTTTTTTCTTGCATCATCAATATCATTATCCCTAAATTTCATATAAGCAAGGCTTTTTCCTTTATCCATCTTCATCTTCACTAGAGCTACTACTACTGCTACTACTACTAGCGTACGATACAAGTCCATTGTTTCTACTAACTGCGGTTACTACTGATGATGGTGATGGTGATGATGCTTCCGGTTTTGTATTGTTGCTGCTGGTGTTCCGTACTTGGTCACTATCAGTCCGGATCTTTTTATTTGGTCTCACCATGACATTATCCAATTTTGATTCGTCGTTTCGGAAAAGCCCTGCACTTTTTGATGAGGATGATGATCCTGTTGTTGATTGTAAGAAGGGGTCTGTTTTAAGTCGTGTTCGCATTGCTGCACGGACACCTAGTTCTTTTGCCACCGACGATGACGATGCTGACGTTTGCGCAATAGCTACTCCCTTGTGCTTCTTCTTAACAAATAACCCAGACACCGATTTCTCGAGTTTTCTATGATCAATTTCGCTAGGATCTAACAATACACACATCATCCACCCGTCATTATCCATCATCATCATCGAACATATTACCCAGCCCATACAGTTGGAAAATAAGGGTTTACTTGATTAAGAAAGACTTACCCGCATATTCGACCATTTCAGCCTCCAGACGGTCACTTGAGCTCTCGGGTAATAGTGGGATATGGAGGGAATGTTTATCTCGTAATTTATCAGTCTCTTGTTCTTCCAACTTGTCCTTCTTTTTCTGTTCACGAAACTTGCGCCGGAGTTGTTGTGAACGGGTATATGGGTCGCTCCATTGGTCGTCTTGCAAATGTTGTAGGTGCGTCAATACGGGTAAGCTTTCTTTTTCGATCTGCTTGTCCTTGACCCCATGTTCTAATCGATAGATTGGGTCACTTTCGAGTTTTTCTTTGGTTTCCTGATCTAGTAGTAGTGGTAAAAATGAGTCAAATGTGTGTGTGTATCTGTGTCTGTGTCTGTGTCTGTTTTTCACATAGAGCACCAAATATATCCCCTCCCACTTTGTGCAATGAGTAATAAAAAACGACTATACCTTGTAATTTGATCACTTCGGTATCTTCTTCTTTCCATTCCTCGACCTTCCGTCGTGCGCCATCCACAACCACAAACTCTGTGTTCTATTTTTATCGACAAGACGTTGATCAGATAAAACTCATCCCCTTCTTCTTCTCCACTCTCAATGTATTTACTTTTGGGTCCGTGTGTATTTCAATCCAGTTGCTGCATAAATGACATCGCATGCGGAATTGCCATATTGGCGTGCTATAATAGTTGCCAATCTTTTTCTTTTCCGCATTATAGCGAACACCTGGCAACAAGTACATATATGCGTATTAACAATTAGGCATATTTGATTTTCGCTTCTTTACTACGACGTTACCTTTGCCTACGTGATTGTTACAAGAAGTACACCATATGTTAAACGGTAACTCAAATCTTTCGTATCACCATCAAAAGGACATACATACACGTTATGAATATATATATTCGTATGCACACGACAAGAGAAGAAATATAGATACACATATATACGTGAGCATTTTTCATTTATGGTTCAATCCGATCCCCCGGTGTGTATTTCTCTCTCCTCTTCCTTTGAGGTATAAAGGAAAAGAAAAAGCTTTTTCGCACTCGTTTCCTCTCCCATTACCTAACAACAAGAATGCCTTGATCGATTTTGCGAGCTCGATCGCCTAGTGCGTGTTTTCCCACAAACTTATTGATCGATCCCTAACATTAACAGCAAGTTGCGCCATGACATTTGTTACAATATATTCAGAGCAGAAATAAAAAAAAAAGGGAGATGGTCGTTCAATTCATAGCTTACCTTTTCAGGCGTCCAGTCGGGAGGGTAATACTTGTTGAAAGGTTGCATTACTGAAATCGCAAGGAAAAAAAGTTGGGCTGGCGCGTAGCAGTTAAAATGCTCTCTGTTTAACCTTTCGACACACATTGCAACTCCGCAGTGCTTCTGGAACGTTGATTTTGTGCCTGGCAAACACCAAAAGCGAATACTTTACTCCATCATGTATACCATGATCTAGCACACTGTTGATATAAGCATACATGCAACACAGCAACAAATTAACAATGAAAATGTTTAGCTTAAGGTTAACTTAATGATACCTCAATGGGTTTGTGAGTATAAAGGATGGCAAAGTCTTGTGTGTTGATTTGAAAATCACATCAGGCGCGGCTACAGTAGTGTTCTTGGCAACATCCGCTGTCGTGCGTTAACTGATGAGGAAATGGCAACACAGTATCTTGGATATTAGACATAAACTTCTTCAAGATGTTTTCTCATCTAGTAGCTGTCCTGGTTCGATCTAGTACATCAATTCTTAAATATTCTTACTGTAATACCTTGAGTAAACCAATACTACCTATTTGACAGCATTTTCAGTTTGATTTTATCAGCATGTAGGCCAGCTTTATAAGAGCCTTTCAATTGACGCTCTTGACTTCGTGTGTGTTTGATTATGTATGATGCAAATGAAATGGTATCAATCTGCCGGATATGCGTTTGTATTACCTGCATCGCCGGCAATTAAAAGAACCGCGTTCCTACTGGGCAGGTGGTCACGTCAAACCGTTTTTCTTCTTTTGCCGCTGTTACTCTACCACTTTTACTCAGAACTCACCACTAGAATGACAAAAGCAGCACAAGTTCCCCGATTGTCGAAATTCGTGCGTCCAGGCGATACTTTACTAAGCATTTACAGTTACAGATCTTGACTTGTCAGCGATACAATACAATACAGTTTCCAGCAAGGACGGAAGAACTTATGCAGAGGACAATTACGATAAAGCATTAACGTTGTTTACGCAAGTCATTGACAATTTCAAAGCTGTGTACGAAATGCAAAACAAACAACACGATGCACTTGAAGATAATCAAAAAGCGAAAGCTGCAGTGGAAATGGGTGACAACAACGCGTCTAGTCCCGACGCGTATTTGGCAATAGCAAACTCTCGACTGCTACTACTTGAACGAAATATCCTCAATGCGCTATTAGTGGCATTCCGAAATAAAAAAAAATTGAGGTTCCAGCATCGGCCCCAGCACGCGATCCACTTGAAAATAAATACAATCAGTTCATAACCGCCATTAACAATCGCAACCAGTGGTTTCCCAGGTGAACTTTTATCTGTGATCTTGCTACACTTGTCAGCCCAAGACCGGATGCATCTGGCGTTTACATGCCATTTCTGATGCTACGAGAGCTAGCAATTGGCATATCTACGAAAAAAAGGCGTGAAGCGCTTGTTATTGACGCCTTTGCATCCATCGACACAATGACGTGTCTGACCATAACAAACAAGTGCCAATCTGTTTCTTCATTCCGGGTATCTAATTCACTGAACAGCGGGTCAGTAGATGGCATGATGGTAACCGGTTTACCTTTTTCGAATTCCATCAAAAAGGTCGCTTTCAAGGTGAATATGTGCTTCAAGGATACAAGCATCCATCACCACAAACTATGAGCTAGGGGTCAATCGAAGCTGCATTTGTTGTACACACAATGTTCTATTTTGGTAACTTTTAGTCTCAAGATGTGCTTTCGATCAACCTTCAAAAGAATGGCTGATAGCGCAGGTGCATAAATGCTTCTACATATATACATGATGCTGCTGGACTTTTCTTGCGGCGTTCATCATACCAACGATATTACTATGAAAAACGAGGGTCGGTTGTCAGCTATTTTTATGGCTGCTGATAGCTTTATCATTACATTGGACATTGATGAAGCAAAACTTTAAACGAAAAGACGACCATAGCAAGAAATATAAGAGACGTTTGGTACAGGGTGCAAAACCGACTGTAAAGAGTTCTCTGGTCTCCCGCATCAAATCTGAAGAGTTATTGCAGTTCAAGTCAGTTATTCGATATACACATTTTCCCGGTGTTGTAGTATGATCAGGGTTTTATATTAAGAAAAAGAATTTATACAATCATGTGAATAGTTTTATTGATACTATTAGTTAGAAGGTTATTTGTTTTGTTTCTTCTTGCGTAGGTAGAGGAGGGAGGTAACCGACAGGTTCGTTATGATGATAAGGATGATATTGTAGTTGATGATGAGAGTGTTTTGATGAAGAAGATAATGACGATGGTGCTGTTGCTGTAATTGCTGAAACAGTAGGAGTATATGTTCGAGCCCATAGCGTCAGTAATACGATCGTTAATATAAAGAACTAGAAAATAAATTATACTCGCAATTAGCTTTTGTCAATTATATGGGTTGACCTATCCAATATTTACCATAGTTCGCAATGAGATTTTGTCAACAAAGCCATTGATGATATCCGCCAGCGTTTCAGCAACAGCTCGTGTCCTATGAGATATCCCCGTCATCAATGATAGAAAAATAAAGTTTTAATAGGATAGGTAGGCACATCTATGCATTACAAAAATGACTTACGTTCCAATCCACATGGGTCTATAAAGACATTGTTGCCATTGCCTGCATAGTTCATCCATTGCCGGAACACGTGTGGAAGGATCGCATCGATTGTTGGCGTATTCCATTTGACAATTCAAGAATTCATCCAAGCGATCTAATAACACAAATGATAAGTTTCAGTGTTACAATTCAATATCCCCATATATTCTCTCTAGTACCCTATAACCGATATAGCCATAAATCCTGTACCTGATTCAAATGTCTCCAATTTTAAATTCACATCACGTTTCAAGGCGAGAGCAAACTGGATACCGACATAGACAGCCATGGTGAACCATGCGATATCACATCCGATGCGTATCAAACTTGTGGAGGAAAAATTAACACGTTAATTATCCACGTGCGTGTGTGTTTTGAGAGTTCTCAGCAATAACAGAATGTTTTACCTTGAGGCAACATAGAGTACGTGTTCACGATAACTGTAGTCTGGATTATGTGTTGATGGGTATATGTGTTGATGCAAATGCTGTTGTTGTGATGTTGGTGTAGAAGCACTGTGGCGCTGCCGTTCTTCGTCAAGTGACATTGGAACATCTTCATGATCCTTGTTGTTGTCTGGGTTATTGGCAGTGGAAGTATTAGTGTTAGAAATGGTTGGGGCTGTCGAAATATCGGGAGGTGTAGCCGGTGGGGTTGACAATAACGTGTCCTGTGATGATGTCTGGTTATAGAATGTTAACACCCATATCAATTTCTCTCCGTTATAAGTTTATATAGATATTTACTAATAAATCGTCGGTTTGTATTTCGCGATGTTCTACAGATCGTTCTTTTCGCTGTCGTTGTTGTTGATCGCTCAATTTGATTCCGCCAAAATGCATCGACACGTCGTCAACGTCTTTGGTATTCGTAGCAGTAGTAGAAGATTGTGGTAAAGGATCACCAGGCGGTGGTGCGATTGGCTCGTATAGAGATCGATCGATCATTTCTACAAGTTCAAAGAAATCATATAGGAAATGATTAGAAAGATCGTATCGTATTTTAATTGTGTGCTCCAAGTAAATTTAGAAGGTTACCTTGATCTTTGAGTGGAGGATCGAATGCGCTATAAGGGTAGGGTTGATACTGATATTCGAATTCCATGGGAGCTTCCTTTGTTCGCTGGAAGAACGCCATGGTGGCAGAGATCCAGTTACAAAAGGGAGAAGAAAAATAAAAAGAGAGCTATGGATTAAGGCAGTAAGCCTGGCTGGCTTTTTCTCGTCTTTTCACTTCCACACTTGAGGCACCTTGTGCTACACCAATGCAAGAAAAGCTGCGAAACCCGACAACAGATCACGCTTGGCTGGCAACAGGTCGCGTTGACAATCCTGACCAAGCTGTTGCCATGAACACGTTTCTATGATCCCTGAGATTTAGTTATCGGCGCGTATATGTGATACATAACCATATGAGTGTGGACTTGCTCTTTCTGCCACATGTTAAAACTGTTGTGCTGCTTAATAAGAAGATTGCTGTTATTATTACAAGCTTCCATATCAGCAAATGGCTATTACGTAAACAGAATGAGAATGAAAACAAACAAGTATGCGGATAATATGAGCCTCAGCAACAATTAGAGCACATTAATGGACTTAGTGCATAAAGTGAAATAAACATACACACGTTTTGCACGTACACATTGCAAAGACAAAGATCACTTTGAAGAATTTGAATTCCAGTTCAAACGCATTGAAGGTTGCACAGAATCCAGGTCCCACGAAGGACACATACGCACGCTTGTGCCAATCCTTTCTTCTTTTCTGGTATAAGTACAAGATACCACCCCTCCACTTGTTCTTTGTTCTTCTCGCCATACATAGTATTTCATACCACTTTTTCTAGCAACTCACTTTTGCCTTTTTTCTAAACCCTTCATGTCCAAAGGTTACACTTGGGATCAGATTCGAAGCCAAGTGAGATCTTTCAGGTCACGAACGCAAGCCGCTTTTCCATTCCATGCTCTAACGACAATCAAGGACTTTCACTTTGATGCCACGCTCAACAAGCTCTATTTCTTATCCAACAACCAAAATGCCGACGGTACCATGAGTCGGCATTTGACCTTGTACGAAGTCGAGTATGGTGATGATAATATTGCTACAACCACGCAATCTCAGTTACGTAAGTAGATACGAATACTGCTTTTTTGCGACGACGAACAACAGCAACTAATTGCGCGTTGCCCTTTTTCTTTTCTTTCTAAATTACGGGACATTGTTTGTGTAGCGGCATTGGACGAGCATCCCTACTTGACAAGGTTATTCAAGTTTCCTTTAGCAGAGTGGGCACCTGTATTTACGAAATATACTACAGCATCCGTTTCGACTTTGGATGATGATATCATGTTTTCGTCATCAGATACCGGAGGGGATGATAGCAACTTGCATCCGATCCAGGGGATCGCGCAGTATCAAATGGCAGGAAACAAAGTCCTATTCTCGTTCAATGGTGGTGTCTATCTCGGTGATGTTGGACGCGTAAGTCAAAGAAAGTGATGGTGATGATGAAGGTTTGAATTACAGGAGGTTTCCGATACCGTTGACTTGAATAAAATGATGGAAAACTGACGTTTGCTGGGACAAAAAAAAAGATCTCCTCACTAGTACCATATTATACCGAACAACATGAACAAAGGGGATTGCATGATCCAGCATTATACTTATCACAATCCACGAGTCGATCCGAGTCACCACCATCACCACTTCAAAACGGCATGATGACGATAGATCCTCCTTCTCCTAAACAAGCAACAACAGCAGCTACAGGAGGGCGTCGTGAATCCTTCTCCAAACAGCATCCAATGCGGAACGATCCCAAGCTTGGCAACGATAACCTCATAGCGTTTATCCGTAACCGCGATATTTGGGTTGTGACACCTGATGGCTATGAAGTACAGCTAACTACCTGCTCGCTTCAGACAGAGGATCCTACATTAAGCTGCGGCACGGTCGAATATATCATGCAGGTAAAATATATACATATAATTGACTTGAGTGCTGTGGAAATAACTTTGTATGAGAGCGGATTTTGCTGAAACTGAAATTTGCTGTAGGAAGAATTCCAACGGTATGCGGGTTATTACTGGGGTCCGCCAGATAGGTCGATGAATAGAATTTTATACCTTGAGACATCCGAAGAACAAGTGGAAGTGGTGTTGATTACCAAACCTGCGCCTGGTATACAGTCTTCACCATCATCATCATCATCATCATTCCACACAGATAGCCGCAGTGGGTCACCAGTCAGGTATCCACGTGCTGGACGGTCGAATGCAATAAGCGACATGCAGATGGTCTATTTTGATGCAGTGAAACCAGGTCATCCAACAACAGTGATCCGTAAACGGTTGTGGGGTGGGTCCCTTAATGAGCGCTACCCATGGGCAGAATATATTGTGCGATTTGGCTGGCTTCCGGATGGGCAAAGGTAAAAGAATGGATAGTATTATCTATATTTTGCAGACAAGGAAAAGAAAAAAGCGGGGGATATTATTTTTGACCGCTCTTTTTTCAGTGTTTGGGCACAGATTTTGTCAAGAGACCAGCAACGAACAATTGTACTCTATATTAAATGCGATCAGTTCGTATCTGAAGAGGAATATCGACGCGATCCCAAACCCACACATTTTGAAGTATTATGGGAAGAGTATTCGGATGTTTGGATCAACGTATCAGACGGTTACTATTTTTTACAGCAACCATCCATGGACGACTGTACAGAATTTATATGGAGCTCAGAAATGTCCGGTTTTCGGCACCTTTATTTCGTACGGCGCCGTAAGAACCGATCGCCCAAGAATAACAGCAACTGTAACGGATCTAACCGTTTATTGGAAAAAGAAGAAGAGAAGGAGGAGGAAAACCTAGTACAACAGCTGACATATGGTGATGACTGGGGATTAACCGACCAGTCCATTGATGTTGACGAGCGCAGGAAGCTCGTTTACTTTAAAGCGAAAAAGGACACGCCTCTGGAAACCCACTTTTATGCTGTATCGTATCAGCAACAACAGTCGGCCTACACCAGCAACATTGAATATAGTCCAATTGTACGATTGACGGAGCTGGGCTTTAGTCATAACGTGACGATCGATACAAATGCAGACGCGTTTATTGATTGCTTTTCGAGTTTGCATCATACCCCATGTATCGTAATACGCCGGATAGACTATCATTGTCACAGCAGTGACGATGACAGTGATGACGACTTTATATTACCAGCTGTATCCGAAACACGTGCAACCCTTTTGATTCCATTGGCACGGTGTGGTAATGAGGAAACAGATCCTAGTAATGCTGATGGTAGTACAGCAGCAGCAGCAACAGCAACATCAGGAGGATCGGGAGGAGGAGCAATGGCTGGAAGTTTTGAAGATTCTTCGTCTTTAAAACGATTATCTATAGCACAGCAATCACTCGTTTACGTTTCGCCCACCCTGTTAGAGAGCAGTAATACATCCAGCAACGACAACTTGCAATATTGCAAATCTGACGGAATTGAATATTTGCATGATACAATGAAAAGCAGCACAATTGAGTCGTTTGATGCAGAAACTCAGACTGTGCCTGCTGGTGAAATTTTCAATTTTGTGAACCAAGATGGTAAGGGAAAAAAAGACTAATATACTTTGAGAGATAAGGGTAAATGGGAACATTAATCACTAAAAAATAATAAAAAAAAGGTGTGCGACTCTATGGCTATCTGTACAAACCTCGGCTCTACCAACCGGGTGCAAGTTATCCAACCATTCTCTATATTTACGGTGGACCAAAAACTCAAATGGTGATCAATGATTTCCGGCTACCAAGACTACAACGATACTTGATGTCGGTCTATTTCGGATTCGCTGTGGTAGTGATTGACGGACGAGGATCTAGTGACCGCGGCATTCAATTCGAGGCACATTTGAAGCATCGGCTCGGATCTGTGGAAATGGACGATCAAATTGCCGGACTGCAGCACATATGCGACGCGAAAATCGGGGCAGAAGCAACATCAGATGGGACATTGGTGAGCGTCGTGGATATCAATCGAGTAGCCATCAATGGCTGGTCTTATGGCGGCTACTTGAGTTTGATGGGGTTGGCTCAGAGGCCGGATATCTTCAAGATTGCAATTGCGGGCGCGCCAGTGACTCAGTGGGAATTGTATGATTCGGCTTATACGGAACGATACATGGGCATGCCCATGACAAATCCTGCAGGATATCAGTCGGGCAGTGTAGTGAATAGGGCAAAGCAGTTTCCGGATGGGTAATCTTATGTTCTCGCTTGCCATTATATTATATGTGATTGATTGAAGTGGATCTAATTAAAATGTTATTATAGGGAACATCGCTTATTGATTGCACATGGATTAATTGACGAAAATGTGCATTTTACAAATACAGAAATGCTGGTGTCCAAGCTGGTCAAGCACAACAAACCGCACTATCTCCAGGTGTATCCCACAGAAAGGCATGGTCTTCGTCATGCCAGCGTCAACGAGCATTTTGAAACTTTAATGTTTTTCTGGTTAATCAATTATCTTTAAAAAAAATGTCTACATTATTATACGCAACACACACACACACACATTTGTAAATTATATACCCATCATCCCACTTACACATCGCAGAACGCCCCCCCCCTTCCATAGCTATTTTAAATTATGTATGTATCTTAAAGAAGTATCATCCGAACATACATCATACATGCACTTGCTTTTTTTCTGTACTTGTAACATTCAAGTGCAACACAAAGACGATGTTAGGGTTCATGTTGACCATGTAATAGTGGGTGTCACTGCTATATAAAAACTACTACATGGGTGCTATTTCATACTTTGTTTGCGACGCAACGCTCTCTAAGCAACTTGGATGTGTTCTTGTCATATGCATCCTGGCGACAGCTTGTTATATTATCGCATGCATGTGCCTCTGGCAATCGGTGGCGACCGCAGTATTTGGATTCGCAATATCGGCATTCACCAATAATTTTGACGGCCTTGTCTGTGCAATCTCCATAGGCACATCTAATTGCTTTGCTTGCGCGCCGAGACTGTTGCTGAGAATGAGACAAAGTGGAAGGAAGGCTGTCATCATCTGCTGTTGTTGTGACAGTAGTAGTGGGACATCTGTCACTGTTCGCTGTCGGCATGATAGGAAAGTTATCTAAGAAAAAAAAAAGAACTAAAAAAATACTTGGGATCGTCAACATGCCTCATAGATGATACTATATATATCACCCAGCATTACATGGATCTTACAGGTTTGGAAGTTTCTGCTTCTGTATTTTTGTGTGATACAAAGCAAAGCTAGCAGCATTTAGCAGAATAGATGAGTGGCGATCCACGCTATACACAAATAGTCGGATTTCGATTAGGATGAGCACTGCTGCTATCTAAACATAAACATATACATTGTCTTATCGTAATACGTACATAATACTATGTGAATGCACGCGTGGTATTCCTCTTTCGGCGACTTTAATGAGTTTGTATAGCACAATTCTGTAGTAAATACGACAGTTTGTGGCGGTAAACAGTAAACTAGCAATATAAACAAAGTTTTATTTTTAGGTTGTGATTCTAATTATCGGGCTTAGACCAGAGAGTGTGATTTACGCCATGAAACGCACGGATACTTTATCGTTAGTCTTGGTTGATCACAGCACACATTCTAATGAAGATAGACGGCAGAACACATCCCAAGATAAAGAGAGTCAGAGTAGAAGGGCGCGGCGTTTCTATCAAAGCCTTTCTTTCCCCTTTCCGTAATAATATGTACATATAGTACGCAGCGTCCGCTGCATATTATAAGGAGCCTGGCACTTCTCTCTTCTTCTTTTCTTTTTTGCTCACTCACATACATTCTCTTGTTATTACATCTTTGAGGGGTTATTAAGTGCTTTTGTGCAGCAGCAGCAGCAGCAAGTGGATAGACTTATATATAGCCACTGCAATCGATAAAACAGAATTTTTTCTTTTCTCTTTCTTTATATCATGCCAGGAGAAGCAGGAATCGGTCGTTGGCTTCGCTCCAAGAAACCAAACAGACGTACTCCTAACAGATTGCCACCTGATGCGCTTGCCGAAGGTCAAAGTTATCTTTTGCAAGTCTCTTCGGGTGCTTACATTTCAATTTTTAAAGGTTCGTCGTTGTATTAATAAAAAAAAGCTCAATGCAATACATTTTTTGACTATTTTATCTTTATCGTCTTGCATAGGCGTGGACGAAGATCTTTACGCATTTTCCATCTTACGCAAGTATTTACTTTGATCCTTTATTTCTTCTAGAAGAATCTTCTCAGGTTTACGTAATTACGCGCTCTATATGTGTATTTATCTCTGTATGTGTATGTGAATCTTTAAGCAGGTTACCAAGAGGACGGGTCATTGCGATGGCTCGAGGCTAGGTAATATCCAAAACACTACAATTTGGTAATATAAAGAGTATCAAGAGAAACTCATTGGATTTTGGGTACAGATACCTAGTTGGAGACTTTTATGCTTTCCCAGCATTTGACGAAGCATATAATCCATTGGTCGACTTTTGGTACGCTCTTGGGGCCAGTGTGGGACAGTATTTGCCACAACAATGGTTTAGAATGTTTGAAGAAGCCAGTCGAAAGGAGCGCGAAGATGCTTATGACGATGAAGATAAAAGTCGTCGAGAAGAAGAAGAAGAAGAAGAAGCAGAATGTCGTCAAGACAATCGCGTCGTCGCTCACATCAGCAGCAGCGTCAGCGAAAAGAACCTGAGTACCCGCAGAAAAGAGGTCATGACGACAACAGAAAGAAAACAAATAACAAGATCAGCAACGTCAGCGTCATGCAGGGAGAGACCTGCTGCTGCACAAGTTTTATTTAGTGGCCAGCGAGCTCGACGTGCTAATACCACTACAACTGTTGCTTAAAGAAAGAAGCGACAAGAACAAGTTGACAACCAGAACACACATACACACATAATTTACATGTACCATCTCTTTTTCTTATTTTTCTTCGATTATCTACCTCTCTGTTCTTTTATCTGTCTTCTCTCTCCTTCTTTCCTCATACTTTTCGAATCAATAAAAACCATAAACGGGGCAGTGATGGAATCTCCTCCTCCGAAGAATAAAAAGCGAGGCATCAATGGTGGCCGGTGGTTACGCATCAAAAACTACTACATCAAGAATAAGAAAAGCGGCAGGAGGGCGTCCTCTTCCGCCTTTTCCTCTTCTCCGGATGAAATACCGCCCTATGCACTTGAACCTGGCAGGAGTTACCTCCTCAAAGTATCGTCCGGTGCGCATATTTCCTTATTTCAAGGCAGGTTTTGCTTATGAGCAGCAGTATAAGTGTGGAAAGAGAACCGGCCATGTTGTAAACTTAGAGAAGTCTAAAAGCATAACACGGGCACTCACAACCTATGCACACTGATCTTTTTCTTTTTTTTTTTTGCTCACCACGACGATCAATTACGTATGCGCATGGACCAACAGGCGTGGAAGACGATGGCCTGTTTAAATTTTCTGTTTTACGCAAGTTTTTTGCATGAGAAAATTAAACGTATAAGAAAGCAACACCTTAACCAATCAAGTTACATTTATAGGTCATCATGTGGATGAGATAGTTGTGCCCCGTCGATGGTTGGAAGCACGGTATATACATTTTACATTTATAACCATACAGTCCATGTTATCATTCACTTGATTAAGCTCATATCGTTGTGTTTTCAAGATATCTTGTTGGTGACTTTCATGCATACTGTGCTTTTGACGAGTATTTTAATCCGCGTGTGGACTTTTGGTACGACCTTCTTATCTTGGCAGCAGCTGCTACTGACAGCAGTAATGAACATCAGCAGCAACTGAAGCAGCAAGTTTCTACAACAGCAGCAGCAACAACTACAACGCTACCAATACAATGGTTTCTTATGTTTGAGGAAGCTTATCGGAAAGAACAAGAAGCCACTGTCGTCGCTACTATGCAATCTCCTCCAGTGTCACAGCCAGTAACTCCATCTCCGGAGCAACTATCTCCATCACAGGATACGCCACCCGAGCCTCAACAAGAGCAGCAACATCAACAACAGCCGCAAAGGCGGAATTCACAACAGCAAGAACAATTTATGCAGCTACCCTTCATCCGAGAACAAGAAACAGAAACAATGTCGTTCAAACCCTTCCATCGCGAAGCAGACAGCCCTGCACACTTATACTTGGATCTCTTTGGTCATTCTAATGAGCACCAACAACAGCAACATCCAGGAGGGCCAGTAACAATTGACAACCACAATCAAGACCAGCCTGTTGAGCGTCCAACAAGATCTCGGCGCACATCCATTCGTCAAATAATAATGAAAAAGATAGCACCCATTTATGAATAGAAGAACGATGATCCCACTAGGTTACGATACGTCGATTCGCGTGTCTTTTTAGCATAGTGTTCTTCAATCTTATCCTGCTGCCTCCGTAACTCTTTCAAATGATCTTGTCGTTCCTTTTCCAATTGTTTCAAAAATTCAGCTCGTTCCACTGCAAACGGCGGTGTTTTGGTTTCGTATGCATGCTTCACGTCTTGTAGAACCGTCTCCAACGTATTCATATCCTCTCGTACTTTGTTACCTTTATACACACATTTTGATCCCTTTTGAGTTTTCTTCAAATCTAAAGAGGCAGAGTTTCTGTCTTTTTGCTATAGATTAAAGATATGTACCTTGAGTTATGGCACTCTGTAAATCATCCTCTCGTGTTTTTGCTGTCTGAAGACTTTGGCCGCAGTTGGTGAGTTGGACATAGGCTGCTGCTAGTGTATCTTCTTTGACGTGATCGCTTTCCTATGGTTGTAAAAACGGCGCATGTTTTAGCAAGACAAAGACAAGCAGCTTTTTTCTCTCGAGACCGCCTACAAGAAGAACTTGCCTCGAAGACGTGAACGAATTCAGTCAAGTCGCGTCGCAAATTACGATGCGCTGTCTCAAAGATGGCATGATCCAACTGAGCCAAATCTGTAAACAATGCACAAGAATTAGTTGAGTACATTAAGATCTCTAAACGATCGCGATCGTTGACTAAACAAGTGCTCATACCTTCTTTGATCGGTTGAGCAGTAAAGTGAGCCATAAGTGGGGGTATAATATACGGGTGAAAGGTTTATAAAACTACCGTTTGATCATTGAAATTCAGATAACACAATAATCACAAAATTATGCAGCTTGTTTTTGCTCGAAAAGTACCTGCAAGCGCTCTACTCATACAAAAAAAAACCTGCAAGCGCTCAAAAAGGCATTATGGGTTGCAAGAAAGTTGTTCGTGTCAGTATGATAGATACGATATGAAGTTTCTGGCTATGCATGTAATGAGTTGCAAGTGTCGTGGATGGATATGGACGCACCAATTTAGCGTCATTTCATCTTTTGCGGCTGCTCCTCTCTTACTTTTTCTCGGAGAACTATCAGTTGAGAGTTGTCGTGTATCTTCAAGATTAATGTGCCTCGAGATCCATCTAGTGGCGTTATCGGTTGGAGAAATCTGAGGCTTACTGAAAGAGAAATTCGTGTGAAGAAATAGCTCAGCTAATGATTGTTCTTCCGTGAGGGGTTAGCCATCCATCATCTGTCCTTTTTGCACTAAAGCCACCATCCATAACTGAAGAAATAAAAAGATGCGCAACCAAGTAATATACTTAGTTGTATAATCACAGAGTGTCCCTTCTGGTAACTTGTAGTCTGTATAGTTAACGACAGTCTAATAAGCTAATATGTCAACGATAGTAACACCAGCCCCGCTGGCCAATAGACTCGCGCCGCCACCTTTTTATGGCACAGCTTTTTTTACTGAAAACTTTTTGACACCCACACGCTACCCTAGACACGAAAAATGGAGGAAGAGCGATCGCCCAAGAGACAAAAGTCAGAGGAACCCGTTGAAACCGAAATCGAGTATTCCGTAGAAGAGCTCAAGAAGGGAGCCGACTTTATTGATGCCATTAGTGCTGGTGATCTGGTAAATTGATCGTTTACTTTTGACTTGGTATATCGTTGAGGGGGCGGGCGAAGGAATAAAGGGCGTAAAGTATTCAAGAAAAGCTGGATTGATAGGAAAAAGCCAAAACGCTGGAAAAAGAAGGTGCAGATATCTGCTTTAATGGCAACGAACAAGGCCGAACACCACTTCACTATGCAGCCGAAAAGGGACACAAAGATATCGTTAAATGGCTGCTAAGTGAAAGCCATCCTTACAATTTGCTCGACAAGGATCAGGTCACTGCCGGCGAACTTGCATTAAAAAACAAGCACAATGATATCTACGAGATGCTGGTGGAAGAAGGCACGCGCGCTGAACTCTTGCTACGCGCATTAAAGGCCAGTTTTGCTGCTGAAGATGATGATGACGACGACAAGGTGGAAGAGGGCGAGAAAGAAGAAAAGGACAAGAGAAAGACAAATGTGCCCAACGAAGAGTATTTAAACCAAAAGCTACATTATGACGATAACAAGTTGATGGACGAGAATAACGATGCTGTGATGATGGGTTGGGAAGGTCCGCTGATGGTAGAACACGCCAAGGTCATGTGTCCCCGTGAAGGTTTGGATGTGCTCAACGTTGGCTTTGGTTTGGGCTTGATCGATATGGAATTGCAAAAATACAAGCCTCGCAACCATTTCATCATTGAGGCACACCCGGATGTGTATGCACATATGAAGGAACAAGGATGGGATAAGAAGCCTGGTGTTACTATCCTGTTTGGACGGTGGCAAGACATGGTACCAACTTTGACACAAGCTTTTGATGGTATCTTTTTCGACACGTATGGAGGTAATGACAATTTTCTAGTTCTATTCCCGAGAGAGAAATAGAAAGATGGCCACAGGAAAGCACTTTACATGCAGTTATTAAACGCAGGCACCGTTTTCATACATTTAGAGTTCTACGATGACCTGCGCGCATTCCATGATGCCGTGCCCAATATCTTGAACGAAGGCGGTATCTACACATGGTTCAATGGTCTTGGTGCCACCAACCAATTCTTCCATGATATCTATTGTCGTGTGAGCGAAGTTGACCTGCACGACTTTGGATTAAGTACCGAGTATGTCGATATACCAATTGCAACGGCCGACGAAAAGGGTGTATGGGATGGTGTTCGTCAACGGTACGTTGTCTTCTTTCTATCTAACAACACTGGTATATCGTGATCTCAAAAATGAACTAACTCTTTTTTCACATCCTCATTTTAGCTATTGGGTCCTAGATACATATAAACTTCCCATCTGCAAATTCCTGGATTAATTCCGTAGTAATAAAAAGAAACTCGCCATCCCAACCTCTTCCTTTTCTTTTTGCTGTACATAATAAATTACCCAAACATATATGGAAACTTTTTGAGTATTGGAGGGATGAGTAATGACCTTTTATTGTTTTTTGAGAGAACAAGGTAATTTAAGCAATGAGCTCGACGGCTACAATAGAGTGGAATGATAAAAATGATCATTAGCACCAAACACTTTTTTTCAATACTAAGTTGACCTCCACTAGCACTCAAAAAAAGTTGAACTTACCACCACCAGCAGCCTTGATCTTCTCCTCAGCACGACGAGAGACGAAGCGAGTGCGGACAATAACGGGCTGGGCAACGCTACCCTTGGCCAAAACCTTGGCGAAGCCATTCTCCAAAGCGTCAACGACGGGAACCTTTTCGGTGTTCTTGTACTTTTCACGGACACCCTCACCGGCCAAAGACCAGATCTTGTCGAGGTTGACAATAGGCTTCCAGTACGCGTTGGGCTTCAAGTGGAAGTGGCGCATACCGACCTTACCAAAGTAACCAGGATGGTACTTGTCCATGTTGATACGGTGATGGTGCTGACCACCAGCAAGACCACGACCACCGGGATGCTTACGGTGCTTGCCTATATAATTCATACACATTGTTATTATATAATGTTTGGAAGATTTAATTATCGTTTGACCAAGACGGTATGAAATATTTACCAACACGACCGTGACCGGCAGAGACGTGTCCACGCTTCTTTCTGTTGTGGTGGAGTCTGGTAGGCTATATTACAAATGAAAGAGAATTAAAAAAATGTCAATTCAACATTATAGATCTCATACACATATGGAGGATATGATAATGCTTCCCCCCCTTTTTCATCCTCCATCAAATCCATCCAGATAGACTAGTCATCCATCCATTCGAATACACCCCTCATAATGACTTGTAGCATCCTCTCACTTGTGTCCTGGTCCATCATCGGCCCTTATACATACCATTTCGGTTGAAAGAAAGAGGAGGTGTAAGCTTTGCTTCCGCCGGTGTAATTGAACTGCAGTCGGAATTATTATCAACCGGAGGTACTTTTGCTAACAATGCTGGCGGAGGCTGCTTTTTCCTTTATGCTACCCAAATATCTGCTAAACTGTCTTTTCTTTTGTTCCGGTTATATATATATATTCATCGATAGCAAAATTCTAATAGACATAGTTGACGTTCTTTAAAATACTATTACTTTTTTATGTATGAGAAAAACAATATCAATGATAGAAGAACTTGTTGGTTTCAAGTATTACATCTGCCTTCAGTAAAGAATCTATGTGGTTTCATTAGTAGATAAAATAAAGCTTTTTATTAAAGTAGTAATTAAAAAGAAAATGCATTATGAGTTGTTGGTACTAGTTGTGTTTTCATGCTGTTGTTGTTCGTCTTGATGTTTTTGCTTTCCTTGCTCTGAGCCTTCAAATTTTTCCTCATCCGCATCCTCCTCTTCATTCTCGCCAACAGTTTTATCGTGATCACCATTATCAATACGAGCGTTGTTACTATCGCTGTCGTCGTCATTGACGCTTTCACTGCCATCACTGCTGCTGCTGCTGCTGAAGCTTCCGTGTCTATCACTCAACCTACATGTGTACATGTCAATGTTTAGTTCAATCCATTACCTTTTCTACAAAGTACGAGTCAACCAAAAATATCATATCTACTGACCTCTTATCTCCTCCTTCCAAGTAGCGCTCGCTCACCACAGCACCAGGGAATGTATATAAACCATCCCGATGGTACTTCCATATCTTGGGAGCATCCGAGTCTCCTCGACTTTCCTCACTTAGCGCACTACCACCAGGTAATTTAATATGTCGCAAGTCCCAGTTCAGCATTCGACACAATTCAGGGACAATCACATCACAATCCCCCAATAACTGCACGTCAAAGGTCATGTGTGTAATAGGCGTTCGGTTTATCACAATCTGCGGAACGCTGTGTGGTATTTGCGTCATGATTTCTGATACCGGAGACACCTTGAGCGACGAGCCCATGGCAATTAGTAGATCAACGTTTTCCGTATCCAGCGCAAGCAGTCGATCGAATTCAGCTGGCAAGCTTTCACCAAAAAACGTGATATCCTACATTGAAATAGATACCATGGCTTTAGTTTTGAGCCTTAAAAACGCCAATTAGGTACATAGAGCAGAACTTACAGGTTTCATGACAGATACTCCCCGTTGAGCATCGTCATCGTCATCGTCACTATCGTCCTTTGGTGTTACTCGATTAAAAGCGCATTTAGGACAAGGAGGGACTTTCTATTTATAGAATGGTTGTAGTTGAGGCACATCTACTCATTTCAAGCTTAGCTCGTAAACAGTACACAAGAAAAAAAATGTTTCTTTTACCTGTTCAAAGATATATTTCTCGATTTCTTTTCCTTCACATTGGTAGCCACAAGTAACACAGCTAGCAGTAGCAAAGCTGCCATGACAATTAACAATCCTTTTAATCTGTGCCTTGTGTTCCAACGTGTCGATGTTTTGTGTGTAGTTTCTCAATAATTTCCCTTTTTCCTCCATCAGCTTGACAAATATATGGCTTGGGCTCGGCTCATAGTTGCTTGGGTAAAGCTCTTTTGCAAACGAGTAGAAAATGTCAGGCGAGTCTCGAAAGTATTTGATATCAAACATCTGCTGTGGATCGTCCAATTCATATTCTTGTAGTCGTGAATAGATGCCAGTCTCAGAACGAAAGTCAGGAATGCCACACGACACGGATACGCCAGCGCCCGTGACAATCATGACATTGTTGGCCTTGGCCAGTAAGTCAACCACATCGTCAAGTGTATTGACGTGTTCCAACCGTCGCCGTTTTCGCAAATGTCGATTAATCACGTTACGCAATAAGGCGAATTGGTGTACTTCAGGTGCTAATAATGCTGCTTGAGGATGCTGTTTATGATAGAATTAGTATACTCGTAATATACATTTCTATAATTCAAAACCAAACCAATGGTCAGAACTTACCAGAACAACGTTAAATGCCTCCATCAGTTTCAAGGGAGGTACTTGTTGATCTCGAACGTACTTTTCTAAAAACTTCATCAAGCCTGTGCGTATCATGTTAGTCTTAAATCATTGATCCAATATTCGACCTTTACATATTCAACGGTTTCTCTCCAATTTTCCACAATCTCAACGTACCCATTTGTCTAGCTTCTTCTTGTAAAGCTTCACTCTCTTCTTCAGTATAGCTTGTCCATACTAGTAAATCAAAAGTGTCAGCAAGAGTTCGCGGACCTAATCCTTCCTTTTAAAGACTTACAAGGCTCAATATCTGCTCCTTCCGCATAATCCTCATTATTATCCACTGAAGATGCCATAAACTCAAATGTATCACTTTTTGCATCGCTACTCTCGCTATTCTCGCTGCCGCCAGCCCAGTCTTCATCCGACTCCTCGTTATATCCTTCGTTGAAATCTTGATCGTGGATCGTGTTTGTACGAGGTACAGGTTCATTATCCCCCACATCGACTTGAGAACTATCGGATTCAGAATTACGGATGGCCGACGACGTTGCCGATGAATCGACTTTTTTTTTTCCAGAATCGTTATCACAAACGAGAGTTAGAAAAGTCGTGTTTGTATAGTATGGTTTACTACCCTGAGGTGGATTTGTACCATATGTGTATAAGATAAAATAAACTAACCATGACCATCACTGAGTTTTATGCGTTTGTGAGATCGATCGTCAACAACGTCATCTGAACGGCCAGCTTCAGAAATTACAGAGTCGTCTTGTGTTGAGCGTTTGATGGTTTCTGGTGGATCGTTCAGATCTATGTTCATTTGTATGTATGTCTGTGTGAGGCGGGGGGTAAGGTGAAGTTTGATATAATGGGTTTAGAGCACGTTTGAAAGGAGTAAGTACTACTATTTTTTTCTTTCCTTTTCAGAAAATGTCACCTGGACTCCGAAGAAGACAATTTGGTTTCTACAGGTACCAAGCATAAGATAATGCGCATGTTTCAGTTTGTAAAAAAGAATTATCGATATTTCTACATGTTCCCAAAGAGTGTGATATCAGCTGTTTTCATTTAAAAGCGGTCATCCACTCACTAAATCTTTTCATCATAAAGACTAAAGGGAAAACCAGGAACCCCTACTTCATGATAGTCTTTCTTTAGTAAACGCCACAAAGGCACAAAGGGGCATGTTACTGTAAGTATTTCCATCATCAACATTATACTCCTTGAGTATAACATAAACTTAGGAAAATCCCAACCTTTATTCCAAACTGAATGATACTACTATGCTGTTGTGTTATGGGAAACAACATCATTTACACAAAGCATAAATTAGGAATTATGGCAGACCACTGAAAACGCCACAGCTGCTCTGTCAATGCAAATTCCATTTTAGCTGCAATTTTACATTGTAAATTATGTCTTTCCCATCCATATGAAAAGTAATAGTCAGATTTAAATAAAGAATTGATTTGTTAAACACTAAAGCAGTGATACATCCAGCAATGAACAATTTCCTTCTTCTGACGACGATGATTTGCCTACATGAGTATAAAATACCAACGATTCCCATAATACTATATTATTCATGACCGAATTACTGATCTTGAGTATTTACGTCAAGAACTTCCTTATTTCCGGACATAGATCAGGATGGAAGACGAGAAGTTACCCCTGATAATCATGCCAACAGCTTTGCTAGAAAGTGCAATACAGTTGACGACGGTAAGACGCTATGCAAACGTGTTTTGTAAGTTACAAAGCAAAAGGCTTTCTGATAGCTTTCAAATCATCATATCGTATGATACTGTCCCCAGATATTCATAACTTTTGGTGGTCCAACTGGTCACAGCCACCACGTTTTATGTCATACGTGGGCAACAAGTGAACGGTATGTCACGACGGTTACAAAGTGCCTCCACCTGAAAACATATATGGCGCTCCAAAGGCAGCTCTTTCTCAAACGATCGCCTAAATTAATGGACGCATCGACGTGAATTTAGCATTTGATGGAAACCCGCTGAAAGGAATTTAATACGATTCTACTAATGACTATATGTATTATAATATTCGGTATTATAGGCAACTAGATCTGGCCTGTAGAGTGCATGTCGTGCAGATTCTATGAGAAACGACAGTTTAAGCACACAAAGCTCGATCAACCTTTTCCAAGTCCAAAAGAGTTCCTGCTGTTGCAAGAAACTTTCTGATGTGCCCAGTACTGATATTGCCACGCAACGGGTTTCACAACAATTGGACATTGTATTACATGGTCAGTGCATTATGCTTGTGTCAAACGGTTGCCTAGATATTATGTTTAGAATCGATCGAGTCATTGCAAAGTAAAAGTAATTACGAATCTAATGTGAGCCATTTGACATTGTCAGCATTGTATAAGAACAAGGACACAGCACGCCAAAACATGAGTTCTTTCCTAACTGTCAAATGAAGCGGCGAAGACGATTGAACACAGTCAGAAAGAAAATGGATATTGCAAGGTGAAGCGACACGCAAATATCTTCACAAGGAAAGAAATTGTAAATGAGTTTGAGCAGGACATAAAGTAAAAGAGCAGGTTTTTATTCATTGTAATGATAGAGTAAAGAAACATTTTATAAAAGACAAAAGTTATCGTTATGAATATCAATAGTCGAAGAGTACAAATTTTATTAAAAGAACACAATCAGTGGACAATAAAGACAAATAATAAGAACGCGATTTTACAAAGTGACCTCAACAAGCAGTCCGCACAACCCGTAGGCTATACAAAAAGCATGAAGAAAGCAAGAAGAAACAGAAGAAGTATGTAAAAGGGGGAGGAAAAGAAAGCCACCAATGCCTCGGCCTGGGAGTCCCAGTCTCCCAATCATTTGGCTGGGTCAATCAACCACAAACCCAGCCATCATGGTACAAACGAGTGGGAACCATGACGTACGCTACGTTTCGAGAGTCAAGTGCAAGCAATCGGTTGTGGATTGCCTGTGAGTGGGGAAGGGGGAAGGGAAGGACGGAAGGAAGATGGAAGGGTAGACGGAAGGGAAGGAAGGGAGGGAAGGACGGAAGGAAGATGGAAGGGTAGACGGAAGGGAAGAGGAAAGGGAAGAGGAAAGGGAAGGGGTGGGGGTAGGGGAAAGAATTGACTCTCGAAACACCCAAAAAAGAAAAAGAAAAAAAATTGCTGCTGTTGTCGAATGCTGGAGGAGCTGCTTACTGGATACTCGGATGCTGGGAGCCGAACACTGAAGCTGGGAGCTGATTGCCGAGTGTCGATTGCCGAGAGTCGAATGCCGAGAGTCGAATGCCAGAGAGTCGAATGCCGAGAGTCGAATGCCGAGAGTCGAATGCCGAGAGTCGAACGCGATTTACGGTGGCACCTGGCTCCTCATGCGAGCCCCACCATGGCAGACCAGACCAGACCAGCAGACAAGGCATCCAACCGAAAGGACACTACCATATTTCTATGGTGAGAAACCGAAAAGGATTTCTCCGTCCTCTGATCTCGCCTGAAGATCGGTTGTGGCCAACACCGTTGAACGCCAGACTGGACAGCCCAAAGCAGGGACCGGTTGTAGGCAGCCAGAGTCCACGGGAAAAAGGCTGAGACCAGGACCGACAGAGGCAAGACCAGGACCAAGGGAAGAGCCAGAGCCAGGGGAAGACCAGAACCAAGGGAAGAACCAGAGCCAGGGGAAGACCAGAACCAAGGGAAGAACCAGAGCCAAGGGAAGAGCCAAGAGAAGACCAGGAGGAGCCATGGGAGTGAAGGAAAAAGAAAAATGAAGGAAAGAAAGAGTGAAGAGAAAAAACGAAATGGCCTGAAAAATGTGGGCGTATTTATGCTTTTTGGATTGACCCCGCCGCTTAGAAAAAACACGTCACGTGACTTGTGATTCGTCATTCAAAAACACGTCACGTGACTTGTAATTCGTCATTCAATCAGCAGGTGGGAAAGTAAAATGGCAGGGAAGATACCATGTGAAGTAGAAGTGTTGAAGAGACACGGTCAAGCGGTCAAGAAGAAGGCGTATGTGGTCTGCGTGTTTTGATAGTCCTACGAAATATGTTTCACCGGTATCATGCAGGGCGTGCCCCGACGGTGTCGCCGCCTGTTTTTGAATAGGAAGATACGTGCACCCGTCGGGCCACAAGGCGCACAGACACGGTTTACAGTGTTTCAGCAACAAGATCCCAGAGAAAAAGTACATGGCAGGTGCCGGGAATGGTTGACATTGTAGAAAAAATAAAAATTACTGATATTGTAACAAGAAGCTCACATAAATAGAAGCCATATACACAAAGAAATAATGGCGCAGAAGTTGACGACCGTGCAGTACACGTGCTCCAAAGCAAAGTGTATACCAAGGACAAGTGGTGAAGCTCGGTAACGGTAGAATGAGGATGACGTCGAGTGTCTTTGAAGCCCTTCTCTTTGCTAACAGCCTTTAACAAATAAACCTGGGTGAGTGCTGGCTGCCTCCCATAGAGCGTTCGCCATCTCTCCCATAGAGCGTTTGCCATCTCTCCCAGAGAGTCTTTGCCATCTCTCCCAGAGAGTCTTTGCCATCTCTCCCAGAGAGTCTTTGCCATCGCTCCCATAGAGTGTTTGCTATCTCTGGCCATAGAGCTTTTGCCATCTCTCCATAGAGCGTTTGCCATCTCTCCATTGAGCGTTTGCCATTGCTCGCATAGAGCGTTCGCCATCTCTCCCAGAGAGTCTTTGCCATCGCTCCCATAGAGTGTTTGCCATCTCTCCCATAGAGTGTTTGCCATCTCTGGACATAGAGCGTTTACCATCTCTCCCATAGAGTGTTTGGCATCGCTCCCATAGAGCTTTTGCCATCTCTGGCCAAAGAGCGTTCCACAGGTCCAGGCTAAAAATGCGGGGAATAATGACAGATCTTCCGTATCGTAGCCGACAGTAACACAATCACAACGCGCTTTATCACACTTTGGTACGCGTTTTTCATCTTTTTTTCTTTTTTTTTACCTTCTGTGTTCGCGTAGTTTAGTTAGCGAAAATAATCGAAAGGAAAAAATTTGTTGGGAGGGAATGCACACCAGCAACAACGGCGCTTAAGGCAAGCTATTCTAAGTTGCGAGAACCGGTTTAATGGTATGTTTCGCTTGCCACGCCCCTTTCAACCCGTTGATTAACCGAAAACATCGTTGGCACAACTTTCACTGAATAATAAAAACCCACATAGAAACATGAGAGAAAAGAACGACTCCACGTAAGACGAACTCATGTGCTCAGAAGCAAGGCTAAGATTATGCATGCTTGACTCTCGCACGAGCCGACCATTCTGCTTTTTTTTTGTATTTTGTTTTCTCCCACATATATCATACATCAACCACGGCATACGCCGATTAAGTCACACCACGTCTGATTGACTTTGTATCGCTACTGCTGAGGGAGGTGGTTAATAGAATGAGCAAACCAAACAACAGTATCAACCTGAAGAAGCCTGTATGTATAATAGTAGCTGTAGGATGACGGGCATACTATGCTGAAAACAGCCATGCTGCTCTATAATCTGCTCTTGACAATTTATTTTAAGCTGCCCACGTCCATCATTGCGGGCTTGGGGAGATCGGCTAACGCTGGATGCCGTGGGTATATATATATATATATATATACTTGTATAAAAGAGCGCCACCACAGTTGATACAATGTCTCACTGGATCCCATGAAGACGCTGGCTACGGCGTTCAGCACTTATTTACTCCAACCCAATGCAATACACGCTCAGTCATCCTGGTGATAAGATATAAAACAACTTGCATAACACTAGCCGCTATTATACCCTAATGATTCAATCCCCTCCTTTCCAGATACTTTTGTTTTTTTTTTTTGGACTCGACTTTGCCAATATAACTTGTGTGACAAAACATCCATCCCGAGTGCATCATTAGCCGCCACATTTCAAGTAAATTATTGCACAAGAGATTTAAGAGATCACAAATGACATCATGTCGCGTCAGTCCATATCGGGTTATAGCCTTACATAAGCTGGATCATCCGAGTATAATGTTTACGTGCTTTACACAATTCGGTTAAATTGTCTCTATGCTACAGTGCTTAGCTGGTTGCCGTGGTAATTGCTGTGTATGCTTTTGTTTGATATATAGGCGAAAGTCTTATGCTGATGATGTTTCAGGCAGTGTAAAAATGTGTTTTTTACCACAGTATATTTATATATGTGTTTGCGCTCTGTGTTCTCTTTTATAATATAGAAAACCAGCAGCCAAGGTATGATATTCTACCGAGATGCATGCACACCATATCCAGTGCTTATTTAGTATGTAGTTAATAGGTCTTAACGGAATACGTATGCATGATCCGTTAATTTTCACACCTCTTCAATTTCGCACCAAAATCGGTGATCTTATCTTTGAAATTAACAGGTGCCCACTGTACACAACTACGATTGCCTTCGGATGGTAGTTCAGCTGGTGTCCGAATACAGTGCCGCTGGGGGGTGGGGGTTGCTCAACTCTGTTGATAATCTCTCCATTACAACAAATAGCGCAGTACTCTTACTTTGACCATTGAAAAAGACAGTTTATTGTTTTAGACACCATTCAAAAATTAAAAAATGACGAACCGCCAAAAATGTCTGTTATCCAGGCACCCACATCAAAAGGCGCGGGACTATGTTATGTGAGCTCTACTACCCTGTGATATGCGGGTGTTGTTGTTGCTCTTGCTGCTGCTCGCTCTTCTTGAACATGTTCTTGGTCACCAGCGTTGCTGCTACCGTTGTTGTTGTTGTTGACATGGCTGCTTTCATGACTACTGTTGTTGTGATGGTGATGACGGTGGCGTCTATAGTTTTTGAGTGTCGTGGACACTTTTGTCACACGATTGAGCGACTGGTTGTCGCCTTAGTGGTGACAGAGTCAGTGAGAATCTCCAATTATCAATCAGCTTCCAGAGAGAGCCATCGTTAACGATACTCAAAGACAGCAGTCGCACCATGTTGACAGAGTCCAAGGATAGAGACACTCGATCGCTTACTGCGGCCATCCGGTGAAACCTGACTTCTTCTTTTAACGACTTGAGATCCGATATAACAGTTGCCAAAGCTTTATCAGGCACGTCGATACACTAATATATTTCCAACGTTCTGAGTCCGTTGAAGCACCGCACAGCGCTGATAACACCATTCTCTAAGTACTGGTACTATAAAACCGCATGGAAGAGAATCGCGAATCAGCCCAGAGAAAAAAGGTGCTTGTCAAACAGATGTTGAAGCTCGTTTTTCATAGCACAGTGTATGTATGCTGCTATTTGCCTATTACCAAGGTCCTGGCCATGAACTCGTCATTTTTAAGGAACTACCAAACTACTAATATAAGCTTTGTTCAACTAGTTTGTTTCTTTCTTGTATCAGATATGCTTAAATGTCGTGGACGTTCTAAAAATTTGTTTTACCAATTCCATGGTACATTGAGAGCTGTTATATAGTGTACCTTTGGCACTAGATACATATGACGCTCAAAGAAAGAAAAGGTTTTCTTTTATGTGAAAAGCACATTCTCTTTGATGAACAGATCTAGCTACTGTAGCACACGGCACCATATAGCAGCTGCTGTAAGTTGCCTATCATTTGATATCTTTAACAGTTAATAGTACTCAAGTAGCGCATGAAATGTGTCGAGTTAGTGTCATATTATTGTAATCAGTGCTTCAAGTTGAATAGACACTACTCGGTGGATATGTATGCCTAGTATGGCTCACATATTGCCATAAACTCTAATAACCATATTAGTATGAAGCAAATGGGCTCATCAACTGAATGGTGATTGGGTTCGTTGTTTGCATACTAAATACCTTTGCTGTTACTAATATGATACTAGCTTCATCTTGTGATTATAGCCGCGCAGGGTGCGCTGCATATTATTTGTTACCGTTGCTATATTTAAAAAAAATATACTTCAATCTTAATACGAAAGACTAGTTGCCTGCGCCATAGGCATGCTGGTCGCTTCCTTTCGGTATCAATTATTAAGGGTATAAAACGGTGGATATGATGCCATCACTGAGAAAGCCGCCAGTAGAGAAAAAGTGTGATCAGAGAAGAGAAGGCATTGTGTATGTGACAAATAAAAGGTGGGTAAAGAGAGCAAGTAGAAAGATATGATTCACAGTTGCTATAGTCAAGCCTTGGTAGATATATGTGTATCATATTGTGCTGTTTATTGCAAGGAAATTATGAAAAGTATTTTGTGTTGATACGTATACATTGTTCAAGGAAACATATGAAAAAGAATTCTTAATACAGCTGCAAACAAGCAGTAATACTAGTCATCTCTTTACACTCCTAGAAAAAAACACGAACTGGGGAATACTACGTATAAGTTTCTCAAAAGGTTCCACACATTAAAGAAAACTATAAGATAGAACCACATATTTAAACTTGCTATATACTCCTCTACATATTATCTGAAACAAAAGTTAAAATACTACATGTCGTGGACGACATGTATTTAAAATTGGTTGAAGGTGCAATGGCTGTTGTCATTGTGCTGTGGACGTACATCCCAGCAGCAGTATTAGTATTAGCAGGAGGATAAGCAAACGCACTGCTGTTTTTGATGCACAGGACCTTCTGTTTGTATGATATCATGCATAGATGATCACGTTGCGGGAGTGTACAGTACATATAGCATGAGCTGACGAAACATCAACAGCATGTAATGTATTAAGAAGATCAGCTGCGATATTAAATATATATTAAAGGTGATGTGTGCATATGAACCAGCTTGAAGTATTGAACCTTGAGTTCATCATTTCAAGAGAACCCACGTCATCATCATCATCACCACCACCAGCTCAGCATGGAGGGACCCATGATAAAGAAAACCCGCCAACAAGCGGATCACGTACTCATTGCATTAAACCCACAGCAAACCCCTTTCTAGATAAGTATTCTCCCCTGATTCCGTTCCATGCGCCGCTCCTGAGGTGGGAAAGGGAAAACATACTAATCGTGTGTCCTCCCCCACCTTTCGTACCCCTTTCTTCTTCTTTTTTCTTTAGTGCACACGTAATTCTATAATTTTTTGAGTGCACATAGTATTATAGTATTATGTGTGATAGCAACCATACAAACTCGAGACTGTTCTTTTGGCGTTCCCAAACTTGCTCTCGCAAAACTCAGCATACAAACCTTTTCTCTGTCGCTCGTTCTGTTTCTCTCTCAGTTGCTCATTATCTTCTTCTTCTTCTTCCTGCTCCTCCACCTTTACTTGATGTTGTCGTCGTCGTTGTTGTTGTTGCTGCTGCAGTCAATTTTGGAATCATTTTAATACCCTTGGTTACGTTTTTTACCAAAATTTCTATAAACTTATCTTTCCCTCTTTATATTTACTCACTTTCATCCGTCATTCGCCTTTTCTTTCTTTGCTTGTAAGCCCTTTTTCTCTGTCTTTCTTGTATACTTAACACCAACAACTTTTGTGTGCTTTTCTTTTTCTATTTTGTCGTTTCTTTTATCTCATACCCATTATTATATATCATTGACATAGCCAGCAGCACCATATCATTCGATCATAGTGTGTGAAACATAACGTACACGAACAATGATATTCAGTCGACAAGTGCGGATTGGGATCATGTTAGGCATCAATGGTGCCTTTTTCCTGGCTGAAATCATTATTGGCTACTATGCCAGCTCACTCGCGCTGGTAAAGTGCAAGACCGGTTCGAATTTACCTCAATCGTTTGATATGTTCACCCTTCGATCTAAAAAATAATGTCTTTTTAAACGTAGGTAGCTGATTCCTTTCACATGTTGAATGATATGATGAGTTTAGCTGTGGCTTTATGGGCCGTCAAGGTAAGATTCTCAACAATGATAATACTAAAGCGATAAAAGCAGTGATCTGATGTAGGAAGTTAACAGTAATGCATATTTTTTTTCAAAAAAATCAAAAAATCATCTGCAGATAGCTAAAAGAAGCAGTGCTGACAATCCGAAATATTCGTACGGATGGCAGCGAGCCGAGATTCTCGGCGCGCTAGTCAATGCAGTGTTTCTGCTCGCACTCTGCGTCATGATTGTTATTGAATCTATACAACGGTTTGTTGAGCCCGATCCGGTCACAGACCCTTTCCTTGTCCTAATTACGGGATGCTGCGGTTTGGCCGGTAATCTTGTGGGGTTGTTTTTATTCCATGGTAAGCTGCACGGAGAAAAATATGTATATGTCTTCTAACGTACACCCATATATATATGTGTGTGTATGCTCTGCCCCTACGGCCGTCCCTTTTTAAAACCTTTAAGGTTCGCCATGCTCACAATAATCTCAATTTAGAACACGGACACGGACACGGACACGGGCATGGACACGGGGGTAATCCGCAACATCATCATAAACATGCGGAGGGAGGTGACGAAGAAAAGCAACAACCTGCTCATCATGAGCATGGCGGTCATTTGAACATGAAAGGGGTAGAGTAAACGACAAACAACATATAGACCATCGATGTTTTTCTTTGTTCTTTTCTATACGTGAATGCTAAAAACGACTTATGCGTATAGATCTTCCTCCATGTCCTAGGCGATGCATTAGGCAATATTGGTGTTATCGCAACAGCACTCATTATCTGGCTAACTGACTTGTCCTGGCGATTCTACTTTGATCCGATCGTCAGGTATTAAAGTGCTATCCCGTTTCTTGATCTGTACAAAAAAAACAAGGTTCTACAAACAGGGACAAAAATAGATAGCTAACAGCAATATGCATAACGTCAATTATAATAGTCTGGTGATATCAGCCATCATCTTTGCATCTGCGATCCCTCTTGGTAAAAAATGACTCATAAAGTTCATTATAACACCTGGGATTCTCACGTATCCTGCAATTTGCTTGCTTTTTTTAATACAGTTAAAGCAACGGCATCGATTCTTTTACAAGCAGCTCCGACAAATATAGCCATCGATAAAGTGAAAAAAGATATGCTAGAGGTGACATATCCTTTAGCATTACATGGCCTCCTTATGTAAAAGATTAAACCGAACTCATCAACTTGTTTATGTAGCTTGAAGGCATATTAGCTGTTCACGAGCTTCACATCTGGCAACTCTCGGATACCAAGCACATTGCATCTGTTCACGTGCTACTAAAAGATCAGTCAACTTATATGAAGGTGGCTACACGTATAAGAAAACTAATGCACACGTATGACGTCCACTCTGTAACAGTACAGCCTGAATTCACAAGCCTTGCAGGAGCAGAAATAAGAGGAGGAGGAGCAGATTCGGCTGCTATTGCCTTAGAGAGCGGCACAATGATTGAAAAAGCCAAGGATATAAATAACATTGAGGTAAAACGAAGTTGGAGCTGCTGCCAAGCACAAGAAAGGAAAAGATACTGATGTTTCTTCTGTTTGACAACATGTTCAATAGTGGGATACCTTGTATGAATACGCTTGTTTATTACGCTGTACAGATAATGCTTGTGTAGAAAATGCCTGTTGTCCGTTACAAAAGTCGGATTCCAAATCATCATCATCATCCGAATAATACCAGTAGTTAATAAATATATGCACATGCGACTGAGAAAAGAAAGAGGCTCGTTGCAATAGAATGTTCCTGCTTAGAAACTTTTTCTTTTTATAATAAAGATGAAAAAAAAAACAATATAGACCGAGAAATGAAAAATTACAAAATGAGTGAGATTGTGTGTGTGGAAAAAAAACATGATGCGATATAAAGATAGAAGGAGAAAATAGACAAAATAGATAAAAAGAAAGAGAAAGGGTTATTCACAGATTGTATGTGTGCTTTTTTGCGCGGGTTTCCGTGTAAAATAAACATGTTTGCTGCTATCCTTGTTGTAGTGGTAGTGGTAGTTATGATACCGCTTCTTTAAACTAATCCTTGCTCTTCTTCTTCTTTTCCTTCTTTTCCTTCTTCTCCTTCTTGACCTTCTTGACTTCAGTCTCACCTGCAACACTTTCTTCTGCTGGACGCTTGTTGCTTGCGGGAGCCGAAGCAGCGGCATCGACAGCTGCGACGGCCGCAGGAGAGATCTTGGCACCTAAACCAGCAGCAGCCACAGCGGCTTGTGCGGGCTTGTTGAATGCAGGCTCCAAGGGTTTGTTTTCAGGGTTGTTGTTGTAATCGACATAGGCAGACTTCCAGACTTGAGGGGTTTCCTCGGTAGCACGGCCATACTTGTCGAGCTTGCCTTCAGTGACGAGCTTCTTCTTGGCCAAGGCGACAGGACCCAAACCCCATCGGCGAGGATAGGTGTCGCGCTCCATAATAACACGCTTCACCTTGGCAACGACACCGTGATCGCAGGTTGCCATGACAGCAGTGGTCATTTGTGCATAAGCGAGGGCAATGGCTTCACCCTTAGTGGTCATCAAGACAATCTCGTCGTTCAACTCGATGCCGCTCTCGTAACGAAGCAAACCAGGAATCATCAACTTGGCACCATAGCAGACAGCATTGACTGCACTGTCCTTGACAACAACACGCTTGTAGCCAACCAACAAGGTTTCCAAAGGACGGATAACACGTCGTAAGTAGGTTTCGTCGCGGTTGTTGTCGTACATCCATTGAGCATCCATGACATCGTGCATTGTCACAATATCATCCTATACAAATCATACCACCATGTGAGTCTTATTTTTCTTTGTCTGCCAAAAAGACATATCGAGGGAGCCTGTTGCTATTGCTCACATTTTCGGACATGGCACCAGATCGGACACGACGCAGTTCCTGCATGTGGCCACCAACACCAAGCAAAAGACCCAAATGGACACAGAGAGTACGCATGTAGGTACCAGCTTCACAGCTGACCCAGAAAGCACCCAAGTGACGGTCGTTGTCAAATTCAAGCAATTTAGATTCGTGGATCGTACGGACACGGAGCTGACGCTTGACAGCAGAGATAAGAGGAGGACGTTGGAAGACAGCACCAGTCAAGGTCTCGATAGCCTAAAAGAACAACAAAGAAGAATCTTTTTAATATTTGCTTTGTCACCAATACCACTCCGTCCCCAATTGATTTGCTTTTCTTTTCTTTTTACCTGGAGCAACTTCTTTTCACCGCCAATGGCATCGTGCAAACGCAAAAGACAGACGTACTCCTTACCAGCACCTTGTTGCGACTTGACCAAACGAGTAGCACGATCAATGCAAACGATCAAACAACCGGTGACCTTGGGATCCAAAGTACCACTGTGACCAGTCTTCTCGACGCGTAGAATTCGTCGAACCCAAGCGACAACTTCGTGAGAAGAAGGGTTGGCAGGCTATTGGAAGAATAATTTTTTTAACCATTAGTAAAAGAAAAAGTTGTGCAAGTCATACAAATATGCACGGTGTACGCTCTAATTTTTTTTTACCTTATCCAAGTTGATAACACCATAACGAACATACTCATTCAAAGGACGCTTCAAAGGGGAGCAGCCGCTAGGAATAGGTGTATAGTGACCGGTACGAACATTGAGTTGATCGTAGTTCTAACAATAATAAGAAGAGAATCAGTTAATTTTTTGGTGATCTTGCAACACTACCAACATGACAACTAACAAAAGTAGCAGTACCTTCAAAAGAAGAGGCCACCTGGAAGTGTCGACGGGAGGTGCAGCTGCAGTAGGCTTGATGGAATCCGACATTGGGAGTGTGTCAAAAAAGTTTCGACAAGTGTGGGTCTACGAAAAGCAAATTCGGGGAAAACTACTTCATGTCAAAAATTAGCTCTCGAAAAAATAAGCCACCTCAGCCTGCAACGACAGTTGGCACGCGCGGAGTTCTCCAAATTGAAAATATGTAGAGCGTAATAGCCCTGGATTTTCAAGACCCGGCGAGACGCGGCGGGACTTTTGAGGTCTCATGGGAAAGATAAGTGTGTGTGTGTGTGTGTGTGTTGTGTAGAGCGAGCTTTATGTGCACCATTCAGAGAATTTGTATTAGTGAAAAGGGGGGTATCAATGGAGCAACATTATGCTTCTTCTTCTTTTTTCCCTCTGTCTATTTGGTATCTTCTACTGGGTCTGTACATGGTGATGATAATGACATTGTTGGGGGCGACGATGAATTATAATTTATATCCTCTTCCTTTCCCTTCTTCTTCTCCTCCTCCTCGAGCTCTCGCCTTGATGCAATGTCTTGTTCCTTCTTTAGAGTGGCATAGACAACCGGCTTGAGCTTGTCGCTGGATATATCCTCCATTATCAGCAGCATTTGCTCTGCCGCATCCAAATCCCGGCGAGCTCCACACGCCTTGATAATCGCACATATTGATTGACTGTTTGGCCAGTAATCGTTTGCTATCAAGTCGTACATGAGCGAGAATGCTGAGAGTAATTGCTGCCTCTGTGCAAATGCCGTAATCGTATCAAACACACAGCCCTGTATCCGCCGACTGAGTCTATGTCCATCACGACGCAAGTCCCAATAAAGTTGTTCAGCCTCTGATAGCACTTGATGTTGTATATAGAAATCGAATAACCGTTCGACAATGGTATCCGGTACACCGCCCTTGTTGTTATCACCACTACTACTACTACTGCTGCTGCTGTTGCTTGCTCGAAACAATTGGCGCAATGTCTTAACCCGTAAATCGTCGTCTCTAATATCGTTGTTTTTTGTATATGCCACCAAAAACTCATGGTAAATCGAGTGATTGGCGGCGATACCGTCCTGCAGCATCAATTGAAAAGCGTGTATAGCCGCATTCATGTGCATTGGCTTGCAATGACGTAAATAGGTGCAGATCAGAGTCTGATAGGTGTCAATAGTTGCCATGCTGCGCTGCCGTACTAGATCCAACACCTGGTCGGCACCATCCACATTCCCAGAAAATGCGTATCCAGCAATGGCCTTGTGCCAAGTATCCATATCGAATTCGAAACCAGCGTCCGTTGCTCTGGTCAATACCGCACACAATCCTGGATGACCACTCGTCGACAAGACGCGAACCAGCTTTTTGAGAAACGCCTGTGTTCTCTTATAGGGCCGCGGTGCTTGCAATTCCAGGAATTGGTCCAGCCATACTTGCACAACGTCTTTGTCCGATCCATGGTTGGCTTCGCTTATTAAAAGCTGCTTGTAAGTTGTCGCATTGGGTTGGACGCCATGTTGCCGCATATCGTCCAGTAAATGTTGGGCAATCTGCCGCCGCCGTTTGTTGTGATACCGCTGACTGTGCTCCTTGATCAACTGATTGTACGTTCCAACTGTAGGCATTTGACCGACCTTGTACATGTCGTTCAGGAGTCGATGCGCATGCCCTGTCTTGTTGGCTCGAATATAGCCAAAAATGACCCATTCAATGTCCTCCACTCTTAATGAATCCCGGTGTAAGAACCGCTTGTGCAACGTATCCATCATGTCAATCGTGCCCTTTTCTGCAACGAGACGAAACAATACTGTCACAAGTGGTGGGAGATACGTAGGCTGTTGTTGCTGTAGTTGTTGTTCGCGTTGTAGGAACAGTTTCCATATCTGTTGGAGATCTTTTCGGGTTGCCTTTTCAACATTGAGCATCGACAATCGTTCCTTGAGTGGATCGCTTTGTTGCTGTTGTCGTCCTCCTATTTCGTTATTGTTTTTGTTGCGATGGCTACTGTTCCGTTTAATACGGTAACGAGTGTTGTTGTTGTTGTTGTTGTTGCTGCGTGTGCCTACGACATGATCTTGTGGTGGCGCAAGTACCTGGACCGTGGCTGCCGATGAAACAAAGTGCGATCGCGTCAAGAGTGCACAGTACAAGGAATGGGGTTTATGATTGTAAACATTGCTGAAATTTCGGCATGGGCGCTGGCGATCGAGAAACCATGTTGCAACTGCTCCGCGTTTTCGCCATAGTGCACGGGTGATATGTGTGCCGCCAGTGCTCGACATGGAATCTTTTTTATATATTTGGCCGCCAGCGATTCTTTAAATTGTAGTCGTATTCTAGGGTAACGGGCCAGTGTTGAGAGAGGGTCGGAATGCTTGATTCACCTTCCCCTAACTCCTTTTTTTTTTCGAACGGGGCGCGCGTTCTGTTCTTGAAGGTGATAATTATTTTTGTGCTGGCAAAGGTCTGAAGATGAAAAAAAGCGCAGTCATGTGCAAGCCTATCGGTGTTCATAGTGAATGGCCGGCAGTGGGGTAGCTGCTACTCAATCAGTATCGATATTATGGACTCGATATTATGATGTTCATTAGCAAAAATTGACCTCTAAGTATGTCGCTGCAAACGTTACTATAGCACCACAGTAATCACTGTAGTGACATAGATCATTTTATCTGCTGAATATCATACCGACGTGTTCATTTTAAGCACCCCCTCTCCTCTTTTCACCATTGTCTGATGTGTGAGTGACTGCAAGGACGGATGTGATCCGCCTCAAACTTCCACCGATGATCTCCTTTCACGCGTCTCATTGTTGGGCTGCAGTTAAGCATACTAATGACGTGCTCTTACATTTTACATTACATATTACACGACCCATTAGTCCATTATCAACGTTTGTAGAATCATCGCTTAGTGTATGATGCCTTTGTCTCTACTGATATTGCTCATTAAGACGACTTCTTCTGCGACATATATATATATATATATATATATCGAGAGTTGATCGCAAGTAGATAGCCCACCCCACCCTTTCCTCTCTTTCTTTGCAATCTCAAAAGCATCATCATCATCACCATGCTGTCACACACATCCTTACTCTCTCCCCAAGCCCTTCCTTTCCATCCATCATCGTTTCCCACTTCTCCTACGCCATTGCCACATTTCTCCAATAGTCATACACGGCAGCAAAAACAGCCAAAGAATAGAAAGAAGAGCGACAAACGTAACCACCAACCACCGTGGCACCAACACTGCTACCCTCCAACAACTCAGCCCTCCTATCAGCAAGGACATCGTTCGTGGAAGCGAGATTCAACCACGTTTGTCAGGAGCGATGCTTATCAGCACTATAAGCAGCAGCAGCAGCAGCATCAACAATATATGCTGTACGAGCCACCTTTTCCGCAACCTTTTTTTCCTCAGCTGCCAACGGATAGCGAAGACTCCCGTTGTCTTTTGCAGTTGCTGCGCCAGCGCTCATGCGACTACAATGGAGCTTATGGGACGATTCCAGGGTGGGAAATGGCCTGGTTTCATCATGGATACGTTATCCCCACTGACGAGTATACTATGGTAACGTATTACATCTTTCTATTATATAGAAAACATTGGACATGTGTTGTTTAGCGTCATATTAACAAGGCCATGTCTATTTTCCACTTTTGGCATCATGAAATAACATTTAGCTATTTCCTGATTATGAGACCTATTGTCGCTATTTGACCAAGTTCCAGCGATTTCATCCTCGATTTCAACAATGTCAGCCTCATCCACAACAGCAACAACAATCTAGTCACCAACAGCAACAGCAACACAGTCGTCTATCCGATCCACCACTTTACAAGCTACCACGCCCAGGATATCAAGCCATTGCTATCATTCATCCAACAACTGGTGAGGAAATCAAAGCTGATCCTCTTGTAGTTCAATACCCTCCGGAATCCATCAAAGTCGAAAAACCACATTCTTTGGGAGAAGAAAACGTGTCTGCCACTGCTACTTTGGTAGAAAACAGTATCATTGATGACACTATAACAAGAGTCAAAAAGCGTACTGAGGAACAAGCACCAGCATCAGCGGTAAAAGCTACAGAGCAAACGACGAGCGACACTGAAGAGGGTTACAGCAGCAACGACAGTTTGGTGGGCGATGATGACGATGACGCTTCATCGACGACGACGACGGGTATGCACAGCAGTACAACGGATGCTACAACAGTGAGCGAAGATGAAGAAGAGAAAAAAGGATCCACGTCGTCAACGAGTGATAGTGTCAATCATCAGCAGCAACCGAAGCGAATCCAATATGACGCCGAATTCTTGCTGCAGTTCCGTAATCGTTGCACTCAAACGACCGCTGATCTTTCTTTGGTTCATCCTAGTCGTTTTAACAATAAGAGCAGCACAACTACCAATACGTGCAACAATAGCAGCAGTAGCAGCAGCAGTGGTAACCCACCTCGAACTGCTGTTGCCCGAAATAAAGCTAGAAATGGCCGCAGCTACTTTGACAGTAAAAGAGTCGTTGGCCTTGACAGTAGTAAGGAAAAGAAAGCCACTGATTCCGCATTTACTGCTACTAGCAAACAATGGCGTTATCGTGACAATGCACCACCAGCAATAGCTATCAATATGAGTGATAAAAAAGATCCAGTAGAAAAAAACAAAGAGCAACAACAATCATCCATGTTTCGATCAAGAAACAGCTGGCTACCTCCACATTTAAGGAAACAACAACAGCAGCAGCAGCAGAACGACGAACAACACAAGCGAAAAGTCAATGGTTTATTAAACAAACTCACAGCAGAGAATTTCGATTCGATCTCTGATCAAGTATGGGACCAAGCACGACAAGGAAACGTACCGCACAAGACATTGAAAGATGTGGTAGAGATGGTGTTCATCAAGGCTTGCGACCAACACCAATTTGCCGAGAGCTGGGCCAGACTTTGCAAAAAACTCAACGATTCTATGGATCTGCCAGAGAACAAGTCAATCACTGATCCAGACGTCAAGGATACAAAGAACAACGACAGAGTGGTCTCGGGACGTCTCTTGTTTCGACGGTACTTGCTGGATCGATGTCAACAACAGTTTGAAGCAGCCGCCAGTAGTGGTGAGCAAAAGAAACAAGAAGAAAAAACGGAAATGTTATCCGACGCGTATTATGATCAAGTCAAGGCGAAACGTATGAAGCTTGGGCTGGCCGTGTTTATTGGTGAACTTTACAAGCAAAAGCTGTTGGTCGATAACGTGGTCAAGGGATGCTTGAATTCACTCGTCGAGGATGTCACTGCCGTTACGGATCAGGAACTGGAGATGGTGTGCAAGTTGCTCTTGACAGTGGGTGCTTTATTTGATTCGGTAAACACAACAGAGGCTTGGTTGAGCCACTATATGCGGCGCATCAAGCTGATCATGGAAACAAACACAGATTTGAGCACGCGAGCCAAATTTATGGTCATGGTATGTTGCAATATACGATAGTTATATAATTCGTGATAGGATAAAATGCGAGGATGACGAGTCGCTCACGTTTGAATTGTGTATGCTCTCAACATGTAGGATCTTATCGACTTGCGCAAAAGATCCTGGGTTGCTAAGCGCTAAGTTTGCTTCCTGTATATAGCTTCATTCGTAGATTGAGCTGGCTCTCTATCTGTAGCTTATCAACTTGATGAGCACTTGAGGAAATAAATGATTGATCCATGTTAAATATGTAAAGCGAAAGAGACTTGTTATTTTGTTTTTAATAGGGGATGAATGTAAACGGGGGATGTGTGAGTGTGAGTGAGTGTGTGTGTGGAAATGACTTGATCTTTTTTTTAATAAAGTTTATACAGTAAAATATCGTTCAGCCAAGAACCGTTTGAGAGCAGCTATTTGTAACAACGTTCGTTCCTTTTGATCCTTCAACGCCATCGGCAAAGTAGTAGCGTTCAAATTTCGGTATGTCTTTGTCAATAGCGCCGTAATCTCGACCAACGTATTGTCGATAATTTCTCTTTGGACCTCTTGCCCCATGTCCGGTTTACTAATCCATAAAGCAGCTTGTGTCGTCAATAATACCAGTGATCCTTCCACAGTAGCCAGCAGCTCACGCAAGATGGCATTCGTGTTGTCTTTGGATTCCTTAATGAAGCCCACAGCGGATGTGACGCCTTCTGACAAGGTAGCAAATGATGCTGTGTCTTGGGTGCGCAGGTTCGGATAAAAAATCGTGTTGCCAAACGGCCATTCGGGTTCAGGTTTAGTCATCACCAAGTCGGCTTGTGTAAGCAAGATGAATGTGGCCAGGATATTGCGTTGGATACGGATGGTCTTTTGGACAATGACGCGCATCAGTCGACTTTGTTGCATGCCTTCAGTTGTTGTTGCTGCTGCTCCTGACGACGATGACGCTGATGATGAAGAAGAAGAAGAAGAGGATGATGCTTGTTGTTGTTGTGACGGTTCGTTTGAAGAGGGTGATACGATGGTTTCTGCAAGGAGTCGTTCCGTTTCATTGATTGGATATAGTTGTGCTTGCATATGGGCAGGATGCGTATAAAAGTAGAGGAAGCGTAGTAATAAGGTAAGTACAGAGTTCTTGTAGGGGATGAAAATGCCTGCCGAAAAGGACATGATACGCTCCAACTGTCGCGATAGGTTGTAAATGATCATGGATATGCGGTCGACTTCTTCCAAAAGACACGATGACAAGGATTCCGACGGTAACAAGCCAAACAGCGAGTTGGCACCACCGTTCACCAGGCTGAACGTTCTGTCGATTTGCGTTCCGTATACTTGCAAGAATGCGACTGTGCCCCGGAAAACTTTTTCGGTCAGCTGGGGTCGGTTGGTGCTGTTGCTGCTACTGCCCAGAGATCGTAAGATGTTGCTGACAACGCATAGCATGTGGCACCAGATGCTGTGAAGTGGGTTGCGCTCGACATAGCCAGCTTGGTCACCAAATCGGAGGAACATGTCGAGCTGGCCTTGTTTGAGCAGAGGTGACAAGGCATTGTTGCAGAACAGTTCAAGCACGCCGTCATTGACAAGTGCTGCTGCTACATCGGGTATGGAGGAGAGTGCAAGGAGCAAATATAAACCGTTCTCGGCGTAGGGTGATACGTCAACACTGCTGTTTGCATCCAATGGTCTAAATATATATAACATTGTTTCTTAGTGAACCATTCTCTATACATAATTTCCAAAAATAAACTAACCTGTTCACTTCAGATACCGCAAGATCAATGCCTCCATGAATTAGCTTGAGCAAACTTGGTATAGTCTCGCATCGACGGAACGTTGACAGCCATTGTTCGGGTCCAGAATGGAAGTTGGGATGAATCAGTTCATTCAACAGACCAGTCACCACCGTCATATCCTTGACACATTCTTCGTTTGCATGGTCGCTTAGATCAGGAGTACAACTGTACGACGCCACCTTGTACACCATCATTTGGAACGTATCGCAGGTCACCTCCAGCAGCTGGGAAAGACATCCCTTTAACCGGGCAGCATCCTTGAAATCGGTGACCGAGGTATAGACGCGTCGCAGGGATCGTAATGGGAGCAAGATAGCCTCAAGCAGTGGTCGATGGAAAACGTGTGCGGACTGGTCGCTGATGCTGTCCATCAAGGCATAGTTGTCGCGACGCAACAATCCGCAGTACGTCTCCAGCAAGGCAAACAACTTGTCCGCCAACTGTCGCTTTTGTTGACGATCCACACCTCCAAGAACCTGACGATTTGCAGCAATCCAGTCCTCGGTCAGGTCACGGATGAATCCAATAAGTACACTGTAGTAGCTCAGCGTGACATTATCCTCGCGTCGTTCGTCGTTGGCTTGCTGTGTCAGGCCGCTCAAAAAGTCAAACAGCGTACCAGCTTGAAGTACCGGACCACCACTACTACTACCATTACCGCCGCCGCCCATGGTGTTACTTGACTTCCAAATGAGTTCACCCGTGTAAGTCGAACATGTCTCCATAAACACCTTGAACGACTGGACCGCAATCATCTGAGTATCCACAATCGACCAGTTGTGGTTGACAGCACAGACATCCACAAGGAACCGATTGATGACATTCTTCGCCTTGCGCACAGCATACACTTCAGGCGTAACAATCATTTCTTCCTCCTTGTCTATCTCGACATTGTACATGGCCGAGTATTGCTTCAAGGCGGATTGGGCTCGCGAATACGCCAATCGCAAATCGTACACATAGCAGTCGCCATACTGTCGTGGTTCGCCGTCACCATCATTATCGCCAAAGCCCACCACATCGACCTTGTTCAATAGCTGCCCAACCCCAGACTTGTCGCATTTGCAGATATCGTTCACAAAGCGTAGTGCATCCTTGTTCATTGTTGCATCCAGTTGCGCGTCATAGCTGTTCTTGACAAAGGCCGCACGCATGGCCGCCAGCTTGTTCGGATCACTGACCTTGGTCAGTAACGCCTTGAGACCTGCCGGTAGCTTCTCCACGAGCGCAGATGAAGATAGCGGCTTGTTGTTGTTGCCTTGCTCGGCGCCTGCAGTGAGTTGCATTTCGAACGCCATAATTCGCATCACAAATGCCTTGCTAATGTTAGCACAGCATATCCGTCGTACCACCTCGTTGCCGTCCGACGCTACTGTGGGTCTTTGTTGTTGTTGCAGACCTTGCTCCTCGCTGCTTGTACCTTGGTTCAATTTGAGGTTGGCACTGTTGGGTTCCTCGAGTTGTGTCGGGTTCAACAGAATCTTGCCCAATGCATCCCACAGTGCACTATCACTGCGTTGTCGCTGTACCAATGCATAATGTTCGAATGCCGTTTGCCAAAAAGTGGCCAAGAATCGCAAGACGTTCGACAGCACCGTTGGCTTTTCAACAGAAAGCATTTCCCAATGACTGAGCAAATCCACTGCCGCACGTGTTGCCGATTCGGTGCTTGCTGCTGCTGCTGCTGCTGACGACGATGACGCTGCTGAACCGCTTCTGACTGCTGGTGTTGAAGAAGACAAAGAGACAAGACCACCTTGTTGCTGTTGTTCTGACGACGACGACGACGACGGCAATAACCTGACTGCAGATTTGGGACTGGGCATAATATATTCGCCACATTCCAAAAACAAGATAGCCAGACTGGGTTGTGTTTCCATCAACAGCGTCAACATTTGCCATATCGATGCCAACAAGTGTTCGTTCTGTGTCTGATCCTGGGCTGTGCTCAGATAGCGCTTGATGATGTTTTGTGCCTGGTCCTTGTCACCCAGATGACGCACAAAGTTGGGCGTGGTTTTCCACGCAGACAATCCACGGCAAAGCAAGGTGACAATGTCAGTGGCCAGAATTGAAAGTTGAATGTTGGGCGTGTAGTCGATATGGTTCATCAAGCGCAGGAGGAGGTCAGGGCTGTTTCCATCCGTGGATCGTTCCAGCATAAACCGTTCCAATGCACTCTCATAGCGAGTGGGTAGTGGCGTTGCCGATCTTGTCGATGATTCGATCGTCTCCAAGCGTCGTTGCAACAAGAGTTTGATAAACACAAATGTCAGCTCGGTCATACGCTCGGCGCGTTCTGCTTCCTTGTCTCGGTTGGCGTGGTACAACGTGTTGGCGAGCGATGTTCCGTTACGGACCGTATCGAGCAATGGAGTGACGTGATAGATACCGCCATCATACAAGAAACCGTTCATGATTTGTTCGCGAAGTGCACCCAAGGTCAACACAGGTGACGATGAACCCGATGCTGCTGTTGTTGTTGTTGTTGTTGCAGCAGCAGCGCCTGCTGGGTCGCGGAAATATTGAGTAATTTCAATGAAAATAGTAAGCACCTTACAACCAATAAGGAATCGTTCGGACAAGTGCTTGTATCGCCAGTGCGCATAGGATGGAAACACGTCAATCATGAGATAATGCAAGCAGAAATAAAGCACCTCGATTTGTCGCTGATTCTGTTCGTTGCCACTCTCCCACCACTTGTGCTGCACGTCGCGCACCAAGCCGGTCACCAGATCCAAAAACGCAAGCAAAAGCGAGTACTTGCCGGTCTTGCATTCGTAGTTCGTGACAATATGTTGGATTTGACATGACGGATCGACGTGCATTGCCTGGGCTGATCGTGTGTAGCTTGCATTGGACCACGGAAGAATCGGCGATTGTTGGAAATAGGACCAGATAGCGTCGCGGTAGTATGGAAGTAAGGCTGTCAAGCAACGCATGGTGGCCGTGATGGTGGCGACAGGTCGCTTTTGTGCGAGACAGCAGACGTTCAACAGCTGACAAAGAAGCGTTACCAGAACCTTGGATGGGTAGGGACCTGGACGTCCCGGCACGCGTTCAATATGTTCAACAAGATCGGTGGCCAAGGAGGGTGACACTTGGAGAATGCGTTGAATGAGATCCAGGATCGTGTTGACAACGTCCATGTTTTTGCCCGACAGTTCAGCTTCTATGTCTCGAATATCGGTCTTTGACAGATCGTCGTCGCTCTTCCCCTTGGTGTTGTTGTTGTAGCCGCTTTCGGATTGTTCCTTGATAAATCCAGCCAGAACAGCGACGAACAAATGCCAGCATGAATAGTCAACGTGCCATTGCACAATGTGCTGCTGTTGTTCTTCGGGTGATGACAACAAAGATCCCGTCGTTCCTGGGGGAATCACAAAGCCATGCATGAAAGCAAAATCCTCCGTAATACGGATGGGATGCGTTGCCCGTACGACAATGCCAGTCTCGTCTCCCTGTTCTTCTTGCGTCACCTTGCTCAAATCCTTCAGCATGACCGTCAATGTTGGCATGGTCTCGAGATAATGGAAAATGCGTTTCGCCGGCTCCTCGCTGACGATATCCTTTGCCTCCTTGCTCGAGCCCGTCGTTGCCGAAAGCAGTTGTGTCAGATCCTGGAACGCCAATGGGAACCGCATTCTTGATGTGGAAATCAAGGAAGCGATTGAATCCGTGTTGCTGGTCATCCAGAAACGAGCTGCAAGCATGGATTGGTTTTCAAAGAGCTTGCAGGTGCATTGGATCAAGCTTGTGTAGCTCTCATTGGGCAGATGGATGGGATCAATGGTGGACAAGAATGAACTAATCACATTCTTGAGCGTATCGTGGTAGGCGAGACTGTTGGCTTCTTCGTCGTCGCAAAGCCGGTTGTTAAGAATTTTTTGCATGTGGTCGAAAACAGCGAGTTTGATCGCTCGGCCAGCGTATAAACGATATATTTGAGGCGCTGTCTTGATGGATGGTTCTCGATCCATTGTTGTGGTTGTGGTATCGCGTGTGGTGGGTCGGTCCGTCAATAAGCTGCTGCTTGAAATGTCCATCTGACCATGGATGAATTGTTGAAGCGTGACATATGTTTGTGAATCGTCCTCGTCATGGATGAGTTCATTGTCGATTTTGTTGAGAACAAACGACCACGCAAGCAGGAAAACAGAGTGTTCGGGCTGTTCACCCAAATAGGCCACCACATTACACATCTTGTACACGATATCGGGTTTGGTGTACAGTGAATGCTCACCACGGATCGTTGTTGTTGTTGCTGCTGCTGGCGATGACTGAAAGCTGTCAAGGTTAAGTGATTCCACCGACAGCAATACGCCCAAATGAGAGACCTGGTCACGCAAGTACATGCCATCATTGTCCAAGACATGACCAAACGCCTGTTGTTGACCAAAGCTGCTTGCTTCAAATTCCTGGAGCAAGGCCAGAGCATATTTGGGTGGACAGGGTTTAAAATAATAGATCAACAACAAAACCTCCAACAATCCTCTTTGTTCGCGCAGATTTTGCTTGGCCCATTCGTTGGCTTGCCACGTGCTCGTGTTGTGTTGTGAGGGTATGGGTGCACGCACACGTTCTTTGAGTTGCTTCAACAGTCGTTCTGCAAATTCATCATTGACAATCTGCTTGACAGTATCTTGCGCAATGGATACAAACACATGATCGTCTTGACCACCAGCAATGCGAAGCAGGGACGCAATGCATTGTAACAGGGCAATGCGATCTTCATTGTAGAATTCCGTCAACCGAACAAGCGTGTGTTCTCGTTGGATTGCGTCGTCGAGTTTAGGCTGTTGTTGCTGTTGTTGCTGCTTGTAGGCTGTCCAGACAGAGACGCACGCTAATTCGTTGAGGTGCAAAAAATCGGTTGCTTGAATGATTAATTCCTTTTCGGATGGATCGAGCTTGATCGTCTTGCCGTCCATCGAAACACTCTGGGTGATTTTGCTGCGCGATTGAGATGACGGAACACCATAGGCGTCAAGACCAAGGGATAGATTCTTGGTTTTTTCGGCAATCAGTGTTTGAAGACGGTCGACCGAACATTGATCGCCACCGCGTTCAATGGTATCAAAGAGCTTCCGATACGTTCTTTATATAATAACAACAACAAAAAAAAACGCGTCAGTTGTGTCAAGTTGTTTTTTAATAATACTTTTGCAACCCGGCTTTTCCTTTATAGAAATTTGTTAAAGTAGTATAATGTTTGGAATTACCCTGCAAATCGCTCGTTGACTAGAGCCGATTGTGGTGTCATTATATCGGTTGTTGCCCCTTGAGTTTTTTTTTTTTTTTTGTGACGAAAAGGAAATGGAAGAAAACGACAAGCCAGCCAAGTTTTTTTTAGTTCAGCAGCGATGACACGCGCGCTTCTGTGTCTAGAAATAAAAAAAATCACGGGGATTTTGATTGGCTTAACAGCGATTTCGCAGCACTTTGCCTGGTGCCCCTATAAGCTATCATTGTCATGGTATATCATACAACATCAAAGATGTGTTTAACGCTCTGTAGCCAAGATGTCAATAGTTTAAGAGTCCTAAAGCATTACTAATTCTCGCTGAAAGGCCGTGACCTCGCTCCAGTTCACCGCTAAATCCAACAACAAGAAGATGTCGGCCTGCAACTTCTTGGATTAAATGTCTTTTTTCATGTATAAGAAGATTTCTATTCACATACTGGCTAACGGTTTGTCATAGAGCTATGATTCGCTGTTACTGTCTCTGTTGAAACCCAACACCATACTATACAAGATGCAACAATGTAAAGAAAAGAGAAATGTTACATTTAAAAGAGGTCTAAATACTAACTTGTCGACCCCGTACAATGCATATAACAACTTTTGTTCCCATACATAACGCGCAAGCTGCTATGGTATATCCCAATGTGGATGTAAAACGCTGAGTTGCCTAGATAGAAAGCTACAGGTACAGGTACACACATGGAATGATAGCATTTTCCTGCTACTGCTGAATCAAAGAAAAGACCAGCTAGCAGAATATTTATAGTGTACGAAAAGTAGTAGGGCAGTGAGGGCGGGAGAAAGCGAGTTAACGAAAGGAATGGGGAGACTATATGTACTGTACTTTACCAAAATAAGAAAAGAAAGGAGCGTGTATGTACAATTTAAATATGGGACTACTGTTGTCAAAGTTGTGTATGTTGAGGGGGGTCGACAAAAGGGTGGTGAGTGAGTGGGGGCTGGTGAACGGATAGATGAAGAGATATTCCAGGAAACGACAAGGTAATAAGAAAGTGTTCACTGAAAAGCAAAAGGACGAGCAGCCTTGATCGTGAACTTGGGAGAAGCGTTGCCTGAATTTCCCATGACCACAATGATGTAAGACTTTTTGGTTTCCAGGTCAGATGGCAAAGTTACGCTTTGTGCGCCCGAATTGAGTGGGAAAGCACTGGCTAAATCCCAGTCTAGATGTTGTGTGTGTGTGAGAGTGTGTGTGTGTGTTTTAGAGCCCTCTTCTTTGATCGAGCCAAAAGTACCCAAACTTACAAAGATGCTCATTAATGGAACCTTCTTCCAAATAACCGAGCTTGATGGTACCACTATATCCCCGAATAAACAAGTTATTTTCTCTCGAATTTCTTTTTTTAAAGAGTGATTTTAAGACAAAACTTACTTTACACCATCTGGGATATCCATGTCGACAACAGTGGTTTTCCTAAAGTAGGATGGGGGCCATACAAAAGATATGTACGCTTTTTTAAGTACTATGATACTACTACTACTACTACTGCAGCAGGTATACCCCCAGCAGTAAACTTTTGTTTTACCATTGAACGGTGTATGTTTCTCCAGCGCGCCACTTTGTTCTAGCGCTCGGTGTGATACTGAGTGTACATGCATCATGAAACAACTGAATTAGCATATTTTTTTGAACCATTACATCTCTGGTGATACTACTAATATTCCTAATGCATTCTATTACATTTCTGGGTTCCAGACGAGAGCGCTGGCAGCAGAGGCCAACAAGAGCATCATCATCAAAAAGGTGATAGAGGACTTCATCTTGCTAAAAGCTAGTGATTGACTGACTTGAGTTGCAGAAGAAGAAGAAAGAAAGAACCAGATATGGTGAAAAGGAAGACGTAAAGTTTATAAAATGTCTGTCGCTTTTTTTTTTTTTTTTTTTTTTTGCACAACAACGGGCTTCCCGGATTTTAAAGTTAAGTACCACACACACACACACACAACGAATGCCAATGACATGGTAATGTGTATAACAGACAGTAGTGAGGAAAGCAAGATATTCTGGCCATTTTCTATATAACTAGCCAAAATATCCCCCATCCATCACCACTAACCGCAGCAATAACAACAGCTTTTGCTTTCTATAAAAAAGGTGTTATTAGTCTTTTAGCTCGACTATCTTGGTCAAGAAAAGAAACCTTCTTTGTGGTTTCAACAAAACAACATTTTTTGAAATGTTAGCAATAGTTGTTGTAATGTTAGTGTGTACAAAAGGGTGCTCAATAGAATAAAAAGGGCGCTATTCATTGAGGAACGTTGTCCTTAAAAAGCATGACTATTCTTAGGACGGGTCGTATTAGGTACCACGTGATCGGGAAAAGATCTGCAGAAAATAACACATCCATGTAGAGTAAAAACAACGGACACGTCCCTATTATATATGCAGTAGTGGTAGTAGTAGTAGAAGGTTTTATCCGCCCTGGCATGCTGAAAAAGAATTCAATCAAGAAAAAGCTTTTGTATTAGTAGCAGTAGTAGTAGTAGTAGTTGAACATCACGCCAATGATGCTAACCTTTTCCATAGGTGATAAACATCTCCACATGACATCATCAATAACCACCAGTATGTAAAGACAAGCGCAGTAGTAGCAGTAAAAAAGAAGAAAAGACGTAAACACAAAAAAATTATCGTGTAACCCAGTGAATATCTATCTTGGTAATAAAATTGCTACTTGGTGGTTGTGATGGCAACACTTTTCTCGAATTTTCTATGGGGGGGGGGCGGGCGGGCGGTCTCAAAGGATGGAAAGTGATGTGTTTGCGTAGTGTTGGTGAATGATGATGACTAAAGGGGAGAGTTGGAGGAGCCAACCTCCGGGGAAAGAGAAGCACTTTCTATCCACAACAAGGAAAACCGCTGATAGTAACGATGATGCAGAATGTTGTCAGTTGTCAAACAATCATCAATTCCCGGGGGGGGGTTTTTTTTCTTTTTCCCACCTTTTTTTCTTTTCCCCTCAAAATGCCTAATGATGGGTGGGGTTATTGACTGTAAGGAATTATAAACTCCATAGCTTTGAAGAAGAATAAAAGGGAAAGAGAGTGTGTGTGTGTATAAAAACATCTTCTTGACAATGGGGTGTAGTAATATTGATGCAACACACATGGTAAGAACCAATGGTATATCTGCTGCAAATGACGTCGGGGCCGCCACCTTTCTCCTAATAGTTTCAAAAGTTCAACATACAATTGCTTTCCCTCTCTCTCTCCCTATACTGTTTCCCCTCATTTCTTTTCCATATAGAACATAACAATGTGCCGATTATTATTATACAAAGGCAAACAACCCATTTTACTAGCTCATGTAACCGGTTCTCTCTCTCTCTTATAATACTTTTCTTTAGCCTTGAAGGCTCAATTCAAAGGCCCTAAGCAAACTGGAACACTCATTCCAACTCTTTTTCTTTTTATATTAGCTTCTTACGAATCCTGCACATTCCATAATCAACCAATCATTTGACTCACGATTACGTATTGATCATCGACGACCTCTCAATGGTATATTTCACCCTCTATAAAAATAGAGAGAGAGAAAGAGAGAGAGAGAGAACCTAAAAAAAAACGATATTGCCTTTTTATATATAGGGGATGGATTTGGCGTTGGATGGTATGACAGTGAGGATCAAGATAATACCCATATCCCAGGCATTTTCACGTCCGTGACACCTGCATGGAGCAATACCAATCTTGTCCGTCTCGCAGAAAAGATCAAGAGCCCGTTACTGTTTGCCCATGTGCGTGCAAGCACCTCGGGTGCTGTCACTGAAGCCAATTGCCATCCTTGGAAGTAAGTTTCCTTCTTGAGATCCTGAAACCCGATCATGTTTTTCTAAAAAGTTCTTAAAGTTATGGACGGATCATGTTTATGCATAATGGAGGCATTGCACAATTTGAAAAGGTATATCATTTGCTGAAAGGGGGTTGTAAAGATTCTGGGTTTATTAAAAACAAAAAACTTTTTGTTGTTGTTGTTGTTGTTTTCTGTAGATTAAACGGAAACTCCAGAACGCATTGCCTGAAGAATTGTTTTTGTTCGTTCAAGGCAGTACTGACTCGGAGTGGGCGTTTGCCTTGTTCCTAAGCTTTGTATGTTTTTTGCAAAAAGGGGAATATTTTTTTGAAAAGAAACTAAAACAACTTGATAATAGCTGGCCAATCCCAAAGCAGATACTTTTGATCATCAAGAACTCAAGGAAGCCATGCTAAAGACCATTGCACAGCTGAACGCGTGGGCGGAAGAAGCAGGAATCACCGAGCCGTCGCTGTTGAACTTTGCAGTGACGGATGGAGCGTCGGTGGTCTGTGTACGGTACATTAGCAGCAAGACCGAAGAGGCGGCGTCGTTGTATTTCTCGTCAGGCACGCGCTTTGAATGTTATCGACCGGGACACTATCGGATGGTCAAAGCGGATCGACGGGAAGATATGGTGGTTGTTGCCAGTGGTAATAAATGCCTTTTAAATAGAGTATTTCTTGGCGAGACTCTCGAAAAAAAAAACTCACTCTCTATTCTTAGAACCCTTGACGTTTGAAGAAGCAGATTGGTTGACGATCCCCACAAACACAGTGATGGTGATCACTCCAAAGCTCAACGTGCTCCAACAACCGATCAAGGACATGTTTTATGCCGAAGAACGTGGGTTGGAGGTCAAAGTGGGGGGTACTACTACCACCACAAGTACGAGTCAAAACGATGCTATTGCCAGAATACCAGAACCACACGCCCAAATGATGGCCCATCCTATGAGTCAATTGGCAGCATGCTCTTCAATCTCTTAACACAAATAATAAAAAAGCTTGGTGTTGTAGTCGTGGTGGTGAGGCTTTGCTCCCAAAAGTTTTGTTGCAACGTCTCACTAGAACACAACGATGCGTAGTATAGATTTGGACCAATGGCTTTGCGGCCTGCTAATTTCTGATCGTCCAGCTTTTTTTTTGGGGGGATCAAAAAAAGTTAAAAAATAGTTTTTTTTTTGGGGGGAGACAAAGCGTAAATAAGGGAGGTTTCTCTCTTTTCTTTCCCCCTTTTTTTTTTCTTTCTTTCTTAACCATCCTTCTTACTTTTTCCACATACTCCCTCTCTTCCTTTTTCTCTTCCTTGATCTTCTTTGTCGATCCTCTTTTTCCTTCTTACTCAACCAAACGAACCAAAACGAACAAAACGGACGCAAAGAAGATGCTTGGTCTCTCCACAGAAAAGTACGCATCTGTACGGGGCAACAAACGACTGACGGTCATCCTCATTGGCATCATCACCTTCATCCTCGTATCCGTCCTCACCTTTTCACGGGCCACCTTCGGCCTGAGTTCATGTGGCCGCACGATCCGAACGTTCAACGAAGCCGTTGCATTTTCAACATCTTCCTCTCCACAACAACAACAACATACAACGTTTATCAATCTGAATGGAATTGAGGCCACTGCAGAGGGGAAAGAAAAGCAAGAACATGTCTTGATTTTAACGCCGCTCAAGAATGCCTCACCCTACTTGGCCCGCTACTTTGAACTGATCGACCGAATGACGTATCCAAAGCACTTGATATCGATTGCGTTCCTGGTCTCGGACACGACGGATGACACGGTCGAGTTGCTCAAGGAACAGGCCAATGTGTTTCTGAACCGACGGGATCCTGAGCAACGGTACCATCACGTTGCGATCTATGAAAAGGATTTCAACTTTGAATTGCCCGAGGATAAGCGACACACGTTTGAATTGCAGCCGTTGCGTCGGTCGTACATGGCGCGGTCTCGCAACTATCTCTTGACGGCTGCGCTCAGAGAAGAACATGCCTGGGTGCTCTGGTTGGATGTGGACTTGGTCGAATACCCAACGACGATCCTCGAGGACCTCATGAGCGTGAATGTCGATGTGGTCGTGCCAAACTGTCTGCGTGAAACGGAGGACAACTCGTTTTGGGGTTACGACAAGAATAACTGGCAAGAAACAGAACAGTCCTTGGCTATGCAAAAAGATCTCGACCCGGTAATTTTTTATCTTTTTATCTTTTTCTCTCCCCCCCTCCTTGGATTTTTTTTACTTACCCCCTTTTTTTTTTTCTTTGTAATAACGTTCTTAGGAATATGTCTTGTTGGAAGGTATGTAGAGATTCTCTTTGGCCTGTTTGCAATCGATAAGGAGTCGAGAGAGAGAGAGAGAGAGAGGGAGGGAGAGCCGTGGGGAGGACAAAAAGGACAGTGGGGTCACACGCAATTGATGAGTGATACTTTGTGGTACTACACAGAGAGAGTGTAAGACCTGCGGGGAAACAATTACCGGAGATAAACTGTTTGATTAACGAACGAACGAACGAAACCGGGGGACCATTCTAGGCTATTACGAGTTCCTGACCAACCGTGCATTGATGGTCGATATGCCGACTCACTTGGGACAGCTCAACAAGGTGCCCTTGGACGGTGTGGTAAGTAGTAGTAGTAGTAGTAGTTGTATATCTTGAGAGGGATAGAAAGAGCTGACGGGTGGGTGTTTTTTTCATTTCTTAGGGTGCGACATTCACACTCGTTAAAGCGGTGGTACATCGTGAAGGTGCAAACTTCCCGCCCTATGTGTTCCAGCACCAGGTTGAAACCGAAGGATTTGCAAAGATGGCCAAGGCTATGGGCTTTGGTGTCTATGGTCTGCCTGGTTATCTCATCTACCACGTCATGAATCAGTAGAGATCCTCCTTAATGACTCCTCCTAATGACTACTAACTTTTTTTTATAACTACCCACTCTTAATGTTTTCCCTCTATATATACATAGACACAACAGCCTTCTCTATACATAGCTCTTTTTCATATATTATATATACACACTCTCACACACACTCACTCACTTACTCCTCTCTCTCTCTCTCTCAGAAAACCACACATAGCAGCTCTTTTTAATAATAATAAGAATAATAATAATAATAATAATAACTGTAAAATAACTACAACATCTTTATAATATTTGATGATTCCCCTGATTTTCCACAAAGTAGATCGCCCAGGGATAGATAGATGGTTGCACACACATACATACATACACATGTGAAAGTGTGTTTGGCACGGACTCTTTATCCATTTTCATCCAACTATTTGTATTACAAACAAACATCATATGAAGATTGTTCTTTAATAAAAAAAACAAAAGGGAGGAAGAATTCTATACAATGCAATCTATCGTTTTATGAGAGTTGAAGATGATGATATGCAGGTTGTTGTTGTTGTTTTTTTGAGTGTGTGTAGTGTGTGTGGAGGAGAGAGTGTGTAATGAGGTATGAAAAGCAAAATGGCTGTGTATATGCAAGGTGTGTGTGTAAAAGTGCTGTTGTTGTAGTAGTTGGTAGTGATAAGAAGGGAAGAAATATACATCATGACGACAAAAAAGAGAATTTTAAATGTCACGAACAATGGCGTGCATGTCAAGGTTTTCGTAGCAGATACGGTAGACGGTGGTGAAGAGAGGGAATTCCTCGACCATGTTGCGTGCAGTCAAGAACTCGTTGACCTCCTTGGCCGTAAGCGTGCCCTGGAGCTTCTGGCCGTTCAACAGCTCAGCCTCCAACACATCGATCGACTTGCCAGTCTTTGCAAATGCCTCGGCGACCTTGCGGTTACGGCCACCCATGCACGTTGTCAGCAAATCTGCAACACCGCATGATTCTATAATAACAACCCGGGTTAGAACAAACAAGAAACTAATTACTACTGATATCACACACAAGAAAAAAACGTACCAAAGAAAGTCTCGGTCTGAACCACATCGCCAAAGAAGGTCTGACCAAACTTGCGCATCTCCACCAGCCCACGACGCACGATCGCCGACTTTGTGTTGCTTCCAAAACCCAGACCATCCGATAATCCTGCACCGACGGCCACCACATTCTTCAACGCACCGCACAATTGAACACCGACATGGTCCTGAACAACGTTGATACGGAAATAAGGTGCGTCAAACAGCTTGTGGAACACCTGACCATCGGCAATGTTGGTGCAGCCAACCGTCGACTCACAAAACTTTTCACGCGCAACCTCGTCTGCAATGTTGGCACCACTCAGTGCAGCGCAAGGAATATCCAACACACGCGCGATTTCTTCCGAGAACAGACGGGTGCCCTGGGGCGTAATTTCCAAACCCTTGATGAGCGAAATGGCACGGGCATTCGGCGCCAGGTGACCCTTCATCTTTTCACACACACCGCGCACAAACTGGTGCGGCAAGACAAAGACAATCAAGGAAGCACCTTTGCAGGCTTCGACCACGTCTGGAATGGCCACCACGTTGGTCGGGAGCGACACACCGGCCAGGTATTTCACGTTTTCGTGCTTGGTGTTGATGATTTCGGTCAGGTTTTCGCCATTCACTTTTTCTTCAAAGACCCATTGGCGCACAGTGGGTGCAAAGACGTCGCTGTGTCGAGCCGTGTTTTCACCAATGATCTTGGCAATAGCAGAACCCCTATATACATAAAGAGTCAGCATGACAGTACAAAAACAAAAAAAAAAGGGGGGGGGAGAATGTGATGGATTTTTACCAGTTGCCGGAGCCAATAATGCAAACGTTTTCGACAGTCATGATGATAGTGTGTTTTAAAGAGGTTGTTGAGTGAGTAAAAGAAGCAGGGGCTCAAAGAAAGAGGAAAGAGAGAGATAACAGGTGCAACCAAAGAAGCGCAAAAAGTCCGTTCCTTTTTATCTTGTTTTTTTTTGGTGTCTCGCTTTGACGGGCCAGCCTGTCACCGTTCTTGTTTTGGATCGGATCTTTGATTTTATTGACTAAGACGAGTTTCATGAAATAGTGTCGCTGTTGTTTAAAAAAATTTTTTTTTTTTTTCATGTGCCTGACACTTGTCATTTGATAATCAACTGTAACTTTCCCTGTTTGTAACAAATTCTTTTTGGTCCCTTGCATGTGCTTCTGCCTGCCTGTCACTCACACATGAGAAAAAGTCTCTGTCAATTCTCCATTTGTACATCGTGAAAGAAGGGAACAAAAGAGGGGGAATTTGAAACATAGGATGACGCTATACATTGACCTCCCCCCCACCAACCATTAAACAAGACCCGACCAGCCCGATAATTTGGCTAGCTTTGGGTTTAAAGAAAGGGGGGGACAGAGAGCTTATACGGGTGACCCGGCAATCGAATTCCGAATTCCGATGATTACCAAATACGTTTTCCTCCCATCGATTAGGCCTGAAAACGCCTTTGCACCATGAAAGGTATGTACACTCTCGGAACTTTATCTATCTTTGGGGAAAGAGGGGAACTATGCCTCTTTTAAAGGAGACTGTCGCAATAGCAAACAGGCTTTTGTCAAACACAACACAACACACACACACCTGTCAACTAAACACATCCACTTAACACGCAAGAGAACAATTTCACTTGATATAGCAAAATAGCTTAAAATTGTGTGTTATTCTTTAACAAATGTAACAAAAAGAAAAACTTTATAACTGCCCCTCTCTCTAGTCTCCCCTTTCCCTCCCCATCCCACCCATCCACTCCTCCTTTGTATCTCTCTCTCTCTCTCTCTCTCTCTGTGGCAACATCAAATAAACACTACTATCTCTCTCTCCGCTTTGAGCGCATTGTAAGCTGCTGTGTTAAAAAAAAAAAAGACCTCCAGAAATTTCTTGCTGAGTTCCCGCATCAGATCACACTAGATAAAAAGAACTTACATCATAGTTTTCTAACACTAGCTCTTCTACTACTAAAAGCCGATAAACGGTGTTTTTTATCGGCCGATCCGCTCCTCAAACTACTTGTTTAAAAAAACTAGAGCACTTGACAAGTTTTGCCCGTAACTACTGCTTTTCAGAAAATCTGATTCCCTGTTGTTTCAATTTCATAAATTTCACAACAGACGAGTGAGAAAAAACGAAACATCCCACCTTCGGAATTATGTAGCAAAAAGAAAAAGTAACGGTTCCTGGAAGGGAAGCGTTCTTTCCTTTCGTTTATCAGTGCATGATCATATATTCCGCTGCTGCTTCTTCTTCTTTCTTCTTGCTGCGTCTTTCCCGCTAAAAAGACAGAGAGAGAGAGAGAGAGAGAGACGCATAACAAGTCCCCCGTCCAAGAGAAAAGGTAGAAAAAAGTTACACCAGCACGTCATTACAGAAAATAAGAAAAAGGGTCCTAATTTATTTCCGATCCGTCCTCCGCCCGCCAACCCCCACCCCCACCCCCGCCACTTTTTGCAGAAAAAAAAGTATCATGACGGACACACACACACGCAAAGTCCCATTTGAAAGCATTGCGCATTTTATCTACAACGATCCAGAACATTGCGCATCTTTGTTCTACTGATTGCTTTGAGATAGAGCAGCCACAATTCTTTGGAAACATGCCCATCGTCATTTTTTAATGAATGAGCCACGTGCGGAAGGACGATCGTTCAATTATAGAGTTTGAAGGCGGCTTTTTGTTCTTCTTCTTCATCCGAAACTTACCAGTGTGGTAGTAAAAAGTACGCTAACTCACGTGAGTATCCCATTTAAACAACATCATCGTGGAGTAGTCTTGTTCCACAGTTTTAATACTACGAATATCATGTCTGTGGCTCTCTTTCCATTGATATATATTCCCGGCTCGCTCATGATCATCCTGTTCTTTCGATCAATTGATTGATTTTCTACTTATTCTATCCCAGTGCTTCACAAGTACTTCACATTGTAATCAAAAGTTTTACCTGTCATTATAAACACACACCGAGTGCCAGAACCATCGTACTGTAATGTGTGATGATCATATAAGGAGGGGTCAAAAAGCCACATTAAGAGAAAGATGCTGTGAGTATGGGGATACAACAACAACAGCTCTAACTGTATCAAAAAGTTTGCAATGAATACTTCTTTGATTTACATAGTATCGTACTACTACTACTATTGTAACATTTTACAAAGGGTAAAAAGGAGATAGAACAAAAGAAACAGTGATTCATGCTAGGATAGATGGAAATGTGGAAAGGGGGAGGGGGATTCAGCATTATGACTTGAAGCGGAAAAAAACCTTTTTCCCGAATATGTATCAAAAACATGGGCACACTCTCAACATTTGTAACTTCTTAGTGTAGCATTCCCGATATAAAAGGGCCCAAGAGGAGTACATGGCAATAGTTGTAACAAAAAGTGATTTCATAAAGTATATAAAGTTAAAAACTGCTTTTTTGTTGTGTGTGTGTATGTGCTCAATCTTGCAGGAAAAGAATAGATCAGCTTCTTCCTTGCGACTTGTCAAGACATAGAAGGATATTTACAGTAAACACCCAACCCATAAATCATTGAATATATATAAGATCAATGTATTCTTTTGCAACCTCTTTTACCTTAGCATGAAGAGCCCTCCAGGTATACACATCACTGTAAATGTGTATATTCTAAATGCATGTTTACTCCTATAAAATGCTGCTGCCAGCAGGAACATAAAGTCAGTGCAGATTTTAATGTGGAAATTCCCAGTGGTCCCCGCCATTTCGATCAAACAGTCAATCACACTCTGAAAGTAAAATAATCGTCACCAGTCAAAAAAAAAAAAAAGCATATTAAGTTGCGTGCTTTGCGTCGAATGGAAAAGCTTTGAAAATAATCAATTCTGAAGATGATCTTCTAATGCACAAGTGAGCATTAATTACCAACTCACCCGCCTACAGACTCTGTTATTTCATTAGTTTTTTTTTTTTTTTTTTTGTATGTACCTTGATCATAGTATTACCGCTTGCCAGACCTTTTTTGCGACGACATGATCCTTGCGCGCTCAAGACAACTTTTTCTTTTATATAAAGTTTACATCCTATGCCAAGTATTCCGATCATAAGCATCCCCATAAACCCTGCCATCCATACCAGTATGTAGGAGATGTATAAGACATCAAAGCTTACAACAGTCAGGCCACCACTAGGAGAAAAAAGCACTCGTGGGTTAGCTTCACAGAGAACAATGGTACTTGTACCACTCTAGCCAAGCATACACACAAACCACCAAAGACATGAATACAGCAGCTTACACACACCCAACACATTTTTTTAAAAAAAAAAAGGCCTTATGTCTGTGACATATAGACTTCTTGTAAGCCTAATCAAAAAAAAAATATATAAAGGTGCTGTGCTCCGTTATCGAGATAATCCAGCTATAGCAATTATGGGGAGTAACAAGCGAATACGTCGTTAAGATAAGAGGTCTGCGAGTCATGCCTTACCAATAAATGTGACCTGAATTGCTGCTGTTGGTAGCCTTGTTGAAACTAACGCGCACTCTACCATTGATGCTATTGGCAAACGAATTTTTGCCTTTGAAAAAAAAAGACACGCACGTTAAAAGGTTATCACACTTGAAGGACTGTGGTTGCCTCACCAGGTTTGATTTTATGCTCTACATAATAGGCTTTATATCGTTGTGTCTTTTAACCTTTGGAATCGCAGAAGCTTACAATCGCTTACAAAATTAAAAAAGTTAGCTATAATATCATCAAAAAATGAATAAACATGTTCCTCTTTGATCTGAGAGCGGTGATAACGCGTCACTAAAAATCAACTTGACGCTACTCGTAGCTCTGTACATACTACTTGGTTATGGATTCAACTCTCCGTCAGTTGCAACTTTTTATAGCTACTGTACACTATGTGAGGCTCAAAGCTAAAAGAGCAAAAGTTGAAATGCTTGAAATAACACTCTGGCTTTGTTCACTCTTAACTATAAGCAGTTGACCGTTACGCGTCACAACAATCGCAACAAACAAAGATGTTGAGAAGCTAACTGTAATAGAAAAAAATGGGGTCAAGGAGACACAAAGGGAGAAAAATTCGGTTTTTGTACAGGATTTCTCCTAATGATTGGCGGGTTTTTTTTTTCATTTTGGCGTTGGGGGGAGTCTTTTGATTGGTGGTGTGTTTTTCGTGATTGGCAGGAGGTGAAAATTACAATGGCAGTGTAATTTGTGATGTTGGCAGAATTATGAAATTCATGATGGCAGTTGGGAACTGTAATTTTGTTCCCTTCTTAAAAATAATTTTTTCTTGAGCTTTCTGACTTATTGAACATTTTGTCTCTATCGATACAGTGAGGCACAAACGAAAGAGAGTGCCTGATCCATCCTTAACAGTCATCAGCGATGACTTGGTTAGTGAATACAGATGACGTTCCAATATGATGTATATACAAGAAGTTCTAACGTGGAGTATATACAAATGTTACACCGGATGGGACAAAAAAAAATCTACAACCAAGGGATACTCATAAGGTTATATACTGCTTATTAATCAACCATTTACTCCCCCCACCTCCTCCACCACCAGCACCCATGGTCTCCTCGACATCGACTAGTACTGCTACATCAAAACCAGTATCTACAGCTGACCAAATTGCAAGCAAGGCAAATGAACGAAATAATGCTACTGCTAATGATATTCCACCGCCTCCACCTCCACCACCCATGCTAGGACAAACCGTTCCAGCTCGATCAACAAGTGCTAGTACTACAGCAACAAATATAGATCCAAGTATACCTCCGCCACCGCCACCTCCGCCACCACCAGGTGGAAGTTCAATTCCTGCGCCACCTCCACCTCCACCAATGCAATCATCCACATCATCAACAACAGCAGCTCCTCCACCGCCACCTCCCCCTCCTCCCCCTCCTCCTGGTGGACCTGCTCCACCACCACCACCACCAGGTGCACCCATGCGAAAAATGTTACGATATTATCCAGATGTTAAATCGCGTGCACTTCAATGGACTAAAATGCAACATCAAGTGGTTGGAAAAACAGTTTGGAGTGATGATGTTATTGATGAAGACGCATTAGAAGATGAAATGAATGATCTTGGTGTATTTAATTCTGTCCAAGAATTATTTGCTCAAAAACAAATCCAACATAAAAAGCGTGTTTTGGAAACCAAAAAACAAGAAATTTTCATTTTGGATCCTAAAAAGATTAATAGTATTAGTAAGTTTGATTTGGAGTTGTTGTTAATATTATCAAGAAGAAAAAGAAAACTAACATCATATAATCCCTTTTTTTTATTTTTTTTTAAAAAAAAAAGATATTTCTATTTTGGCAAAACTTAAACATGTTCCATTCCCTACGGTTGTAAAGAAAATATATGCTGTAGAAGATCCTATATTTACTGAAAATCTTCTTAAGAGTTTACAAGAAAATGTACCAACACTAGATGAATTGGGCAAATTGTCTGTCTTTGTCAAGGGTGCATCTGAAGAAGATTTGGAGTCATTATCTCGTCCTGATACATTCTCCTATGAGGTAAAAAGAAAAAAAAATCACAATTGTTTATGATTTTAGGTAAACTAAACCATTATTAATTCATGATATATATATTCGAATTTTTAGAATGGTACCTGAAATACAGAATATGCTTGAGGCTTAATTTTGTGATGCGAATCTTGAAGAGGATAATTTACGACATCCTTGTCCCTTATAACACATAATGCTGACAAAAGGTTTCACAGTGAAAAACTGGTATTCTTTATAATATTACATTCAACCGGTATCGTATATCCTTGGAAACGCATGCAGATAGAGTACCCCGCTGACAATGGAACGTTCATATTATATTCAACACTGGATGTTATGGTTGATTTGGTATCGTCAGCACTTGGTGATATTCATTCATTATTACACTATTGATCATACAGAGCGTAGTAACAACATCGTAATTATATATATGACAACAAACACAGTATAATTGTAATTTAATATATGAACCAAAAGTAACGAGAAATCAATGCCAGGTTGAAAATTGGAGGTTTTTATTGTGTGTTTTGAAAATAACAAAAAGGATCCAAGTCAATTTTTTTGCAGACAGCGCTCGCAAATAGACCATCTTGTCGCGCAATGTATAGTAAATTAGAGTGCTAATAGTGTATTAAACAAGTGTGTCAGCATTGTGACATATAATTATTCCGTTCCCAAAGACAAACCACGCTTTTTGATTTTTTTTTTTTACCTTTGTAGCTCTTGGTTTTATGCATCATGATATGATCGTCCGTGACTCGTGGTGGGTATCCATCTATAACAATGTATACTTTTTTTACGATTAATATACAGAATAATGAGCCTAAAACAAGAATTGTTTGTATACTTTCCTTGTGAGAATGGTGAGATTTAACATCACTAGATCCACCGGATAAAGCAAAAACAATCCCAATCGCCCCACCTCAAAAGGCAGCACCATCAAAATATAGCACCACACAGTCAACGCGGGGGGTGTCACAGCAGGGAAAGCTGTCAAGCTCATGGGATATGCTACAGACCGGCCCCTCCTATACCTTTCAAGTCCCTCAGTATACAACAGGCCTGGGTGTCACATTGCAGCTTAGATAGCCACGCTGTCAGATCTGTTCTTCATCCATGCATCTCGCAACCCCAATCGCCCCACCTCAAAAGGCAGCACCATCAAAATATAGCACCACACAGTCAACGCGGGGGGTGTCACAGCAGGGAAAGCTGTCAAGCTCATGGGATATGCTACAGACCGGCCCCTCCTATACCTTTCAAGTCCCTCAGTATACAACAGGCCTGGGTGTCACATTGCAGCCAAGATAGCCACGCTGTCAGATCTGTTTTGTACGGTACGATGCATTTGGATCTTCTTGTACGATGGTCTCGAAACATCAGGCGCTAAATATTGGTTTCGTTATAATTTAGTATTTGGCTGTGGTATTGCAGATGAAAAAGTGGTCATACATTACATTGTTAAACTATAAAGAAAAGAAAAAAAGGACACGATGGTAAACAAAATTTAATTCTAAACGTTTGATGTTGTTTCTATATTCAGCTTACCAAAAAAAAAAGAAGAACAAATCTAATCCGCTTGATTATCATAATAGGAGCAATCGATTTTAAACATCGTCCAAGGAAAAAAATAATAATCGCCAAGGCTGTAGTTTTTTAGCCCTACTAAGATCTGTGTTCACTAACCAAGTCATCGCTGATGACTGTTAAGGATGGATCAGGCACTCTCTTTCGTTTGTGCCTCACTGTATCGATAGAGACAAAATGTTCAATAAGTCAGAAAGCTCAAGAAAAATTATTTTTAAGAAGGGAACAAAATTACAGTTCCCAACTGCCATCATGAATTTCATAATTCTGCCAACATCTTAAATTACACTGCCATTGTAATTTTCACCTCCTGCCAATCACGAAAAACACACCACCAATCAAAAGACTCCCCCCAACGCCAAAATGAAAAAAAAACCCGCCAATCATTAGGAAAAATCCTGTATGTGGTTGTGTGCACGGTTAGCTTGGCCCCTTCCGAAACTCAAAGCAATGCAGCATTCAATATTGCCATTTTTAATAAGATCCGAGTAAATAAACATGCAAGTAGTGTTCTGTCACAGAATCATGTTGTAGCACGTGTGCTGTGCTACAAGCAAGAGAGAAAGTCTGAACAGAGTTGTTGCAAAGAAGCAATAGACTTAGAGTGGCGGCATAATGACAACACGCCCTTAAGACCTCTTTTTCGTTACTGCGTTCCTCTTATACAATGGAGACCCACGAATCATGGTATATAACAAGTCCTGATTAGGTGAATATTTTTTTTTTTTTGAAACAGGCTATGATAACTCATGGATTGACAGAATTTTCATGCTGCCAGAACAGGAATAGTAATTCTCTCGTTCCACTTTTTCTCTAATATGAGCATGCTTCTGAAAGAGTACCATGTGTTCGTGCATCTAGATGATGTACACAATAACCCGTTGCTCTGTATTAGGATCGATACAGCGCTTCTATCATTATTTCGTGATTTAATTTGCATGTACACGCTTTTCTTCGCGAGATCTTCTAGTGAGCGCGCGTTCTCATTATAACAGAACTTCTTGCTGTGCCTTTTCCTTTTTTTTAAAGCTTGCGCAGAAAATTCTTGTTCTAAAACATACGCGGGTGATGGTATCCGCACGGTGGGAACTTACACGTAAGGTCACTGCTGCTGCTGCTGCTGCTGCACATTTGTATTCCTTGATGACTGCAAAGTACGACCTAGTTCTTTAAGCGAGTAACACAGCCCCGACCATGCTGTTGTGTTGATGATGATTCAAAGGCTAATAAGCTTCCTGTTTGTCCATCCATTGGGTTTGTTAGCCACCATCTAGTAGGTGCATATGGTCCAAGTCAGTCGCGCGGCTGAACAGTTTTGTTTTTCAATGATATAAACAAAAGGAGTGTTACTGATGATTACAATCTTCAATGATACGTCGTTGATACACAAATTCTTGTATACTTTCAACTTTTCATACAATGTCTGCTGCTTGCCAAAGACTCCTTATCTCTCCCTTTTTGCATAGAAAGCCTAAACAGCACGAGCTACATATTTGACTCAAAATGCTCCATATGCACGGACCGTGTTATTGTTTCATAAAAAAGAAAACACGGGGGACTATGTTGTTTTTTTTTGCTTTGAGGGCAGGATCCGTTTTTAGAACTGAAAGATAATCGACCATAAGCAAGCAGCTGAAAGCCATTTTTGAGCTTAAGTTTGGCTGACAGCAACCGAATCCACATTCATAAACATTTTTTATTAAAAACTCTTTTTTAATAATGACACGTATTATACCCCCACTCATCGCGTAGAGGTGTAGATCATTACGGATCACACTTTTATATATTTGACTGACGGAACAAAACATAAAATATAGATATACGTCTGGCGTTGTGTTTCCCTTTTACAAAATGTGTGTGTATCTAGAATATAGTAGTAGTAGTTGCAAGTAAACAGAACATTTTCTCCATCGGAGCTACTCAAAAAAAGATCATCGGCTATCGTAAATCTATAATATAAGCTTGTTGTCTATGTTCCCCGACGACATTGAGCTGTTGCCCTGAGCGCGCACGGACCACACGTTGTGCAAAAAGTTTGAAATTTTGACAAGAGTAGCGTTACTATGGTACAAAACTGGTGCTACAATAATCATTATGAACGGCTATTCTTGCTGTAGTCGCTCGCGGTTTTAAATTGCGCTCGATGCAATTACATCACGTTGTTAAAGAATTACACTGTACAACTGAAACAAGGAAGGGGCCCCTGACTCGGGAGGAACGTCGATCTAACAAGGCTGTATCGATGGTGGTAGAGCAAACAGTTAATAATTCGTTGAGTAGTGACGTACGTGTGTCAGTGCATGTGTATGATTTCTGGCTCTAAAAGTTAAAGGAGGGTCAGTAAACTGAGAAATACATGCGCTTATTGGAGATCACTAATGCTGGCTGTACTTTACATAGGATGCTCAGCAGGAGTAACTATGGCTGATGTTTCTAAATATGTACAGCACATACGTCGAGTTCCCCAAATCTTGGGGTTAGGTTTAACTTATAAAAAGGCAGTGGGGGTCCTTATTTTTCATTTTACCAAGGTCGGAGAAAGATGTACTCAAAAAAAAAAAAGTGCTTCCCTCACCGGCATTTTTCGAAACAAGCATAAAACAGGGCCGATTCTTTTCACTTTTCTTTCTTTCTTGTTTCTTCTCTAGTAAGCTTGGCTCACTCTTATCTTAATCTGTTACACAATACACATGTCATTTTATTCCCATAACAACTCGCAACCTAGCAACGAGGGTCGACCTCCACGAGAAGGAGGAGGAGGAGGAGGACGGCCTCAAGAACAAGAAGAAGGACACTATCTACAGCAAGAACAACGACTCGAGGACCAAGGACAAAATTCTTGTATGCAGTGTGGTATGAGTTTTGGGAGCGAGAATGCCGTTCGTCGACATTCACACTATCAATGTCCTAACGGATTCGAGCATATTGGTGGTGTTGAGCATCCTGTTAACCCAGTACGACGACGACGACCAAGCAACAACAACGATGCTCGTAGAGCAAGTGAACCGAGAGCGCTCTCTTTGGAACACTTGCAGTTGCAGAACCCTGGTGATTATGAATGTCGGATATGCCACTTGGTGTTCGACTCAAGCCAGCTGTTTCAAGAGCACATAGCAACCCCTCGTTCTCAGACGTCATGTTTGGTGTGTGGATCGCACTTTTTCAATCGTTCGTGTTCGTATATGATGGTCCACCAAGGGTCGCAAAGCTGTATGGCTCGTTTTGATTCTGCGATATTGGAGAATGCATGGCAAGTCATGGGCGAGACGAAAAGTAGCGGGTTGGATGGGAGTGAAAACAAAGTCAACAGGAGAAGATAGGGATATAGAACGATGGCATCACTACTAACGGTAGTAGTCATGGTATTGGTAGTATGTACTCATCAATAGACCAAAAAAAACCACTAATTAACTTTTGTAATGGATATACCACCCCCGCTCTCTCTCTCTCTCTTTTATCTCTTTTTCTTTAACGCTTTAAGCCAGCCCATATCCCCACTTTTATATATATATATATATACCCGCTCCATCTTTACCGTTTAGTAGAAATACACAAGTCAACAAAAGTTTTTGCTATTCACTCTTATTCTGCTATTTTTCTTTAAAGAGATAAAAGATACTATTTCTGTTGTAGTACCCATGGCAAGAGTGTGATGATAGAGGTGAATTGCTTCGGGAAGAGCAAAGCGAACTTTATTGTATGGTACATTTTTGTTTTCTGTTGGTATATGTATGGTATTTTATCTACAAAGGGAGAGGGAAGAACAGCGGGGAGATGTGCAATGAGTTATTATGTGTGAAATTGTAAGAGTACTATATACGTGCATGTTACTACTTGTGAGTGATTGAAATAGCTTGACCAGCGCACACAACTATGAGCGAAGAAACCAGTGCCGGAGAAGACGATCAGCAGTCGGTCGATTTTTGGGGTCCTTATCCAAGCATTGTTCCATTACATCCAGTAACTGAGGCGTCACTTCTTCTCCAAGCCGACTTTTCTGCGGATAGTGAACAGGTGCCTTTCGTATCGCCGCATCCTTGTTTGGGTGTTTATTAAATGGAGTGACACCGTACACCATTTGATACAGTATGATACCCAAAGCCCAGATATCGGCCGGTGGACCGAGCTAATAAGAAAAGAAAAAATAGAGTCGTGAATATGCTATAGAGATCAACACATTAAAATGGGAAAAGGGGGAGGAATAGATTATTACGGTACCTTATACAGTTCTTTCTTGGCCTCCTCTTCGTCCAAATCCAAATCATCCATGTCTTCTTCATTATTGTTTGGCATCGTACTAAAGATATCGTCAAGGGCTTCTGGTGCCATGTAGTTTGGTGTGCCATACTGTAACCATAGGTCATTGAGAAAATTTAGTAACTTGAAACTTTCCCCTATATTCCCCTTTCTCTCTCTCTATATTCATATTTCCAAGTGAATGATAACTTACAATTGAGTTTCTTCGGATATTCATCGTGTTCCCATTGATCGCCTTTGCGATACCGAAATCTATTATCTTAACTCTACCCTTCACCATGACAAAGTTGCCAGGCTTCAGGTCTGAGTGTACAATCTTTCTTTGATGTAATAGCTGGGTAGCTTCTACCATCTATTGTTATTTTTTTTTTGTTCGTACGTTAATAACAACAATGATATTTGTAAAAAACCAGGATGAAATAAAAAAAAACCAGAGTCCACCTCCATTGTTCTGTTTCTCAATGTCGCTTTCCTTTCCATATTCAACTTTTTTAAACGTTTACCTTTCGCCAAAAATGCCTAATTTCGTAAATGTTGAGCTTGTTGTGATGAAGATAGCTAGCAAGATCAATTTCTCCGTATTCAAAAAGCTATTTGTTTTGTGCGGGAAAAATTTCAGGTCAGTAATTTATGCAGTATGATTTTAATCTTTTTCTTTTGGACAGTGTAAGATAGATATACACTATCCGCCCATCTATTACGAAATCCCTTAGCTTACCAAACGCAATTGGCATTTACTTCTCGAAACCTCGTAATCATACATTCGTATCACGCAGTCATTGCCTTGTAATTGTTTTAAAAGTATAACTTCTTCAATGTACAAGTCAAACTGGGTTGTATTGAACCTGTCAATCATGATATCTTTCAACGCATATTCAGTTCGGTCTAAGCCCATGACTTTGTATACACGACTTGATCCACCGGACTTGATGTGATTGAGTTGGACATATTGTTTACCTCGAAACTTTCAAGTCAGTTAATACAAATGTACTGTAGAAGTTCTTTTTGACAGGCTTCTACTTGCTCTATCTTTCTTACTCCATTCCATTCAACATGCTTATTTGGTACTTACGGTAATCATATCAAAGCCCGGTGGCAGGTCGTTGGGTTTACTCGCTTGTGGTGCTGATGGCGTTAAGGGTTTTGAGGGCGTCGGATGGGGTGTGCAGGGAGCAGCCTGGGCTAATGAAGGCGCGGGGTGACCTTCTTGTCGTGGCAGCTTTTTTACGGGTGGTTGATTGTCCAAAGGACGTTTGATCTGGAAAAGAGGCATACAATACGGGGTCAATGCATGGCTCATCCACATTCCAAAGCATGGTATTACTTACAGGACAACTCGGTCCGGGAGAGGGCGAGCACTAGATAGAAAATCAGAATATTTCGTTTGAGAACGACCGTACTACTAAGGACACACGATTGACTACTTACACTTGGCTGTCTTTTCTCCTTTTCTGGTAGCCTTGATTCATTTTTCTATTACCGAAGGGGCAAAAAAATCAGTCATTATTCACCGTCTCCTACTATGCCGTCACTTTGGATAGTACAGGGAAAAGAACCTTTCAAAACTTACTGAAACATCTTTATCCTGACATCGGCCCTGTGATTGCTTTGCCTTCCCTTTGTGATTGTCATATTCGTTTGGCTATTAACAAAAACACAGTAGCGAATGAATATCCTCGTCCAATTCTTCTTCTTTATCGTACGCATCTGCACTTACAGTCAAAGGAGATGTGAAATCCGAGCCGCTCACGGTATTACTATGATTAATGTTAAGCGACGGTGTCCCTTCATTGCGCGTGATACTGTCTGCAGTGCTACTGCTGCTGGCTACGGGTTGGTTTTTTGCTGAAAATGCTATCGCTGACAGTGATGGTGATGGTCGGATCGCTTGCGCAGCTGGTGCTGCGAAGGTTTCTGCGTTCGATAATCGATTTGACAGTGGTCCGCTATCATTGTGATAGCTGTTGGTTTTGACCGTATTGTTATTATTCGATAAGGTTGTAAAGGTTTTAGTGAGGCTGCTGACGGTACTTGTACTTGTTATGCTAGCACCCGATGTCGATATATTAATCGGACGGTTAGGTCTTTGGTTAGGACAGATAAAGCCCCGTTTCATCGTAGTGTGTTCTGGCGTGCCAATAGACGGTGATCGCGTCAATGAAGGCTGTACCGATTTCAGAATTCAAGTACTCAAGTACATTAGTGTTTACACTTTTTTTTTCTCTTTCTCTTCTTTTTCCCGCACCCTCAATTTAAGAATTGCTTGCCGTGTGAAGTTTCTTAACTTACCGATCGTGGAGAGCTTGGTAGTGTAGAATGAACTACGGATGTAACCTGTAAGCAAAACGTTAGAGAGAATAAATATACTTATTCATATTTCGTGTCCTTCGTTCCTGGTTTAAAAGCAGGACGTTTATACATACAGGGGTAGAAATGGTGGTGGTGGCAACAGGTACAATGACATTGCTGATTTCTGTACTATTGTCATTATTGTCGTCGTCGTCGTCGTCGACGTCGTCGTTTTTCCAATTGAGATAACTAAGGTCAGGGCGTTCAGGTTCCTCATCGGATGACTCCAAATCAGGATTACTATTTTCGCTTTGTTGTAGCTGTGCACCGGATGAAGTTGAATCACTGTCGTTGTCGTCGTCGTCATGATTGCGATAAACAGGGATAGACGTCGCTGTAGTAGGTGTCAACGCATGGTTCATACGTCGGTTGTGATTGTGTAGGGTCGATTCAGTAAGAGCAAGGGAACACGGTGAAGAGGATTTGGAGGAAGATCCAGGCGATTCACAAGACATGGTTAATGTTCTTGATAGTTGACAAGACATGTAACTAGCCCAAGTTATGAGGAAAAAAAAAGTTATGTGGACGCGAAAATGACCTGGCGAAAAGGGTGCTGCTTAATTCCGACAAGACTCCGTGCAAAAAAAATTAATTCACCCCGCATAGTGCTAGGCCGCTCATATGTCTCGTACAAAGTGAATAGTATCGCTAGAGCTACTGAATGTGAGCTGTGGGTGATCTTTATCATGTGGCAGCTGAAAGTTATATCAATGTCACCTTGATAAACCTGCCTTTCTCTCTAAGCTTATCCAAAGTGCCAAACCAGTATATTAAACGCTTCAAGGACACAACCAGGGAAATGAATACACTTAATGAACGCCAAATCCCAAGCTACGCTACTAGTTCAGGTCCAGAGTACGAAGAAAAAGAGCGGCATTAAGCTAGCCTGAATAAACAAGCTGCCACAACAAAATGAGTAAGTGATACTGTCTTATTGCAGATAATACTTTAAATAAAGTTTGATAGGCATACACCGCCAAGGAGCATCACACATCCTTCTTTCTAACTATACTTTTCACTTGCTGCTTCGTATCGTGTTCATCACTGCTGCAGAGACCATGCGATACTTGTTTTGTAGCGATCGCTTGAAGAGTCAGTTGGTTCAATACAACATACAGTTTGGGCAAGTTCATACTTTGTCTCCCTGCTAGTGTCTATAGACCAACATATCTGGTACCACCTTGAAACAGCAAGAAAAAGGAAACCGGACCAGTGGGTCCAGCTAATTAATATTTTGTCTTGGCTTTTTGTATTTTTAGATATGAGCAATTACATCATGCAAAAAGAAATATCGTGAATTGCTCATACCATAATGATATTCGATGGATTGAATATATATAAAAGAATACTTATCATCCTAGTAGCTATTATATAGAAAGTGCGGAGACAGTAGCGATGCAAGCATACATGATTCTATACTTCTATAAGGAGCAATTACCGTGATCATGACGGTGGTACATGAGTGGGTACGGGCGGAAAGTTTAAATTTTTTGCCATGATGACAGGCCCAACGCACAAAAAACAAAGAGCCAGGGGGTGGGGCATGTTTCCATACGGAAGGAAAAGGATGATGCTGGAGATGTATGTGTGCGCATGTCTGTTTATGGGGAGGCCTGTATCGAGACACACATATTACCACCTGCCTCCTGATAACTACAACAAGAATGATGCGCCATCAATGTTTACATAGCCACACCATGTATGCTGTGTTGGTATGCCCATTTCCTCCCGAACAAAACCCTGTGTTTAAGCGTAGATTATTCAGCCCGCCCACTCTTATTTCTTTTTTTTCTATTAAGCTTTCTTTTTCGTTTTTCTTATATTCCGTCTCTATAATATTCTTTTCTCTCTCTCTCACCTTGTCTCTTTCTCTTAGAATTATCTCTTCCTTTACAGTCTACATATACTATCCTTTTAATACCTCGTTTTCTTATTATCATTAATGGCCTCCTTTGCGTCCGTCAACCACCCACCTTTCGCATATGACCCCAGCTGCAAGCCGACCAAAAGCATCTTGAAGCAGAAATCTCGATTGTCCCGTTCCTCCTCCTCATGGCTTTCCACCATCAACTCGAGACTTTCCACTGCTTCCATGAATTTTGGTGCTGTCACAGCCGACTCTCCTAATAACAGCAGTAGTAGTAGCAATAATAATAATAATAGTATACCACCATCCCTCGTTACCAATAGCAACAACAGTAATAACGATAATAACGATCCACAGCAACAAGTCCAAGCTCAGGAACCAGCACCGGCACGATCATTATTCAACTTTAAAAAATTCATGAATGCCAACAACAATAATAGCGACAACAACAGCATTTCCTCTTTCAACTCGTTACAAGACTCACATTCACTCGACACAGATGAACTTGCTCCCGACGAACTCAAACGAGTTCGGTTTTCGGTCAAGCAGTTAACGACAGAATACTATCCTTATCGTGCGCCAACGCCACCGCCACCTGCTGCTGCTGCTACTGCCAAAGAAAGTGAGGACGGTGACGACAAACAGGAAGAAGTAAAAGGCGACGATGATGATGACGATGATGAACCAAGCACAGCAGGGTCAGTCGATGCTCCTGAACTTACTGAAAATGCGGCAGCACTACTATTGTCCGACAGTTCTAAACCAAAGGACGACGACGACGACGGCAGTGGCGGCGATGGTGATGCCAAACTCCAAAAGGCCGCCTTGTGTGACAATAAGAAAAAGACACCAACCGAACTGTATGAAATTGCGTGCAGAAATAAGGAGGAAATGCCTTTGCCAGCCTTTATTATAAATTTGAGTCGGGTACATATACATCTTTATTTTAAATTGCATGAGTCTGCTTCTTTTATTAACTCATATCTTTTTATGTGGAAAATAGTCCGCTTTTTTGACGAAAATCGATCTTTCAAACCAGGCTATGAACCGTCGGGTGGTAGAACCAATTGCGGATGTATTGGGATCGGGTTTTGACTTGCAAGAGCTTATCTTGAAAAATTGTGGATTGGAGGATGATGTAAGTAAACAAGAGGCTATTTGCAATAGAAAGCAGGATAATGCTGTATGCTAAATGATTGGTCACCACACGTTATAGGCTCTCAAAGTGCTACTTTACACACTATTGTTGAATGATACGCTGCGACATCTCAACTTGGCAGACAACAAGAAACTCAAAACAACCGGTTTCAAATATATCGCCATCTATGTCAAAGGTGTACGTATGAAACCTACCCATGAGAAATGAAAATAACAACTACGAGAGAACAAAAAAAAAACTGACAGAAAGAACCTGACTGTAGTCCCACCACCTTGAACATCTTGATTTATCAAGGACCAATCCTGACAAAAAAGCAATCCAGTATCTTGCACAGGCGCTCACTGCTTCCCCAACCGCAGAAACTTCATCTTCACCTTCATTAAAGCGACTCTTGTTGGATGGCTGTTTATTGAAACCACAATCCCTTGAAGTGCTTGCATCAGGTGTACGCAAATCACCGAATTTACGACATATATCCTTGCAAAGCAACAGAATCAACAATCAAGGCGCAATCTGGTTAGGTGTCATGTTGCGTGACTATGATAGTCCGGAAAACATCAAGGGATTGGAGTACATGAACTTGAATAACAATGATATCCGTCAAGGTGTTCAGTATATTGCACAAGCGTTGCGTCGAAATCGGAGCTTAACAGAACTGCATTTACATGATTGCAAATTGGATCCCAAGGCCTGTGCTTTTATTGGCGAAGCATTGGTAAGTTTTGTTTAAGAGTGTTTTGTGGGTCATACAAAAATCAGTTTTTCTATTAATATGGATAGGAAAGATGCGTGTTTTTCAAGGAATATTAGATGAATTAATGTTACGTGATTTTTTTTATGCTATATAGAAATATAATCAAGCATTGGCCAAGTTGGATATTAGTGCAAATAGTTTGGTTCAACCTAGTGCCGAAGGAGTAAGTATCAAACAGGTATGATTTGTTGATTATTCAATTATAACACTGATTGGATCTTTTTTAGATTCTCGCTATCAAACAAGCGCTTTATGTAAATTGGAAGCTGAAGGAACTGAACATGTCTGGATCTGGTTTGGGATCAGAAGGTATAAACATTATCGAAGATGCGGGATGGACATGGTATCTAGTAACGACGCCATATTAAATCGGATAAATGAATGTTGATCTCTTTAGCTGCCATTTATCTCGCCGAGTGCCTTCCTGAAAATCGATCATTGCTTCGCTTGGATCTTTCAAAGAACTTGGGCATTGATCTTGCCGGTATGTTGGCCTTGTCAGCCTCTGTGCGGATCAATGATACACTGACATTTTTGGATGTCAATATTCCAGTAAGTGGATGAGAGAAAAAGAATGTCTCCCGTATGAATAAGGGTCTGACGCTAACGCTATCTCATACTAGCCAAATGATCGCGAAATGGCAAGGACTCAAGGTGATATTGTTGCAAGATGTACCAAGAATGCCCAGAATGTGTCATCATCAAATGAACAACAACAGCGAGGACAGGAACAGGATCAACGAAAGGAAGTTCAACGTACGGGATCCCAAAGCTCTTTGGATCCAAATGCTATGGTTACAACCGCCCAGTCCACAGCACGATTGACGTTGCAAGAACGGTTGGCAGCTGTTACCCGTGGCAAATCGAGCCCAGCTGTCAATAGCAACAACACTATTAAGCCAACGCTAGCAGAAAATGCCAAGGCCACTACTCCTCCTCCCCAACAACAACAACAACAACAACAGCAAAAGAAGAAATCAATTGTTGTAGATGCAGAAATGGTGACTACGGCTACCACCCAAGTCAGTTTGTTTGAGGATATGCTCAAAGCAGAAGCGAGTCAACGAGATGAAGTGATGGATGCTGTGCAGCCACCGGGAGATGTAATCCGGGTATGTATTTTCTTTTTTTTAAAAACTTGATCAAGTGGGGGTGTGAAGTAGTAGAAAGAGAGTTTACGAACAAAAATTAATTACCTTTTACCATTATATCTTTAGCAAGTGTATGGACAATGTCGAAAATCGCAAACTGTGATCAGCGCACACATTCCTAAAGTGACAGACGATGATGAACTGGGTAAATCATTTGACCGGTGTCTTACTATCATGAGCATTTCTTTTCGCTGACATTTTTTGTTTTATATCATAGCTCAACTTTTGGTATTGAATGATCGTTTGACTACAGCTATCAATCGATATCAACAACTTTTCTCGGCAGAAACAACCACAGCTACTACTACTCCAAACCCAGCAGGAGAAGAAGAACTGCAGCATCAACAGCAGGAGCAGCACCAGGAGCAGCACCAGCAGCAGCCGGAATCTGCTATGGAAACAACCAAGAATGAATCCAAATTAGAGGAGGGCAGTAGCGTGACCACATCATCTAGCTTTCTCTTAGAAGGCACTGAGCCACCATTGTCAACTTCATTCGAAATTGGGGACGTGGATGAAGACGATGATGATGATATGGTTCCAATGCGACATCCGTCACCTGGAATCGAAAGTCAATAAAAGAAAAGAAACGCCTACATTCTACATGTGAGATTGGAGCATATATACATGTCTGTATCTGACACTCAGTTATCGATTACTAATAGTAGTGTGGGGTATATGAGTAGTAATGTTGTTCCTTCTAAAGTCTTGTGAAGGTGTCGCTTTCTGCTACTATTATGTGTGCTACCAATTTATTGTCTTAAAATTCCTCGAATGATAACAACAAGATGTGTCTCTGTTGCTTATATATCACAAAGTTCTTTTATGCATTCTTCAGCCTAAAATTGATGTAATACACATGTACGTACAGAAGATGAAAAACAGAAAATGTGCGTTTACACAGTTTGTTTCCTCTGTCTATATTCTTCATGGGTGATGGTACCCCAGTATTCCAAATAAAAACTCCATTCCTGTGCCACACGATCCAACTTGTTCAGGAACGTTTTGCCTTGCACGGTTTCAAGAACGTTGGACGGATTCCAGCTGGTTTCATCAAAACGGAGCTGAATATTTTGCATCCGCTTACCCACTTCCAGCATAATATCGTAAAACTTGATCATATGGGGCACAAGTGCTATTTCACTATCAAAAAGATGCTCAATGAACAGCTCGTCAATAACATTGTCTGAGGAAGCAATGGCATGATGCAGCACATCAGGAGCGAAAGCTTGGAGCCGTCCTCTAACACCAAACTTGCGCAGTGTCGTACGACGTGATTCCAAGAACCGAACAAGCCCTTCTTCCGTTACATTATGGCAATCCTCCAAAACGAACTCTTCAACCGTGTCGGGCAGACTAAGCAGCATATCATCGGTGAACGTGATATGACATGATTGTATATGAAGCGACCGGAGATTGGGAGTACAGCGAGGTGTCAACAAATCCATAGCATTTGTTTCGCACCAACGTACAGTCAGATGTGTCAATAAGGGGAATTCGTAACGACATAGTTCTGCCATGGCCCAGGGATGAGAAAACGCGTTGCCTGAGAGGTCGAGCCGTTTTAATACGCTGTGCTGGTGTCGGACAAAGTGATGCAATAGGAATTCAACGGTATGGTATAACTCGTACACAGCGTCATTTATAATGAGTTCCGTCAAACCTCCACTTGTTGCTGCTAGTCTGTTGTCTATGATTTGCTGATGTGGAGATCGTGGTCGTTGTCGCCGGTGTATATCACTTTCTCTTGGCAGATGCAATTTAGTGATATCAAGGTCACCCCATCCGATGATATAATTCGTTAATACAAGCGACGTTAACCGTGGACAATAAAGGCTCAACAGTGAAACGAGTGCTTGACCTGTAAGCTGCCCGAGATCGGGTGACAGTAGTGCAAGCAGTTTTAAATTGGGTGCTGCTTGAAGAAACGGTTCTAGATCGAGACCTTTGTCTAAGCCGAGCGTGAGGTCCGTCAAGTGACAGTTCTCGACCGATGATGGTATTCTCGGCGACCACTCCTCCCAATCATTGAGGTTTATCGAGAATACAAATGTAAAGCTTGTCAAGTTCGGGCATTGCCGGATGAATATATCTGGCGTGACATCGGTTTTCCATTCATCCAGCATTTTTGCGTCGCCCGGTTCGCGGCGCGGAGGAGCAAAATAGATGCGAGTCAACGTCTTGCCGCATCTGGCAAGTAAAGGCATAACGATAGTTTTTGTAAGGCGCTTTGTGCGCACATCAACTATATAAATATTGATCGTTAGAACATAGGGAGCAATCATTGTTGTATATTCTCTACAAAGTTGATTTGGGAAAAAGAGTAATCAAGACATAATAGATTATGTAAAAGCGTAAAGAAAAGAAACGCTACCATCTTGGATCGCATCGCATTTTAGCTCTACCAACAGAAATTTGGCTACGGATGGCCAACAGTCTTCAGCAAACTCTCCTAAATGTACGCGTTTAACAGAAGATGCTTCTATATAGCGCCGGTAAGGTAACAAGTGAGGCACTATAGTATGCTGGTCATCTGTCGACAGGTTTTGCCACATATCGTGTCTGCACAAAATCATGGCTTGCCAGGATTTACAAACAGTGCTACACCGTATTCGCTCTCGAAATGTCAACAGTGTCAAAACTGAATCTTGAACTTCGGTTGGTGAAATTGATAACCGATCGGCTCATTGATCGTCATGACTTTTGCGAGTTGTATGTTAGGTAGAGAAAAAGAAAGAGGACATTAAAAACAGTGCCAGGCTAACGCTGCATAATTTCTAGGTGACACAAGTTCTTCCTTTGTAAGGCTTACATGTGGTATGGTGTGGCGCAATCATGATGCACACGAACTTTGAAATAAATCACAATACGTATTACGCGACCAGGATCGAGTGTTACAACGATATTAAGCACCGATGCCAAGACTGTACGAGAATACTGTCAGCTTCAGAGGTGCAAGTGTTTTTAAGGAGGGTGCAATCATCTTCGCTTAAACGATGTGGAACATTTTTGTTTTTGAGCTGAGTGCTACCCTCAACTTTTTCAAAGTAATAAACTGGGTCTCTTTCTTGTTATAAGTATGCCGACCAAAACGGTGTTTTGCCGACATATAAGTTCGGCAAAGAAAGCGATACTTTAAAAGATGCAACAATGAACCGGAGGTGATCAGCCTTAAGACAGCTTACAGTATTTCTTACTTTATCTTACTGATTAAAAGGGAAACAACCTATTTCACTTTCAATCCTTCAGCGAGTGGGCGGTTCGATGTTAAAAAAGTAGAATCTTCACAAGGAAAATATACAGTATATGATATTGTATGTAATAAAGCTATGGTACAGGTTGTCAGAAAAGCATCATTAGTCAAACATACAGTATCTTGTTATGTATCAAACATCATCCAGTAGGCCTATAAAACAGCATCGAAAAGAATAGAAACGGGAAAAAAGAATCACGTCAATGAGTATTTCGACTACCACGATTGCCCGACTCTCGTTAACTTTCAACCCTCAGTAACTTCAATCTTTTCAGAGATAGTTTTATACGGGAAGTGTATAAAGCGCAAATTTCCTTTCATGCATTCTTCAGCCTAGGACTGATACATTACACTGGTACAAAGTATAGTTTATTTACTTGGTTCGTTTTCTCCGTCTATATTCTTCATGGGTAATGGTAACCCAGCCTTTAAAATGAAATATCCATTCATTTGCCACACGATCCAACTTGTCTAGAAACGCTTTGCCTTGCACAGTTTCGAGAAAGTCGGGCGAATCATAAAAATCATCAAAGCTGAGTTGGATCTTTCGCATCTGCTTACCCACATCCAGCATGATATCGAAAAACGTGATCATGTCGGGCACAAGTCTTATAATAATACCGGTAAGCCGCTCAATGATTAACTCGTCAATAACATTGTGTAGGGAAGCAATGACATGATGCAACACATGAGGTTCGATTGCTTGGACCAACCGTCTAAAGCCGATCTTGCGCAGGGTCGAACGACGTGATTCCAAAAACCGGACGAGTCCTTCTTGCGTTACAACGCAACAATCCTCCAAAATGAGCTCGTCAACCGTGTTGGGCAAATTTAGGAGCATAGCATCGGTGAAGGTGTACAGACATTCTCGTATATGAAGCGACCGGAGATTGGGAACACAGCGAGGTGTAATGAGCTGATGCATTAAATCCATTGCGTCTGTTTTGCTGTAACGTACAGTCAGATGTGTCAATAAGGGAAATTCGTAGCGGCATACTTCTGCCATTGCCCGGTGCTCGGAAAACGTGTTGCCTGAGAGGTCGAGCCGTTCTAATACGCTGTGCTGATGTCGGACAAAGTGATGCAATAGGAAAACAGCGGTTTGGCGAAAAAAGCCCACAGAGTCATGTAACAAGAGATCCGTCAAATCTCCACTTGTTGTTGCTGCCAGTCTGTTGTCAATCGATTTCTGATGCGAAGATCGTCGTCGTCGTCGTCGCTGCAGATCACTTCTTCTTGGCATATGTAATTCGGTGATATCAAGGTCACCAAGTTGGGGTGCATTACTCGTCAACGCAAGCGACGTTAACCGTGGACAATGCTGATCCAACAGCGAAAATAGTACTGGACCAGTAAGCATCCTGATATCAGGAAATAGTAGTGCAAGTTGTTCCAAATTGGGTGCCGTTTGAAGAAACGGTTCTAGGTTGAATTCTCTATCTACACCGAGCGTAAGTTCGGTCAAATGAGAGTTCTTGATCGATGATGGTAATGTCGGTGCCCAATCCCTTATAAACTTGAACGATATCGAAAATACAAATGTAAAGCTTGTCAAATTCGGGCATTTCTGTATGAATATATCTGGAGTGACATCGGTCTCCCATCGTTCCAGCATTGTTTCGCCACGTGGAGGCGCAAAATAGATGTGAGTCAACGTGTTGCCGCAGCTGACAAGTAATGGTATAACAATGTATCTCGCCAGGCGCTCTGTGCGCACATCGACTATATGTATATTGGTCGTTATTACATACAGTAGGGAGCAATCGTCATTAAATTGGTTTGATCAGGACATAGTAGATAGTGTAAAGGTGCAAGAAAAAATAACGAAGAGAAAAGAGACGCTACCATTTTGAATCGCATCGCATTTTAGCTCTGCCAACACAAAGTTAGCTACTGATGGCCAACAGTCTTCAGCAAACTCTCCTAAATGTACGCGTTTAACAGAAGATGCTTCGATATAGCGCCGGTAAGGTACCAAGTGAGGCACTATAGTATGCTGGTCGTCTGTCGACAGGTTTTGCCACATATCGTGTCTGCACAAAATCATGGCTTGCCAGGATTTACATACAATGCTACACCGTATTCGCTCTCGAAATGTCAACAATGTCAAAATGGAATCTTGAATTTCGGTTGGTAAAATTGATAACCGATCGGTCTCATTGTTCGTCATGACTGTCGCGAGTTGTATGTCAAGTAGACAAGAAGAAAGAGGACATTAAAAACAGTGCCAAGCTAACGCTGCATTTTATGCATTATTTTTAGGTGACACAAATTGTTTCTTTGTAAGGCTTACATGTAGTATGCTGTGGCGCAATCATGATGGACACGAACTTTGAAATAAATCACAATACGTATTACGCGACCAGGATCGAGTGTTACAACGATATTAAGCACCGATGCCAAGACTGTACGAGAATACTGTCAGCTTCAGAGGTGCAAGTGTTTTTTAAGGAGGGTGCAATCATCTTCGCTTAAACGATGTGGAACATTTTTGTTTTTGAGCTGAGTGCTGCCCTCAATTAAGTAATAAACTGGGTATCTTTCTTGTTATGAGTATGCCGACCAAAACGGTGTTTTGCCGACAAATAAGTTCGGCAAAGAAAGCGATACTTTGAAAGATGCAACAATGGACCAAAGGTGATCAGTCTTAAGACAGCTTATTTCTTACTTTCTATCTTATTGATAATACGGGTGTCTGTCCGGCTCCATGGCTGTTTATTAAATCACGTCTGACGGCAAGTGATTGGCAGATACTACTACGACCATTCTATAAAAAGCGCAGCAACGGGCTGATGTTGATCACCGTTGAAACACATACTTCAATTTTGTTTTTCTCAAGCAAAATGTTCTACAGTGATAAAACTGGTACTGTAGAAACCCGCTTCTTTAAAAACGTCGACAAAAAAAAATAAAATTTCACGTACGTATGGCGATATATAATGCGCATTGTTTTACATTTAAGAAAAAAATTTACTTCGCTCACTTTTACTTTATCCATCGAATAGCAAAGAGTCGTCAAGTTACATGAAGAAATGGTCCCATTCAAAGATAGGACTTGACTAGAGTGTTGTGGCTATTCTTGGTTCACAGAACACAGGTAAAAGTAGAGAAACAAGAGCATAAAACAACAGTGCTTATGGTTTTCCTTTGGGAGAACGAAAGAGTATGAGCAGTGGACGAAGGATAAGCTGAAACCGTAAATTTAATACCCGATCTATCATACTTAATAGACACCCTGCTGAACCAATTGTTTGCTACATCGTTTGATATCATAGATTCGAATAAAGCTGGGCAAACAACTCCCATTGCTCGTTATGGACGTCGAAGGCAGCAATGGCCGTGAAGGCGGCGAGGACAACAATTTGGAGCGTAAAGCGGCTCTATTTTCACTGGCAGCAAGGCGTCAGATCATTTAAAATCTACACAGGTCTGAAGTGAACGATCAGAACAATATGAGTTTGCTGCAGACGGTTTTTGAGTCCAGCCTTCAATTATTCAGAACTCAAAACGAGTGAGCCTATATTTCTTGTGGTCAATTTATGATATGTCTTTATACATTATCCTTGTTTAGCTTTTTTGCTTTGAGCTCCACGCATATTTAAAGACCTTACAATATTCACACTTTAGTAGTAAGGAAAAGACTGTGATGTTCCAACTATCGTTCGTGATTATGATGGGTCAGCCCATACTTGAAAGCTTGACGAGAACGTTTAGACTATTATACAAGGTACATAATGGAGTTTAAAGGAATTATCTAAAAGGAGAAATCGTCGCTAAATTCAATATGCTTGTATGCTTTTGTGCTAGATGAACTACAGCCCGCAGGACTGGAGAACTTCAAAGTCGAAGATTACTTTGCATTCGATATGCCACTTTGCCTCACAAACTTCTTTTTCCCGAGCAGGTTGATCGGTTGATGAAGAAGTTGCTAAGCTTCGAATTAAATTTCTTTGTTCGTAGGAATATAAACACAGTGCTCCGCTCTCAGTACTGCAGCAAGAAGAATGTTTTTGTCAACGTCTACCATGTTCACATCCCGAGCATTTGGTAAACAATCTGATCGAACAAGGACTTGGTTATAGCAACCCAATGAGAACTTTTGCTCGCAATCCACTGTTAAGAGATTAGTCATGTAATAAGTAGCAGAAATAATCCCAAAAAGTATTATATGCTTATGTAGATCTATTGGCAAGGCAACAAAAGATAATCTAAGAATCTATACATATTATTAATTTATATCATAGACCGTATTCTAACGATTCAAGCAAGATATATAACACCTTAAAATAAAGGAGTCAATGTCAAAGTGGTTCCCTGGTCAGTCTAGCAAGGTTATGGAAGAAGAGCCATAAAGAGTGCGAAGCAAAGCATTGAACTCATTTGAAAAAAAAGACGCTTCTCAATTCCTCCCTAAGTGTCCTTTATATAACCGAGCTCCAAAAGCTGTTATCTAGGTACGGTGCAGAAATAAGCAATGTACATACTACATTTAAATGATTGCAAGTGAAAGGACACTACAGCTGCTGCTGTACATTAGAGTCAATCAAAACATGCTTTGATATATGTATTGCTAGTATTGGCAGCAGTTTTTTCATGGTCAAAAAAGATGAGTCACTATTTGATCCTTGTCTGCTAATATATTGATATCTTCTTATATCCCTATATTACTATTACTATATATACATATTCACTAATACTGATGAGCTTTTATAGCTATATAAGTAAGAGTATAAGCTTAATACTTATCATAAACATAATGTGTTTGCTAATAGTAAGAAGTTACAATATCCTAAGTATTTAATTCAAATATGCATAGAAAGAAAAGTAAGAGAGGAAAGTAGTGACACTACTGACACGCCACCATCGTCGTCGTCGCCGCCGCATGCAAAATTACGTATGCTCAAAAAAGCCTGTGGGACCCGCGAAAACTACGAGCTTGCGTGGTCTAGCGGTTATGATCTCGGTTTCCCAAGCAGGAATTAACCGAGGGCCCGGGGTTCGACTCCCCGCGTAAGCAGTTCTTTTTTTTATGATTGTTACGCAAACAGGACTCAGGGCGATAAGGGAGGAGGGGGTGGAGGAGAAGACGACTGGTCCGCAGTAGTGGTGTCTTCATTTTCAGTCAATTTCATTCTTTTAGCCCGCTCAGCGTCATTGGCACGACGTTTCAAAGTTTTGCGATGGGAACGGCTGCTAAAGTGTTGTTTCCATTCGAGATCGCCATAGAGAATGAGGGGTTCGCCGTTGCTGGTGCGACAAATAGTGCAGGTATGTTTTTGCCAAGTCAATGCACGAGTCTGAGAACTATAATAAAATTAATTTTTCTCAGGTGTGTTACACAGAGAGAGAGAGAGAGAGAGGGAAAACTTACTCCAGTGTAGAAGGCGAGGAGGAGGATAATGGTGCGAGCATAGATGTAGCTAATGATCCGAGCGACGTAGCATCCGGTAGGGGCTTATCCTCCTGAAAGGCTAAAAAAACGTTAGAAGATTAGCGTGGGTACGATGGTGGGTGGCCCAGAAAGTAAATGATTACCGGTTGCTATATCGATTGCATTTTGTCGGACATTCGTATCCCAAGCATCCAAGTCTATTTTCCAAACATCGATGAGCTTCCTTGCACTTTTGCCACTGTAAAATCAAGGTTTACCTGTCGCGTCCAAGAGAAAGATATCCACATCTTTTGATTTGTTGACGATTGACAATAGTTTGTTGCGTATCCATTGCACTTGACGTTTAGCATAGCGTCGAGTGGCAGACTTCATTCGCTCAGTGCATTCTATCCGAATCTTGTCAAGGTCTAATGGGAGCAACGCATATATCAATCAAACTATATATCATTGTCCGCGAGTAAAAGTCGCCTTTACCTTGATCAGATTTGTCATTTGCCTCAATAGCAGAGAAATATGGATCGAATTCCTTGTATCCTATGGCCTGCCATAGTCCACGCTGATACTTTTCCAGATCCTGGCCCGGTAACTGTACGCTTCCGTCCACTACCCGTTTTCTTAATGATTTAATTTCATCGAAAAGACCAGTCTAGTTGTAATAGAGTAGGTGTCAGATCCCAACCTTATAGTCTATAGTGTTTGCATATTATGTCATATTACCTCGATCATTTTATCTACACGGTCATCTAGACGTGGATTTAGTTTCATAGGATCGGCATATAGCCAGAATATCAACGATTTGAACCTAAAAATAAAAAGTTGCAGGATTTGTTTCTGCTTTAGTCAAAAGCCCGCGCTTTTCCATTCTTGTTGCAATATGATTTCATGACTCTACTATATCATTTCATTGTCGACCAGCTGATTTATTACCTTGCTTGCATGCCATGTGCATCATGCTGCTCCTGCTGTTCTTTTATGATATCACTTTGAGGTCGACCTGTTTGATGATATATCTGCAGGCTTCTCAAAATCTTTCGACGATCTGACGGGTGCCAACGGTTGGCCATCACTGGATCCACCTTTTGTAGCTGGGCATGTAAATCTGCCGTACTCAAAGCTTCCAGCTCGGATGATGCTTGTCGTTGCTCTTGTTCTTCTTCATTTCTCTCCTTGATCAGCATATTGTGCCAAAGCAACGATTGGATATAGTAGTTTGTTCCTCCAACTATCACGGGGAAGTTTTGTTCCAGTGACAATTTCTCGATCTAATACAATGCATATTTTAAAGGTGTGTGAGCTCCTGCTATAATATGTCAACCGTATCTGTCAACACTTACGCACTCGGTTGCGTCGCGTTTAAACTCGGTCACTTTGTATTCGTCTTCAGGATCTAAAAAATCCATCAAGTGGTGTTGTACGCCTTGTCGTTCGTGAATTGGCATTTTATTCGTAATGACGTCGAGACCTTTATACACCTGTATCAAATATTTTTGACGTAACCACACATACACACATGAGTAGAGATCAGTAACTCTGTCGTAAGCGCACTTACGCACGTTGAGAGAATGTTGTTACCTGCATCGAGTCAGCATTGATCACTTGACCGCGTAAAGCTTTACATAATTCAACGCCTAACTGTGATTTACCGACGCCTGTTGTTCCAATGATTGTTGCTACTCTTCGCATAGGATATAAGCAAGAAAAAATTCTTCGTAAAACAAAGCGGGGGTTACTTGTTCCTAATTGAGTAAATGAGTTCTGTAACAAAAAGTTGAGTGGGCGGAATCCCTCACACAAACCCACCCTCTCTCTCTTCCTTTTTTTTTATTGGAACGAAAAAAAAAAAAGAAAGGTCAATGACTACCACGACGACAACGGCCAACAGTCGCTCCAATACTGTCACGACCATGAACAAGGGCATTCTAAAAAAGCCAGCCAAGAAGCCACCTTCCGTTACCTCAACCGGCTCGACCAGTTCCTGGCTCACCCGCATTCAGTCCAAACTATATTATTCATCCACAGACGGTAGCGATCCTTATGCAGTTCCTGCACTGCCGAGACAAGAGCTGAAACGAGTGACTTTTTCCGTCAGAAAGCTTACGACCGAGTATATTCTTTACAACAATGTGGATGACAAGGACGACATGTTGACCGATACTAGTCAACAATCGTCACCTTCTCAAACGACGTTTATAGATGACCAACAACAAGGCGACGACAACGACAACGATCAATTCGACACTAATTACCAGTCAACAAGCATTAGCAGTTGCAGGGAATTGCCCAAATACTATGAACGAGCTTGTCGACTTCGTGAAGAACAACCACTGGAAAGCTTTATGGATTTGCTACGTTCTAGTTGGTGAGTTCTTAACACAGAAAGAGAAAGAGAGAGAGAAAGAGAAAAAGAGGGAGACAGACAGGGAAATATTCTATCTATACTAATATGAAACTCGAAAATGAAAATCATTTATCAATAAAATGATATGTTTCTCCCCGCCTCTTTCAATCAAAGAAGCTTCTCACGCTTAACGACGATTAACTTGGCAAATCAAATGATCGACTCGAGACAAGCAGGGCCAATTGCAGATATCCTCATGTTAAATTGCGGTCTGTGCAGTCTTGATCTTTCCAATTGTGGTATGAACGACGAGGTAATTATCATTCATTTGAAGCCAGCAAAGGGTCAGAGAGGGGGTTGGTATTACGACATCAGTGATTGGGTTGATTGATGGTAGCACAACAGGAGAAAGACGAGAGAGAGAGAGAGAGAGAGAGAGGGTTACTTGCGGGAAAGGTTTGACAAAAAATAACAGGTGGCTAAATCACAGCATTGGATGCCTATTATAGACTGTTCGAATCTTGCTTCATAGCTTGCTGATCACCGATCGACTCCCTGAATTAAAACTTGCGGGAAATGCCTTCAAGGCCGACGGATTCAAATACATTTCTATCTATATTAGCCAGGTAACCTATTGTTGTCTTCTGCAAACTATGAACCCTCCTACTTTTACTACAGTGCCGCACTAACAACAACTGCACACATGAATTTTGTAGTCAAGAGCTATCAAATCAATAGACCTATCTCGATCTGTACCCGATAAACGAGCGTTACGTTACCTTTCTCACGCAGTCCATATCGCCCCATCATTACAAAAGTTGATATTGGACCATTGTTCGCTAAAAGCACCATTGATCGAGATCTTGGCTGGCGGTGTCCGTCAATCCATATCATTGAACCACCTTTCGTTACGCCACAACCGTATTTCACAAAATGCAGCACCATGGATCGCCGCCATGTTGATCAATGACGAACCGATCGAAATGTATTGGCAAACGGGTGAATATCCACGACGCGGGATTCAGCAATTGGATTTGACTGGCAACTACTTGCAGCAAGCTGTCGCATCTATTGCCCAAGCATTATACAACAATCGCTCGTTGACACATTTGATATTGACTGACTGTCAGATATATCCAAATGAATGTGCTAGATTGGCCGAAGCTTTGGTAAGTGGCACTGGTCGGGAAAAGAAAGGACAAGTATTGTTGGTTTTTACTGACAACAAACACTATCTATTATAGCTTTCAAACCATCATTTACAAGTACTCGACCTTTCGGATAATCCGTTAGCCAACAAATCCGATGAAGGCGTATGTTTTCTAATAAGCGAGAAAGGGAGAAAAGAGAGTGGAGGATTTATATGTGTCGATACATCGAAAGTATATTAACTATTAAGGACATGCACATATTTAGATTCAAAGCATCAAGACAGCATTGTCAAGAAACCATTTTCTACGTGAACTCAATCTTGCAGGGACAGATCTAGATTCCAGCGCTGCAATTGCACTCGCTGAATGTTTACCCGAAAATTCAACATTGTCCCGTCTTGATCTATCACGTAATCCACACATCACCATGGCTGGTGTCTTGGCTCTATCAATATCTATCAAGATGAATCACACATTGACGTTTTTGGATATTAACATACCGGTAAAGATTGTGTCCTTTTTTCGTGAGAACCAAAGGGACGCCAATTAGAAAACTAACATGCTGTTGTGCTTAGCCAAACGAGGTGGACATGGCCGAATTACAAAATGATATCGTCGCAGTTTGCACACGCAACATGCAGCGATCGTATGAAGACAGTCTGTACTATTCACCACAGAAGCTCCAAGAGGTAGATGATGACGAAGGAGAACAAGTGGTGTCGGAAGAAGACGCGCTGAACGGAACTTCGTCCTCATCAACGCTCTCTTCGTCCTCGTCGTCATCATCATCGCCTAGGTCACACAACGATGACGATGTTGACGATGCTTCTTACCATAACAGCGTTACCAACAGCACGACTACTACCACTACGACTACGACTATCCAAGATAAACGTAGCTCGAATGTCTCAATAGTAAGGACCTTAACATCTTGCTACATATGTGTTAATGAAAGAAGAAGCACTGACGAGTATTGCAATTTATGTTTTTCTTATAGTCCTCAGCTTATTCTTTCGATGAGATTCCCATGTGAAACAAGTTTAAAACTCGTATACCATCTTCTTCTTCTTTAATTATACTTGTCGTCTTACTATCCTTTCTCTCACCGCCATCATCTTATTTCATATACCAACAGCCCTTTTTCTTCTCTTGCTTTTCTTTCTGTGAATATTATTTCTTCTATCAACGTCATCATCTACATTATCCTATTCGTTATATAAAGCTTTTTTTCCATCGGTCTTTCACATGCCATTTATTAATGTATCATGCTGTTTGTTTAAGCAGCGCGCCGCTGTGCTCTTTGCATGAGCGTTGCCCGCGCATAGAGCTTAGAATAATCGCTGCTATAATTATTCACTGATATGTAAAAAACGCACCAGTAAAATTAAGGTTGCTTGTGGGTGTCTCTCTCTCTCTCTCTTTCCTCCTACTTTAACTTTTTTTCTGCTCACTGCTCACTGCATACTACCATTTTACTGTTTTTTACTTTCTCCCTTTGTTTCGTTTATCTGACACCATGGGTGACATGGGACAGGCTCGTATATCTAACAGCGTGAATAACATAGCACGCATGCTCAGCAGTCTTGCGCTCGATGATGACATGGATATCAATCTATTCAACTCTCTGCAAACTGCGATGCACGGACAACACTTCGGAGGCGAACGACGCTCCTGTACGGTGTTTGCATCTTCGTTTTCAATGGGATACATGGCTTCGGAAACCACCTTCGTCCGGCAATGGTCCACACAAACGAACGTCCGATTCAGCTACAACTACAACACCCGTTTGGTGACCATCTATTTCGGACACGCAGGGCACACATACAAGGTCGAGTTCAAGCTCAATACATTAAACAACAACGGTGAAATCGTTGTCGAAGATATTGACACGAGCGGCAACCAAGCGGCGCTCACAATGATGCTCAAGCACCCGGGCCGATTCTGGCTAGAGTGGTCTAGAAACGGGCGTAAAGAAAGTGCTTGGTATCGTGTGGTTGATCTCGACAGTGGTGTCTCTTCTCATGTCGCTCTAATCGGGACTGGATACAATGGGCCGCCATCCTCGCCCTTGCCGTCATCATCAACGGCCGCTACAGCCAATCCACTCGGCAAATGGACCGCTTATCGAGTGACGTTTACGCTCCACATGTCTACACATACAAAAGCCCGAACGTGTTACAAAACATTAATCAGGAAACTTGTTGAACACAAGGCCATCCCACGGGGTCCAATTACGCCCGGTGTCAAAATTGGAGTCGAGCATGATCCATTGTCGACACACCCATCATTATCATCGTCAGCACCGTCATCACAGTCAAGAGTCGGTCATGATGAACGCTATAACCGAATCAAAAACTTTGAGGCGTTTTACACACTCGAGAGTTTTATTTCGAGCTACCGTCTAAATGAAAACGCGCTGACCGAAGACTTTTACACAATTCTGTGCCGGCTACCACCGTTTGTCGCCATCGATGCACTCAAGCTCATGTGCTATAGAGAAGACGAGCGGGTATGGCACCCACTTGAAAAACTCCAAGAACTTGTGCAAAAGCAATCGACGTTAGGCCTCGGCCATCTCCGAGGGCGCCGCCGGCGCAGAAGCCACATCACATATGTTTACAAGGTCATGGTGACACCAACAACCTTTGTGCTCGAGCTCCCACAACCGGAAATGTCCAACCGCGTGGTTCGACATTTCAGGCGCTACGATGATCGGTTTTTACGGGTCACGTTTGTTGAGGAAGGGTTGGGGACGTTGATGAATACGGCATCCACGCGACACTTGATTAGTGAAAAATTGTTTGACAGGATCCTCAAAATCATCAGGGACGGGATTCGCATCGGGGATCGTTACTATGAGTTTTTGGCGTTCTCGAGTTCGCAACTGAGAACCCATGGATGTTGGTTTTTCTCGTCGACGACCATGGAGGAGGATGGTAGCTTGTTGGATGCAAACAGGATTCGTCAGTGGATGGGAAATTTTCGGAATGAGCGGGTGGTTGCTAAACATGCCGCGCGTATGGGTCAGGTAAAGAAAAAGACTGGTTTCTAAGATGAGAATGCATGCAGGGGGAGGCATTGTTAGGGGAACAGTGGTCCCCCCGTTAAGATCACCCTCATCTTTTTCAGCCCTCATTGAGACCCCCTTCGAGGTTGATCCTAACGGGGGACCACTGTATCAGTTCGCCTTTAATTGGTAACGCTTATGTACTTTCATGCTACCCTATCTTAGTGCTTTTCATCAACCCAACCGATTACGATGCTTACCCCGGATCAAGTAACGCACATTAGAGACGTTACGAACAGAAATGGATTTACATTCTCTGACGGCGTCGGCCGGATCGCTCCCGATTTGGCCGAGCTCGTGGCCAAGAAAATGAATCGATCGCGTGTCCCAAGTGCCTTCCAGATTCGACTCGGCGGTGCCAAGGGAGTCCTCACAGTCCATGCTCAAGAAAATGACCGTATGAGACCAGGCACCATTGCCCTGCGACCGAGCCAGATCAAGTTTGAATCCGAGTATCAAATGCTAGAGATCAACCATACGGCCAACTACTCTTGCGCACATTTAAACCGCCAACTGATCAGCATTCTATCCTCACTCAAAGTACCTGATTCTGTGTTTTTGGATATCCTCGACGACATGGTCCATGATGTAGACAAGATGTTGACAGATCCGTTGCAAGCATCTCGCATCTTACGCGAAACGGCTGATGGACTCGGTATTCAACATGCCATGGCCAAGATCGTTGAAGCTGGGTTTTTGCAACGTCGCGATCCGTACATCAAGAACTTACTCGAGGCATTCCGTGTCGCTCGACTCAAGGAAGCAAGGAAAAAGGCTCGCATCCCCGTCATCAAAGGCGTGTTTTTGATGGGCGTACTGGATGAGACTAATACCTTGCAGGAGAACCAAATCTTTTGTAAATTTATTGATGGCGATTACAACGAACAGACGCTGACAGGCGAATGTTTGGTGTATCGTTCACCATCTTTGCATCCTGGTGATGTGCGAATGTTGAAAGCCGTCGATATCCCTCAATTACGCGACTTGTGCAATGTCGTCGTGTTCCCAGCTCAAGGTGAGCGAGATATCCCAAGCATGTGCTCAGGTGGAGATTTGGATGGCGATTGCTACAGGTGTGTAATTCTAGTAACGAAATCGTTGTTGTCTGGCTGTGCTGTCAAGGAGATATTTTCTTAATACGTTTTGCTATGTATCATGATGGTTATACCATGGACTACTATTTTCTTTCTCTGCGTAGCGTTATCTGGGACAAAAGACTGTTTCCTCCACCTGATTATCGAAACATCATCCCAATGAGCTACACGGCACCGAAGCCTCTTACGTTAGCAGATGAAGTCACTATTGATCATATCAAGGAGTTCTTTGTCAGCTTTATTAAGCTAAGCAACCTTGGCCAAATCGCAAATGCTCATCTTGCCAAAGCAGATCGCTCCCCCGATGGCGTGTTTGACTTTGGATGCATACAGTTAGCAGAGTACCACTCCATGGCTGTCGGTAATTTTTTTCTTTTTCTTAACGTACTCTGCAACTTTCAACAGACTCCAGAACAGTGTTAATAATCATGTCGACTTGGTCATACAGATTTTGCAAAAACAGGCGTGCCAGCTGAGCCCAATCCAAGCCTTTTGACAATGCCCAACCAAAGATATCCAGATTTTATGGAGAAGAAGGACAAACCATCTTACGAGTCGGAAAAGGCGTTGGGCAAACTATTCCGCAGGATTGGCCACATCAAGTACCGAGAATACCGTGACACGTTATGGGACGTGAATACAGATGGTGTCTATTATGACGCACGCATCCAAGTCCCAGGGATGGAAAGTTACATTGGCGAAGCGAGACGTTTAAAACGCTACTATGACCGTGAGCTACGTGACATGATGGGCCGATTCGGCGTCAACAGCGAGGCAGAAATCATGTCGGGCTGGATCATCAAGTGGATGCACAAGCGACGCAACGAAAGGTTGTTTGAAGTACAACAGCAGGCGCGCAAGGACATGATGCGAATGAAGACCCGTTGGTACCATACCGAGTTCTCTGCGAGTAAAAATATTGCAATGAAACAGGAGGATCTGGAGGCCAAGGCCGCTGCGTGGTATTATGTCGCATATCATCCCCACGAGCAAAGACGACAGCGCGAGGAAGGCAAGCAGTTTGACAAACGATACAACACCCACGATGAGGAACTGTTGAGTTTCCCTTGGGTTGCTCAGAGTATTTTGTGTGAACTTGCAAGGAAGCGAATGGGTATCAGTAATACCAATAGTGCGTATCCTACGTTTGCAGAAGATGTCATTGCAATGTATGATCCGGGTGAGCCTCCGTCAGACCAAGAAGATGACGATTACTCGGAAAGCGACTACGGATCCGAATATGAACCGTAGTACTTGCTTAGTAGTGTGTTTATCTTTACATGAGCATGCTAACCTTCTCTCTGCACTGTAGCTCTCACAGAATGATGATAAATAAAAAGTAGCGTGTTGTTTTTATCCACTCTTTCTTTTGTGATTTGCATATTTCAATATGGTCGGAGTTTACGCAATGCATTTCGCTTGACGTGATGCCAAAACAATTTTTCCGGCGACCCCACACTCCCTGGGAAAATAGTCAATCCTCTTTTGTAATCCGGATGAATAGATTGAAGAAGCCCTTTTCCCTCCCGCAAAAATAAATGCCGCAACGGTATTATCATAACCTCTGTTCCTTTCCACACCTTTTTCTTTCAATCTTTCCAGTATTTTAACCAAACCCCCTACTCTTTTTTCTATACTTCTACGCGCACACTTACACGCAATCAACCATGGTCGAACTCAAAACATACACTCGTGAAGAAGTTAGCCGTCATGCTGCCGAAGAAGATATTTGGATTATTATCGACACTGACGTCTACAATATGAGCGTTTTCATTGACATGGTATTACTATGGAATGGATTTGGGGAAGAAGAAAACAAGCAAGATGAAAGAGTTACTTTTGTATCAAATGTATCATTCATCAACCAACCAAACCGAAATCATATTAGCATCCGGGCGGTGCCTTTCCTATTCTTGAATACGCAGGCAAGGACGCCACCGAAGCCTTTTATGGCCTGCATCGTCAAGAAGTGCTGCTGAAATACAAGCGATACAAGATCGGTACTCTTGCTGATGAAACGCCTCAGATCAAGATCCGTCAGCATGGTGATAACTCGACGGTGCCGTATGCTGAAATGAGTGCTTTTATGGGATACAAGTCGCCTTATTACAAGTAAGATTGCTGAAGGGTGGTAGGGGGCCGGGTTGGTATGATGCCCACGACATGGTAATAACGTTTTCTTGTCGTATTATTTAATGTGTGTAGCGACTCGCATTTCCGTTATCAGGCTGCTCTACGTAAAATCTGTGATGAATTAAAGGCCGAGGCACAAGAATGCGACAGTGCTGGCGATCGCCCTTCCGACGAATTTGTCAAAAAGTTAGCAGCGCATCATCTTTTGGCTGCTCATGTTGGCCCTGGCCCATGGTTACACGGACTGATGTTGCCTGGCAATGTGCCTGGCACTGAATTCGATTATTTCCAGTAAGCAGAGTTACACGACCCTACTCGTTTCCTGGGGGGAGGAATTTATTCTAACCGTAATTTTTTCATAGTGATATGATCACTCATCAAGAATTTGCTCGTTGGGGAGCTCCAGGTTTGGTTGCCGGTATAACTGGTGGTATGACCATCTCTCTTCCTACCGTCTTGAACTATGGCAAGCCTGAACTCAAGGCAGAGGTTCGTAATACTATTCTCTATACGTTTGTCTTTCGAAAACGTAGAAGTAAAAAGGCACCCATATTAACTCTAATATTTTGTAATGGAAAAACAACAACAACAACAGTTGGTGCCTTTGCTTTTATCTGGCGAAAAGCGCATGTCCTTGGCCATCACTGAGCCCTATACCGGTTCAGACGTCGCCAGTATTCGCACGGTTGCTAAAAAAGTGGAAGGAGGTTATGTTGTCAATGGTGTCAAGAAATGGATTACCACCGGTCGTTTCGCCCATTATTTCGCCACTGCCGTCCGAACTGAAAAGGGTATCTCCATGCTCTTGATTGAACGCCAAGAAGGTGTGGAGACCAAGCCTATCAAAACATCGTATTCGCAAAGTGCTGGTACCGCCTATGTCACATTTGAAAATGTATTTGTCCCAGATGCAAACTTGCTTGGTATTGAGCATCAAGGTTTCCGTGTTGTTCTGTAAGTAGAAAAAAATTGGTTTTTCTGATTAAGTAAACAGCGCCTAACATCTTTCTTCTTAGTTCTGTAAGTGTTTGAAATTTTTAGGAAAACAGGATGGTTTTTTATACAGGGTGACTAATTCTAGGTTGTTATCATTATGGGTTCGCTATCCGATGTGTAGAGTAAGTACATATATGTACGACTGTATATATAGCACAACCGAAGAGTTCTAACCAGATAATGCCCCCCACCCCCACTTCCTCTCTAATTTAGACTTTAACCACGAGCGGTTCATGCTTATTGCACAACCTGTTGCAGTATCCCGCAACGCAGTTGAAGAATGTTTCAAATGGGCTATGCAGCGTAAAGTGTTTGGCAAGCCTTTAATCGACCAGCCCGTCATCCGTAACAAGCTCGCCAAAATGGTAAGAAATTATACAACACATCCGTACGAGTAGGAAAAGAGAGAGAAGGAGTGGCTTACCTTATATAAAATTTCAATTTTCTACCTAGATTGCTGGTGTCGAAAGCTGTCAAACATGGACCGAAAATATTGCTTATCAAATGAACCACATGAAATACGCCGAACAAGCAGACAAACTGGCTGGTCCTATTGCTCTTTTGAAATTCCATGCTACCCGTATGATGCACGATGTTTCGGATGAAGCTTGTCAGATCTTTGGTGGCCGTGCTCTTACCAAGACTGGTATGGGTAAATACATTGAAGATTTACAACGCACGTACAAATTCAATGCCATTCTGGGTGGTTCTGAGGAAATCATGGCTGATCTGGGTGTGCGCCAGGTAATACTACAGTTTTTTATACTTCTTGCGAAAGACTGCTGTAAACTTTCTAACATCCCCCAAACCTTTTTATAAAAAAAATAATAGGCCATGAAGAAGTTCCCAGCTGATGCTAGATTGTAAAAAAAAACAAACCTCCAAATGTGTATAGTATAATCATATCCAAGAACAAAATAAAGAAAAACAGCTAAAAGTAGATCATATATAGCAGATTTTGGAGGGTGATCAATGTGATACCCTAAAGTATGAGTGTCTATCTAATAGCTTCGCTATTATACCTTTTGGTATATTCACATATGAAAAAAAAATGAAGGTTATTTATGGTTGCGGTGCGTGATATCATAGTCCGTAGCCAACATTGATTGCTTTACAATGTGCTTCAGGGAATGGTGGTAATCAGATTAAAAGCTGAGTTCATCATTTGTTGCAGTGGATGTGTATGATCTTTTTGCTGACGTTTTTCTGTAGAGAATAAATGAATACTAGATGGCGACTTTATAGCGCATACTGTATATTTTCCTTGTAAGGTATTCTACCTCTTTTAACATCGAACCGCCGACCCCACTGAAAGATTAAAAGTGAAATAGGGTGTTTTCCTTTTAACTAATAACATAGAAAGTAAGAAATAAGCTGTGTTAAGGCTGATCACGTCCGGTCCGTTGCTGCATATATAATATCGCTTTATTTGCCTACCACTTGTTCGCAAAAACACCATCTTGCTTATCAACAGTAGGACTAGACAGATACCAGTTTTGTTAGTGGTAGTACTATGAGGACAGCACTCAGCACACACGAATAAAGTATTCCGCATCGTATTAATGATGATTGCACCCTTCTATCGAATCATGTGCACTTTGTGTACCTGACGATATTGATCAGGAACCTTAATCAATAAGCATAGCCACTTTTCATACAATCTTGACATTGGTGATTCTTGTTACTGTAACACGCGATTTTGGGCGCGTATTATTGCGAGTTACTTTAGATTCATGATGAATACCGAGTAGGGAGAATGTCATCGTGTGCACACTACGGGATCATTGATGCGCCACATTCAATTTTATAAACAAAACTTGCGTCACCTAAAAACAATGCATACTGTATAGATGCATTGCTAGCCTGAAACTGTTCTACCTTTTCCTCCTCTTTTTTGTCTACTTAATAAATAACTCGCAAAAGTCATGACGATCAATGAGACCAATCGGTTACCATCCTTACCAACTGAAATTCAAGATCCCATTTTGACATTATTGACATTTCGAGAGCGAATACGGTGTAGCACTGTTTGTAAATCCTGGCAAGCCATGATTTTGTGCAGACACGATATGTGGCAAAACCTGTCGACAGACGACCAGCATACTATAGTGCCTCACTTGGTACCTTACCGGCGCTATATCGAAGCATCATCTGTTAGACGCGTACATTTAGGAGAGTTTGCTGAAGACTGTTGGCCATCCGTAGCCAAATTTCTGTTGGTAGAGCTAAAATGCGATGCGATCCAAGATGGTAGCGTTTCTTTTCTTTACGCTTTTACATAATCTACTATGTCTTGATAACTCTGTTCCGCACACCAGCTTTGTAGAAAACTATCAGCGATGATTGCTCCCTATATACTAACGATCAATATTCATATAGTTCACGTGCGGTCAGAGTGCCTTACAAAAAACATCGTCAGGTCTTTACTTGACAGATGCGGCAAGACGTTGACTCGCATCTATTTTGCTCCTCCACGCCGCAACGAAACAATACTTACCCGATGGAAAACCGATGTCACGCCAGATATATTCATGCGACAATGCCCGAACTTGACAAGCTTTACATTTGTATTTTCGATAAATCTCAATGATCGGGAAGAGTGGGCACCGACAATACCATCATCGATCAAGAACTCTCATTTGACGGAACTTACGCTCGGTGTAAATAGAAAATTTGACCCAGAACCGTTTCTTCAAGCGGCACCCAATTTGGAACAACTTGCACTACTATTTCCCGATATCAACATGCTTACTGGTCCAGCATTTGCTTCACTGTTGGGTCAGCATTGTCCACGGTTAACGTCGCTTCTATTGACGTATTTTACAGACCATCCTGGTGAATTTGATATCACTAAGTTGCATCTTCCAAGAAAAAGTGATATACCGCGACGACAACGACTACAATCTTCGCACCAGCAATTCATAGACAATAGACTAGCAGCAACAACGCGTGGAGGTTTGACGGATCTCTTGCTACATGACTCTGTGAACTTATTCCGCCAAATGGGTGTTTTCCTATTGCATCACTTTGTCCAACACCAGCACAGCGTTTTGAAACGGCTCGACCTCTCGGGCAACACGTTTTCCGAGCACCAGTTAATGAGAGAAGTATGTCGCTACGAATGTCCTTCATTGACACATCTGACTGTACGTCACGGCAGCGCAGACGCAATGAATTTGATACAACAGTTCATTTCACCTCGCTGTGTTCCCAATCTCCGGTCGCTACATATACAAGACTTAGGCCCTTTCACCGATGATCTGCTGCTTGGTGTACCCTACACGGTTGAAGAGTTCATTTTGGAGGATTCCTATGATGTAACGGAAGAAGGGCTTGTTCGTTTCTTGAAATCACGCCGTACGACACTGCGCAAGATTGGCATTATAGGAACGGTACGAGCTTTCGATCCCGATGTGCTGCATCATGCCATTGCTTCCTCAGACAATGTTATTGACGAGTTGATCATTGATCATCCTCTTGGTACTGTTTTAACACTTGTGCCCCATATGATCAAGTTTTACGATATTATGCTGGAAGCGGGTAAGCGGATGCAAAATATTCAGCTCAGTTTTGATGAAACCTGCTGGAATCCGTCCAACGTTCTTAAATCCGTGCAAGGCAAAACGTTCCTGAACAAGTTGGATCGTGTGGCACAGGAATGGAGATTTCATTTTGACAACTGGGGTACCATCACCCATGAAGAATATAGACAGAGAAAAAGAACCAAGTAAACAAATTATACTTTGTACCTGTGTAATGGATTAATCCTAGGCTGAAGAATGCATGAAAGGAAGTTTTCGTTTTTGCACACAGAGGTTCCCCGTATAAAACTATCTCTGAAAAGATTGAAGTTACTGAGGGTTGAAAGTTAACGAGAGTCGGGCAATCGTGGTAGTCGAAATACTCATTGACGTGATTCTTTTTTCCCGTTTCTATCCTTTTTGATGCTGTTTTATAGGCCTACTGGATGATGTTTGATACATAACAAGATACTGTATGTTTGACTAATGATGCTTTTCTGGCAACCTGTACCATAGCTTTATTGTATACCATATAAGTTACACTATATAGATCAAAGTACACAATCATACAAGTACAGGCGCATAGCTCATCGATGAATAATACTGAACATAATCACGAAATGTAGATAGACCCCTGAATCTGGTGTCTTCTTAGCAGATAGTTATTCAATGACCACAGTGGGTTCGCTAGACATGATTTCGTACACGCGGTTGCTTGCAATGAACTGCTTCCCTATCTTTTATAACAGCAGATCAAGCGACTTTTTCAGCTGAAACAGCACGATTGCGTTGGTGCAGAAAATATGTATTATATATGTATGGTATAAGATATACAGATAATAGTATGAGAGGGAGTGGATATGCTCTACATGAAAGAAAATTATTAAGTACACGACAAAGAAACAAAAAGGGCTACTACAATGATGTATTATATAGAACTACTACTATTACTTTTTTTTTCTGCTTTCATTCAAGGTTCAATGTCATGACTAAGCTTGCGAACTTCATCAGCATTAGAGGAATGAAGCTCAGCACACAAAAAGTACACCTCATCATCCCGTTCAAACGAGTACCGACGGGCCAAGTTCTGGAACGTCAGCACACGTTTAATGACCGTAGCAGTAATCCGATGTTTTCTAAAGTTCACCAACGGTTGCTTCAAAACGGGCGACGTGAAATGCGAGTTGGTGACATTGTTGGCCTGATAAATGCGATGATGGTCATGACTTGGCTGGATATAAGGCTGCTGTTCTGAATTGAACACCAAATCCGACAAGTAGATACCCAGAAAGGGGATACAGCCACCAAAGGGGATCTTGATCTTGGTCTTTGTGAATGCGTGGTGGTTCGTGCCTGGCATTTCGATTTGGACTTCGACAGGGGACATGCCGTAGTCTTCGGCCACTTGGGTCATGCTGTCACGAATATTCTTCCAGTTCTTCATGGGCGAGGTGAAAGCAGAGAGTTGGTCGAGGATGCGCATCTCGTGTGATCCGACGCGGTCCCATGTTCTTTTCAGTCGAGATACGGCGGGTGATTGGAGACCCAGAAGGATCTGCACCAATGTGGCAAAATTGCAGTAAAGCTTGCATTTCTGTTTACACAAACAAACACATGAGTAAGTTCTTATTAGTTACATAATCCTGGGGTAACTTTTACCTGAGCAAGACGGATGAACTTTTCGACCACCTTGACACGCTCATCCAAAGCTCGGGTATGCACAATCTCGCTCGCAACCCATTGGCAAACATCATTGAACCGTTTGATGACTTGTTCAATACCACCATGATTCTCGCCACGCGCCAAACGCATCTGTCGTGTCCGTCGCGTATAATTGATCCGATCACGCTCAATCAAATCATCCTCGTCCTCTTCTTCTTCGGCAGTAAACTCGCTCATATCATCCAGAGCATCCGTATTGCCCATCTTGGTCCATCGACAATGTACCATTTCCTCCCAATCAATGTTCAACAACACCTGCGCTTCGACCAAACAAAGCTGACGCGCCATACGCTCGGATCGGTAGTACAGGATAAACGATCTTGGATGGTCGGATGATCTACGCATCATCATGGAGGGTGTTGTTGTCATGGAAGGTGCATTGCTGTTCATGAGTTGAGGTTTGGGCAAGTCCAATTCAACAATGCGTTGAGGTGTTCGCGGTGGTGTCCCCAATCCGACTTCAGCAGACGTAACCGACATGCGTGCTTGATGCGTCTTGTTACTATCACTCGCAGTCATTGTTGTTGTTGTCTCATCTCCTCCTTCAGTTGTCGTCGTGTCCACTTCTTGGATCTGTAGTACGGGTCCTTCTTCTTCTTCTCCTTCAACACCACCAAGATCACCCGATGTAATGGATCGTCGTGCAAGTTGACTGAGATACACGGGGCCGCTGTGTCCTTTCCGTCTTTGGATCGTTGATGTACGACGAGCTTGTAGTTGGTTGTCACTGCCGTTAATTTCGTCTTCACCAGCAACACTATCGCTGACCTGGCTACCCTCTCCAGCACGTAGTTGTTGGGCAACGATGTTAACGGTCGACTGTTGTTGTTGTTGTTGCTGCGACTGGCCGTTGCTAGTTTTCACAATTTCAGTAGGATGAACGTGGGTGTCACGAGCTGGACCCAAGATCCGTCGCGTGGATTGCTGCTGCTGCTGCTGTTGTTGTGGATAAGCAAACTTCCACCCTTCCTTCACATTTCGCTTTGTCGGCGTCTTGGTCGTTGTTCCCGGTACGTCACTCTGTGCGGCTACTGGGCTTTGTTGCTGTTGCTGTCGTGCTCGCGCGGTGACAGAGGCAGCCTCTTCTAACGGCTGACGTCGAGGATGATCGTTCACAGATAATTCCTGTACAATATCTTCCTCTGATGGTGATGTCGATGGCTTGTTGACAAGTTCAGAACCGCTTTGAATCGATGCCGAAGACGTGGGCACTTTGGCCAACAAAGAGCTTTCCCCTGAAACAGCCGACGATGGAGAGAAAAACTCGGCACGATTTTGCTCTTCTTCCTCTTCCCGCCTTCGTCTTTCGCGCTCCAACCGGATCGCCAATTGCTCTTCTGTTGGCGTCGTCGTCGTTGTCTTTTCGTTTTCATCTTCCGAATAGTCGTCTTGACTCAACTCATCATCCGTTGTTCCTGGCGACAAGGCACTTTCCAATGAGTCATCCGTAACAACACTTGCTTGAGAAGACAAGTCAGCACCCTCGGCGGATGCTGGTAAAGTGGCGGTATCGTGTGCTTGCTGATCCATAGCCTTCTTTTGCTGTTCCATCCGACGCAGATAGGATGCCTTGACCGCCTCAATATCCTGTTGCTTGCTATGTCTTCCAAATCTCGTGATAGACGTGCTCGATACATTCCGTCGAATGGGTGGGTGACCACCACTACCACCATTCATACCAGCAGTGTCGTTGTTGCTGTTGCCGCTAACACCATTGAAATGACTGGGTGTCAATGCACGCTCCACACCAGCAGCCGCACCGGTGGCCGTAGCAGTATTACGCACACTACCTACCACTACCACAGGCGCCGACCCGGTATCTTGTACTGCCATATTCCCATGGTGCCGATCACTGATATTGACACTGCTTACAATGGCGGTCTTGCGTCGTATCGGGCTTTGTGCCAGTTTGGCCCGAACCATTTCTTCCACCCGTTCCTGTTCCTGGGTCGGTGGTGGCGGGGCAATGACTTTGACACGTTCCGATTCGGCCGAGCTGAGATAATATACTTTTTTAAGCCGACGCACTACTCGTTTTAGACTCTTGACGATCCGCTGGTCCCGGGGAGATTGTTTGATTAAAGGATGGAACGGTAGGGAGTTGAGAAACGAGGTTAGGATGATACGTAAGTCGCGCGAGGGTATAAAGTCGTGTACGAAGTAGTTCAATAACCAATGGCGCATCACCACAAATGTTCTATATATACATATATAAAAAGGATTAGTGTTATATTTCTCTTTTGAGCGTTGGCCAATGAATTGATTATATTTACCTGACGCGAACAATACTTCTTTGTGCTTCCTCGCTTTCTAGACCCCATCGGAATCGCAGTATAAGCAGCTTGCACAGTTGAGTAGGCGAAATAAATGTGCGGTATGTCAAGAAAAAGTCGGTCATGAACGTATAATCTTTTTTTTTGTAAGACCAGCGGTTAGATATATACACGCACGTTACACTTGATGATAAACTTGACAGTTTCAGGTTCCAACAACTGCAGAAAATAATTTACCTAATGAAATTGTCAGCTTTTCAACAAGTTTCTCGACCGTCGCAGCTTCAATGACTTTGGGAACATCCACCGACTGCACCGAAGCCTGATCGTCGTCAATCACACGACGATGCTGGCGGTGTTGTTGTTTATCTCGTTTGCTGCCATTACTACTCGTACTTCTCCGACCAAACTTGAACAACATGGATCCACCTCGTTCCTTATCCCCATAATAATTAGGGTCCGTACTACTGCTACTACTGCTGCTGTTTCCAAATCGAAGCACACTGTCGGGTCGTGGCAGATGCTGTTTACTTTTGTTTCGTAATGGAAGCAATAATTGGCTCGACCATCGAGGCATACGAGACTTGTTGTTACCATTCGGTTGTGCAGCGGAAGGATCGAGAGAGGATGCAGTTGTTGTATTCGACGAGAACCCCTTGATTGTCTTGTTGCTGCTGGCAGCAGCAGAAGCAGGGATTGATGAAGATTGCATGGAAGTAAGAGATGGCGTTGTCAATGCTGTTGAAGGTGGATGATAGTCAAAAGTGGATAGCTTCTTGCCCGCTGCTGATGTGGTGGCCATGGATGCTGAAAGCACTTGTGGATCTAATCCCCACATAATGATCCGGTCATCATCGTCTGATGTCAACAAGTCGAAAATGGCGGGTGGATAGCCAATGAAAACAAGTGGAGGAGCAATATCGTAGCGTCGACCGGGATGTTGTTCAGATGTAATGGATGGTGGAATAGATGCAATTTCGTGGTAATGGGATGGGTCGTTGGCAGTGAATATGGAGGATGAAAATGATACTGGCCGTGGTTTCTTTTCGAGATTTCGTCTTGTCACTACTACTGCTCCTGATGAAGATGCTGCAGGAGGAGGAGGAGAAGGCGTTTTTGTTGTGAATGCAGTTTCATCAAAGAAGTCGCTGAATTCGCTGACGACGGGTATATCCGGCAAACTGAAACTCACTGTAGGCTTTGTTGTTGTTGTTGTTGTAGATGATGCTGCTGGTTGCTGCTGTGGATGTGTCGACGACGATGAAAATGATGGTATCATGGCTGTAGTGGTCGTGGTATAATTGTTGAATGACGCTGACGATGTGGATGGATCCATCATCGTTCCTCTTGCATGGCTATTATGACCGACATTCTCGAAAGCAGAATCGACAAGATTTGTAATCGCTTGCTTGTTGTTTTCTTTGCTTGTACTTGGAGTGGGTGTTTGTACCAACAAGGAAGCTGACGCTGGTGGGATCGCATTACTTTGCACAGATCGACTTGTGATCGACACAAACCCATCCTCCTCTCCATGCGCTTGTTCTGTTGTTTCTTCCAAAGTACTACTGGTCGAGGGTTGCTGATGATAAGCCGCGACTTGACGTTCCCAAAAGATTTTTGATTCTGTATATTCTCGCACACCAAACACAGTTGCCAGTGCTGCTCGTTCACGACCTCCTTCACTGTTGTCATTCATGAGCTCTGGAGGAATGAGGGAATTGTTGCGTTTGCGACGTGGACCGGGAATGGCGGTCTCTTGCGGAAGTGGAATGTCTGTTGTCATGGCCGCGGCTTTATTGTATTGTTGTTGCGATTCGGTGTCGTCGTTGTTGTCGCTATTATGCGGCGGTATCATTTCGGAAGAAGCGTGATTGTTTCCGCGGGCGCCAGCGCCGTTGCTACTGCTGGTTTTTGTTGGAAGAAAGGAGAAAGTAATGGCCATGGGAGGGGGCAGGGGCAGGCAGGGGGGTTGTTGGTTGGTAGTAGGATAAGAGGAAAATGAGAGAGAGAGAGAGAGGGGCCGTTAGTTCAAAGTGTTTGAGCGTTTATAAATTATAACCTCAACCGCGTTTACGTGCGTGTCTGTATATGATAATTATTTGAGAGCGCGCGCGAACACGTTTTCGTAGCACTTTACCTTGCGGCATCGCTGTTGGGTGGCATTGAATAGAGACGATCCATTGTCCTGGTCCATGGCGAAATGGGCCGTTCATCATTAAACCTATTTTCAGCAGCATCCATTGTGTGTAGTTGTTTGTTGTTGTTTGGGTGTTCGTTGGTGCTGTGAGGCTGAGAAAGAGACGCTTCAGGACGGATGATGTTTGTTTATAGTGTAAGCCTTTGTTGTTGTTTACTGCAGCATGTAATACATGTACTATAAGCAAGGGGGTATATATGGTATAGAAAGCCCACACCTTGCACGCGTGTGTAAAGAAGAAAAAAGAAAGAAAGAGTTCTCGAAAACCAGAAAGGACGTGCGCCTTTTCTATATATACGGGACCCACTTTTTTTTCCCCTTCGCTACTTCACATGATCCATTGACGTTTTTGAACTATTTGACGTAGCACCATTCCACGCGCCCAGACTCGCCAGCTGTCACACGTTTATATCCTCTACTATACTCCAACACAACATGAACAATAGAAAGACGACAGGCCATATTTCTTTTACAATGGCTGATGGCTCTGCTATACTGGTAATGCAGATCAAGATGTGCCAGGCTATACAGTAATACTCTGTTACTCTTGAAAACAAAGAGGGCATAGAGTGCCATCGATCTACAACGAAGAAGACAAAGTGCCACCTAGTAGTCTAACCCCGACAATAATAACAACAACAACGACAAAACAGCTAATGAATATCACTTTAATTGGGTGCACCCCCAAACTGAGTTTGCATTTCATCATCATCATCATCATCTTCTTCTTCATTATTAACTTATCCACTTTATATTACTTATACAGCGCAAAGGCGTGTTGATGTCTTGGAGAGAGAAGGGACCGCGTGGTCTCGACGTAGCACAAAATGACTCGATCAGTTTTTTTCTCTTTGGGGTTACGCACAGCCAATACCTTGGGTGCCCGCAGTCCAAAGAACACGACAGCTACTACATCTTCCTCACATATCTTGTACAGATACGTGTTGTACTTGTGGTATGATATACGAGGATACTACACTTGTATACAAAATCGAGTCTTTCTGTGACGTATAAGGTGCACTCTAATATCTTGTTCCCATAATGGGTGATGATCTACAGGGGCAAAGCTATGTTTTTTACAGTGTAGAAAGCTTATTAGCGATGAAGGTGCAGATCACTTCTTCATTAGCCGCTACCTTCTATGTCTTTGTCTCCTATATGGTACGTTACATCAAGACGTTGGTTCCAGAACATCAAAAGATAATGTATGGCTAACTTTCAATATCGAGCTATTACAAGACGACAGCAAAGAAGAATGTGGCTCCTTGCTGAACCTGCGAGGGTAACAGAAGAGTCATGACTACACAAGAAATAACCTGAGATATGAGACACTTTACACCAATGTGTATGCAACTCAGCTAAAACTTAAGGAAAAACACCCGCCACACAACGCATTAAATTTTTCCTTTTTCACCCCCACACTCTACATAAGTTTAAACAACCCAATGGCAAAAGCAAAAGCAGGACAAAAGCGACAACAGCAACAACAGTCAATCGCTTTAGAAAAACAAAACAAAAAACAGAAACAAACAACGATACCCGATTCTCCTTCTCTTGTAAGGCGTCTTTGTTGATAGAATGCGGTGGGATTCTGTGATTGCGATCAACTAAATTTGGAGCCCTCTATTGTCTACCTTTTAACGTAGGACGAACCCGCTACTACTGCTACTACATTAGGTAAATAAAAAAGAAAGGATTCGCGCGAATTATATAAGAATATAAATTTTTAAATGGGTTGCTTGGATTGTTTAGATCATGCAGAAGGCTTGTTTGACAATCTCGATGAGGAAATGGATCCTTCAGGACTCGACGATATTGTACGAGAGCTCGAACAAGGCAGTGATGACGAAGAAGAAGAAGAAGAAGAGGACGGCGACGACAACGACAACGACGAAGACGACGTACAGGCGATGAGTGAAGACGAACAATCTCCTTCAGAAGAAGAAGAAGATGAACGGATAAAAAAGCCAGCATCCAAACCAAAGTTCAGTGATCATTATATGGGTCAAATGACGCGCGCGTTTGGCTCAGATCTCGACAAGATTAGACAGGTAAAAGAGGGGAGTGGGAGTGGGGAAAAGAGTACAAGGATATCTGTAAGAGGTCATGTACTGAAAGATGAAGACAACAACAACATTTTCGCTTTATCGTTTAGGAACCTACTTTCAATGCTTCACAATTGCCTATCCTCATTGATTCACTCCAAGCTGGTGTCGACATTTTCTCGAATTTGGAACAAGAGATCATATTAGCTACTCAAGAATAAGCTCTTTGTTTTTTTGTCTTCCACCACCCTCTTTTTTCCTTCTCCTTCTCCTTCATCCATCTTTCATCCCCCACCTTTTTAACATGCATCATCACAAAAACATGTACCACAACCAATGCAAAAGCATGATCAAACCGAAAAAAAAAGTTTAGCATAAGAGGACGTTCTGTTTCTAGACGTTAATAATAAGCATTACTATTCATTATATTCAAACCAAGCTTACATCATGCGCGTAGGTATGTACTATACATGCTGTGTGTAGAGGGTATAAAGAAGAAAGAAGAGGGAACTTTACTACAACCGATAACGGAAATGTAAATCCATTCCATCCGTCCAATCCAACTCTTGACGGTTCTCGGTTTTTGGAGGCATTTGCCCTTGATCTTGCAACGTATCACGCCTTTTATTCTCGCGCTTGTTTAGATACCGAACAACCAAAAGCAATCCACAAACAATCAGGTCTGCAACAAGGTATCCAATCAATCCAGAATAGTATCTTGGCGCTTCTCTGGCCAACAGCATAATAGGTCCAATAAAATTCCCCATCGAATACGCAATAAGGAACGAGGTCATGAAAAACGTCCGTTTGGTAAATCCGGAGATATTGTTGAGGATGCATGCTTCAATGACAACGGAACACGGGGCAGGATTACTGAGAATAATACCAGCCATTTGGGCTGGACCCAGCGGCACAACGCACATTAGTATCAAACCCGTCATGGTGATAGCTAGCATGATGATAATGACGAAGCAGAATTGTTGGAAATAGCGATTGAGGAATATGGCAAGGTAGATAAGCAGAATTGTCGCGACACCGATTGGAACATTCAACAGAACGGAATTTAATTGCTATAGGATCATATATCATTAGCACCGTTCAATCGAGAGAAATAGATGGGGGTGGGATGGGCGGCTTCATGTCTATTAGGCAAAAAAAGAAAGCACAATGCTTTTACCGAGAACCCCATGCTATGGATCATCTGCGAACTGAACGTAGTTGAACAGGCCACTTGCAAGACAAATAACATTGTAATAAGGATGTAGCAGTAATAACGAGGATCACGCAAGGATTCTTTGATATGATCAAGGTTGATACGATGGGTGACGACCGTACCGTTCTCTAATAGGCGTGCATCCATCAGTTTTTTTTCTTGTTCAGAAAGTCGGAACCAGCGTGAATAAGGTGTATCTGGTAGAAACACAAATAGCAAGATGCCGAACAGGACAGTGATACTGCCCCAGATGATCATGAGCCATTTCCACGCACGCATGCCCGCGAGACCGTCCATGTAGCCAATGGCGTATCCGAATAAACCAGAGGTGGACATGCCGATAAAGTTTGCGGCCATCAGCACGCCAAGCCAGAATACTTGTTCGTGTCTGCGATAAAATATAGAGACGAGCAGATAGCCACTAAAAAAAAATAAAGGACGTTTGTTTGACATGTTTCTTTTTCTGTATGCTATTAATATACATAAATTACCTGCATAAGCTGGTGCTTTCAAAGAATCCAATCAAGAACCGCAAAGCTAACAACTGAGGATAATCAGTTACTAGAGCTGTACACCCTACGGAGATGCCCCAGAAAACAGTGAACGTCCCAAAATATTTGGCAATGGGAAGTCTTTGGAATAAGTATATATTGGGAATCTTTTTAAAAAGGGGAGGTACAAAACAAGTAGGACATGTAAATGTTTAGAACACGAAGTTTACAGGTTGGCAGGGAAAAGGTATAGAGAACTTACTTGAACCACCATAAGTCCAATAAAAAAGATAGCACTCGATAGACTGAACTGAGTGCCAGTTAAATCGACATCTTCGTAGAGTCCAAGAACGGCAGAGTAGTTTAATGCGAACTTGTCAATAAACTGTATAATCAGTTCAAGTACGGTATGTATGTTAAAACAAAGGAGATAGTAAGTGGCTTTAGTCCAGCGAGCTCTTCTACACATACGAACTATAGTATATCAGAAAAAAAACTTACCTGAATGACGGTTACGCCCATCAGAATAGGAAACAAGGCCCAGCTGATCTTTCTCGAAAGTCGTTGATCGGCTTCCTTGTCATATTCATCATCGACATATCCACGCGTGGAAGGACATTCTTCTTGTTCTTGTTTGCTTTCTTGGACCTTTTCCTTGAGTCTAGTAAGTACATATATTTCAAAAGTTAATATTAACTGCAGAGAGCACACGATGTCCTGTCAACTGTAGTACTTTATCATCGACATTTTGTTGCCTTCTTCAGGAGAGGTGATGATGAATAGGGTTGTGTACTAGGATTATTAAGTCAAGATAAAGAGAGAAAAGTATACATGAAAGGAGGACAAGATTGTCCCTCTTGTGAGAGGGGGCGATGTTTAGGGTTCTTATATACGCACATACGCACAAAGAAAGTAGACTGTGGCTGTTGATCTGCATCCCAAAACAAAATCGTTTTCATGCATGCATCGAGGCGCCCCTGGGTCGGGTCTGGAAAAAGAAGCGCCGAACGGGGCGAGAAGGAACGGGAGCCGAACAGTAAGCCACCCCAGGAAGGAGGATTCTACCCGAAACTTTTTTTTTCTGCTTTTAAGGGTTTTCTTTTTCTCTTTACTATTGGGGATCAGACATTTCGCTTTATATACACACACACAGAGAGAGACCAGGAAAGAAAAAAATGTCTACATACGAAAAGAAAGGAACTTACCGCAAAGGCAACAACCGTAAAAAGGCACAAGCTCACCAAAACACAACAGCATGGAAACCCAACAAAAACTCGAAAAAGACGCGCGAGATCAATGCCCTACCAGTATATGGATTATGTCAACGATGCACCGATGTCATTCTGTGGCGCAAAAAGTATCGCAAATACAAGCCTTTGACTGCTTTAAAAAAGTGGTAAGTTTCTTTTTTTTTTGGGGGATTTCTTTTGGGTACGTTTTACTGACAGGATTCAATAATAGCACGAACTGTCAAGAAAAAGCAATTAAAGAAGCCTACCATGTCCTTTGCAACAATTGTGCAAGCGATAAAAAAGTGTGTGCGAAATGTTTGGAAAGCAAAGAGATCATTACAAAGTAAGACTTGATTGCAAGGAAAGTCACTGGGTGAGGATAAAGAGAGAGAGAGTTTTCTAATGGTATAATCTTTCTTGAATATAATAGCAAAGAGGATATCAAAACAAATGAAGATGAGGTTAGAGAACAACAGGAACAAGAACGCTTGTTAAAGATGATGCCGTTGCGGCAGCAGCGAAGCTATTTACGAAAACTCGAACGCGGTGACGATGTGCCAGAGCTCAATCCCGATGATTTCGAGGATAGCGATTTCGATTTCGGCAGTGATTTCGACAGTGAGGAAGAAGAAGAAGAAGAAGACGGCGACTTTAGCAAAGACCGAGAGGATGACGATAGTGATTACGACGACGACGACGACGAGGAAAAGAAGGACAAGGTGATAGATGCATTGGCTGACAAGACAAAAATCAGTCTAAAGGTTTAAAGAAAGAAAAGGAAAAAGTGTATGTAATAGTTACTTGTATATATATACCCGTAATTAGCGAAAAAGTAACAGAAAGCTTGTATATTAATCATCATCCATCATCCATTAATCCCTTCATTATTATTTGTTCTTTTTGTTATTTACGTATTACATCTTCTTTATACTGAATTGCATTACAAAGAAAAAGGTCTAAATTTTCTATATTTTATCGTCATCACGACCCGTACCATCATCGGAAGGAATAGCACCATCGTTTTGCAATATGTCTTACTGTTTCTGTGAAACTATCCCATCTCTCCAATCCATTACGAGGCTGCATGTATCCTCGCAATGAGTGTCCAAAATTTCCATCATCTTCAACTGGCGTGACCTATTTCGAGTAGATGAGTCTCTTTTTTTTGTGTCAACGCGTATATATCTCTCTCTCTCTCTCTCTGTGTTACCATTAGTTCAGTTCGCCTTGCTTGTGAATATTGTGCATCGATATCGCTCACAGTCACCAAAGTCTGATCTGCCAGATATCGGGCTTCATCCCGGAACGAGACTTCAAGGAGATCCATGGTAGTTGATTTAGACAAATCGAACGATGGCGGGCAATAAAAGTCTGAATAACTAAAAGAGTTTCCATGGTATGTATGTCAGTTGAGACACTATGTAAATAGACTCAATCCGCATCCAACGTTTTTTTTTCGGTTTTTACCCTGTAAGTTCGCATTGATCAACAAGCGAATGCAGAGAGGCGGGAAGGTTTGCTTGGGAATAAAACTCTGGTACTTTTCCCATATCTTTCCCATTGAAAGCAATGTATGTTTTGGCCAGTAACCGCACATCGACGTTGCTATAGAATAGGGATCAAAGGATTCAGTAAGAATGTGCTACTTTAAGCGTGTTCATCGACTTTTTACCCTGCTAGCGCAATCAGATCAATCGTTGCGCGCTTTCGTTCTCCTTCTGCCTTTTCCAACAAGAGCGAACCATCCTCTTGAACCAAAAACTCGACTCGAACACGATGCAGTGCATTAGCGTCGTTGTTACTACTGGGAGGAGGTGGTGGTGGTGTATACAGAGACGCCATTTCCAAGTTCACCAGATCATTCCTGTTGACATATTCCAATACAACAGATCGTCTATGGATACCATGGTCACTGGTGACTGGGAGTAATGGTGCAGTGATATTTGAAGGAGGTTGCCTGCCCCAATAAATATGTTATTTGAGTAAAACAGGAAACCGATAAGGATGCTTTCTATATAAAACTTACATGCCAAAGAATATACGTCGACTACGGGACGTGTTAGCAGTGTATTTTTGGAGTGCTTGAGCATCGAATATGGTATTTTGAGGAGCCGTAAGCATGGGTGACGTCTTCGACTTTAGGTTTTCGTAAAGAACTGCACCGAATCTTCGTGGATGATAGAGTTAGATATCTTTGTGTACGCTTTTTGCCCGTCGAGAAAAAGGTTTATTTTTACCTAGCTTCCAGATGAACGTTCGAGTCGCTATCTTCAGAGCCGATGTGTTGCTTCAGCAACGCTTTGATATCGGTTCCAGATGCCGCGTTTTGATTACTACTACCCATTATTAGCTATTTGAGGCTTTGTACGCACTTTACACATCCGTATACTTTCATAATGAGCATAATAACACAAACATACCTGCTCCAGTTTCCAAGGATGTTATAAAAGGAAAGCTGTCCTGGACTTGATATGTGTGGCTTTAACCGCCAAAGAAGGAAACGTGTTATTAACCTTTACCATTTTCATCAAGCCACTGTAAGGAGCAATCATCTTACATTGTTCTTATCCGGAAGAGCTCTCACTCGACTCCAACCAAAGGGTTTACTTGTAAGTGACATTGCTTGGGAATCATGTACTGGCACAAACTCGAGTTGTTGATGGAGCTGTGTAACGTTCGCAAAGGTATAGTCTGCGGCACCTAATGAGCTTTTTTTCGTGATATCAAGTTCACTTAATGCTTGTGCCATCAGCAACTTTGCTTGATCCATGGATTGGTACGACAAGCTTGTGAATGTAAACTAGAGCACAGTACATCCATGTGAGTATCTATGCATACTCCTCCTTCCACCCCCCCTTCGCTTACTATGTACCTTGTCGTTGCTAGTAGAAATATACGTTCCGCTTTGCTTGGATACGTTGGGAATAATCGGCATCACCCTGGCAACCACGTCTTCAAATGTGACCCCTTGCTTCAACTGAGATGACAATGACACGTCTTCTTGAATAAGCTTCAAATTCTTTTTAATTTCTTGCTGCGCCTTGGCGACATTTTGCGGTAATCCTTCAACGACATATTGACCCTCATCCACCATGATGGAGATATGCACATCATTGGCTTGCTCGATATTTCGAAGCGTCACGCCTTCATCGCTAATGAATAAGAACAATTCTGGCTTGGTCGTCTTGAAATAAATCGCGACGGCGTCACGTTTCCGCTTCAGTTCGGCTTGTTGGATCATTTCTCGCGACGGGAACCCCCAATGGTCGCTGACAATAAGTCTCAACAAGTCGGCTTTTTTCGCCCTATAGGGTACGATCACGCGCTTGTTGCAATGTGTCTTTAAATAAAGGCGTAACTGTGGGACAGTAAACGATTGCTCGAGTGCTGAACATATCGCTTGGTAGTTTTTGTCTTTAATGGCTCGTGGTATACCGCTGGGTCGATGGGATTCGATCGACTCGAGTAGATCTTGGTCAAAGGTGTTGTTGTTGTGTTGCTGTCGCAAGTGACAGCATGAGCTTAACTGGCGCTGGCGATTATAACGATCGAAACATGGACGGGGTTGAAGGGTATGTTGTGCGTTTCGCATAGTCGCCAATCGCGTGTTAGGTAGTCGAAGCAGCCACGATCGTGTGAATGACATTGACATTTTTGACGTTGGAGCGAAATAGCCAAAAAAAAATAATCAAATAGTAAATAACAACAGCGTGCAGAAATCTAAAGTGTATATATACACACACACACAAAAAGCCCCGCTGTTCTTTTTTTATAGCCGCGCGCGGATGGGGAAACGAACTTGCCCACTGAACCTTTCTTTTTTCTTCTTCCACAACTACAATGAGCAACAACGACGTAAACAGCAGCAACAGGAGTCATCAACGCCAACCAGACGATCGTGAACGATCAACTACACCTGAATCTCCTCCACCACCTCCAATTAAAGTAAAATAAAAAGAAAAAGAAATCTTTCCCCCCCACACCTTTCCCCTTTACTGCCAGTAACAACAACCAAACCAAAAAAACTGCGATTCGTGTAATCTTTGGAACTGACAATCTTACTCTCGTCTCTCTTCTCGCGCGCCGCGTTTAAACGTGTCTACCTCTACTGCCTCGCTCTATAATCCTTTTTTTTTTTTGGTTTTTGCTTTAAAAACCTTTGCCAAAACAAAAACTTTAGCCAATTGCTGCAACAAAGTTACAAGCATTCTCAGTCGGTACAAACAAGAAGACGCCTTACCAAAAACACAAGGAAGAAAACGAAATGAAGAAAAAGGTGAGCTTTAGGGGACAACTTGACGACATGCACTAAAGAATAGAGACTGACACGGTACATGTTTTTGTATACTGTGCAGAAAGAGACAGAAGAAGCAGCCAAAGTATATGCTGAATTCGTAGCGTCTTTTGAAGACCCTCACAACCATAAGCGTAGCACAAAGTCGTCTTTTGTAAAGTCAAGAAGCGTGGTATCTCGAGGTAAACTAGGTTTCTCTACTATCTATCATGACTATTCATAAAACTTACAAAAGAAAAAAGTAGATTCGGATGAACAACAACCTTCTTCATCTTCTCCGTTATCGCTCGAACAGAAGCAGTCGCAACAAAGCTCATCACAACCACCATCCACACTATCTCCCTCCACGACTACATCCAAACCTCCTTCTTCTTCTTCTTCGTATAAACCAATGCCTTTTATCAAAGCTGGAGAAGCATCCAAACCGAAACCTACCATGACCCTGTCGTCGCGAGCGAAACAACAACAAAAGCTACAGCAGCAACAACAGCAGGAAGAAGACGATGACGATGAAGAAAATGATGTGAGCAACCCTCCCCTTTTCTCTAAAAGACATCAAATATGCGCGCGAACTTTTATTTATATGATGGATGGTCTCTGTTAAAAGGCATTGGCACTGAAAGAAGCTCGGGCACAAAAGAAACGAAACTTGGATATTTTCTTGGAGGAAATCAAAAGGTTTGATATATGCTTGCTTTATCGATCTTTGATACCCGGGGGGGATGAACTAACTAAACCTTTATAGAGAACAAGAGGATCGCGAGGATCGACTTAAAGTAAAACAAATGCGATCCGGGACTTCAATTGGATCAGCAGAACCAGTGCCTTCATCAGGAATTACATTAAGAGCAGGTACAGTGGTATTTCTATATAACCTATGGGGATATCCGTATGGTTATTAACGTGTACCTTTAGCTTTTGAAGAGAACGCTGGCTCCCACGATACGGGTGATCCAGCAACCACTAACCTCTATGTCGGCAATATCAATCCAACGGTAAAAAAGAGACTTTTTGCTTGTTTTTCAAAAACAGACACATGTGCTATCAGAATACTGATACTGTGAATAGGTCAATGAAATAATGCTTTGTCACGAATTTGCAAGATTTGGACCTATCGCATCCGTCAAAATCATGTGGCCACGCACGCAAGAAGAGCATGACCGGAACCGAAACTGTGGATTTGTAAGTTTCATGAGTCGTCCCGATGCAGAGCAGGCTTTGAGAAACTTGGATGGCAAGTCGTTCCATGATTATATCATGAAGGTTGGATGGGGAAAGGCGGTGCCTTTACCAGAGAAACCTGTTTTTGGTGAGTATTCAAGAAAGAGGAATTTACACAAAACGAACGTATATTCACTAAGCATATATATATATATATGTACCTATAACGCGTGTATTCATTTAGTGATGGATACTGGATCCAAGCTGGTACAAACAGGTTTACCGTTCAATGCGCAAATTATTGAGAACTCAAGTGGCGTGGTAAGTATATGGGAAGAAAAAAAAAGACTAGCTGTGATAATTTGTATGCTCTGCTAACTTGTTTTTAATAAAAAGTCTTCCAAACCGCGCGCCGAAGTGACAGTTGTCAAACCATCAGATATTCAACATGTCAAGGTCATCCATCGCATGATAGAGCGTGTAGTCAAGCATGGTTCAGCATTTGAGGTAAGAGCGTATTCTATGCTGGATACTGTATTCAAAAGAAAACGGGAAATAGCATAATAACTAACAAATATGATATCGACGGATTCTTAGGCTATTATCATGGAACGCGAGAAGAACAACCCAACATTTGCATTTCTTTTTGACAACATGGTAAGAAAGAAAGTTTCCGATAACACCGCCCCTCACCTGGCGCTAATCGTCCGCCTGTATCTCTGTTAACATGCCCCTTTCTTGGATAAACACAAGTCGGAAGAACATATATATTATCGATGGAAACTTTATTCGATCTTGCAAGGCGATACCAAATCAGAATGGCGAACAGAACCTTTCCAAATGTTTGAGGGTGGTGCTTGGTGGATCCCACCGGATGTGCCCTTTGATGATGAGGTACTATATCATAAAATGATGCTTCAACTTGTTAGCAAAAAGAAAGCATCATTTGGAACGAGCCATTTTTCTTAAAAAATGAAATTATATATAATGTAGGGTATGATGGATGCTTTAGTGGATTCAGAAGATGAAGAAAAAGAACGAATCCGGGAACATTTGCCCAAAGGTGTACTTGGAAAAATCGCTAGACAACGATTTGAAAGCATGCTTAGACAAATCACGTTTCAACGAGGATCCATTGCCTGTGCCATGGCATTTGCTATTGATCATGCAGATGCAGCAGACGAGGTATTTTTTGGGAGTTTTCATTATATATGCTGCTAGGTGTGGATAATGCACATGTTACATATAATTTGTATTTACATGCTTGTTTATTTAGGTGATAGACATCATCATCAAGTCATTGATTATACCAGAGACTCCACTCGCTGTGAAATTGGCCAGAATATATCTCGTCTCCGACATTTTGCATAATAGTGGCGCACATGTGGCTAATGCTTGGAAATATCGTATGAGGTAAGACCAACACACACACACACAGAAAGAGATACTTGAAATATTGGACCATTGTATTAAATTCGGCTTTATTTACGTAACACCATAGCTTCGAAAATCGACTGACACCAGTGTTCGAACACTTGAATGAAATATACAGATCCATCTCTGCTCGGCTGAAAGCTGAACAAGTTCGCGTAAGTTATAATAAATCATTATATGCCCCCCCAGGTACATTGAGTTTTTGAAAAATTAAACACGTCAAACTTGTTCTGGTTTTTTTTTCTATAGCGACATATCACCAATGTTCTTTCTGTGTGGGAAACATGGATGGTTTTCCCAAAACACCATATTGATCATTTGAAATCGACGTTTATGAAAAAGGGTGGATATATATCGCGAAGCCAATCACCGGAATCAAACACATCGATAACAAAAGACGATAATGATGGTGAAGTTGATGTGGACGGCGTACCATTGAACGTTGGCGAATTACCGTTCAAGACACAGGAAGCTGAGGATGACGACTTGGATGGTGAACCGATGGATGATGTAGACGGGGAGCCGATGGCAGATGATGACGAAGAGGATGTAGACGGTATACCGATGAATGATACTGGAGAAGACGTGGATGGAGAGCCAATGTACGATGAAGACGTGGATGGAGAACCTCTTTCAGATCTTGAGCATAGTGGTAGACAAAAGCAAGGAAATGAAGAGGAGATCAATGACATGTTTACGTAATCTAGGTTATTCAACATTGATCGAATATTTTTGTACATAATTAAAATGTATCACTGCTTTAATATATCGTGTGGTATTGGATGGCTTGCATATATCTGTGCCTGACACTTTGTAATGCATCACATTTGTCCAGGAATGTGTCACCAAAACGATTTGTCTACATAATAGTCAACTTGTGACACGAAACCGTGCTTTGTGCTTGATCGTCTAAAGTTCCCATCTGTAGATGGCAGCCATCCCTAAAGTGAACAAAAGGTTCAACCTATTATCTTTACTGCCGCCGGAAATCCAGCTGACAGTTTTCAACTTTTTGACATTTCGAGAACGCTTGCAATGTACTGCGGTATCCAAGGAATGGCGATCCATGATTCTCAATGGGCAAGACATGTGGCATACTTTGTCTACAGACGATGGACACGTTATTGTACCTGAGCTGCTACCGTATCAATCCTACATGGATCCATCATCCATCAAGCGGGTGGTATACAATGTATTTGATGATGCGTATCGAACACCAAAACAATATTGGCCTGGAGTAGTCGACTTTTTGATAAATCAGAAAAAATGCAACGCAATTGAAGAAGGTAACGTGCTAATGCTAAGAAAGATTATAGATCAATGCTTACATTATATATGGACGGATGTAAATGTATATATGTAGTTGAGCTATGTACACGATATATGATGATGGAGTACATATCCCCATTACTTACCGCATGTGGTGATACATTGACACGTCTCTTGATTGCACCGGCGGGTTTCCACGGTGCTTATTCGACAGAAAACATCACGCCCGACCTGTTTTTCCGGCATTGCCCAAACCTCACCAGTTTCACGTTTGCGTATCAACCGTCGTCCTCTTCGTCATTTATAAAAAATTGGAAGCCACGATTGCCATCGCAACCCAACAAACATCTTGTTGATCTGGCCCTTACGACTTTTAACTACAAGTTGGATCCAGAACCGTTTCTTCAGGTGGCACCCAACTTGAAACACTTGGCTTTATTCCATCTCGATGAAAGCATATCCGCCGAATCATTTGCTTCTATGCTGAGCCGTTATTGTCCAAAGCTGGCGTCACTCGCGTTAACCGAGTTGTATGGTCGTGCTATGTTTGGCATCACCACCGTAGTACACCGACGCAGCGAACGTCAGCAGCAACAGCAACGACTTTTACGACGAGGCCGAGAACGACGCGAACAAAATGACAAGGATAAAGGAATCATAGAGCTTTTGTTATACGATCAGGCGGGAAGCTCTCAGAGTACACAGTCGTTACTGTATCATTTTGCCGAGCAACAACATGAGAAACTGCGATATGTATACCTTTCAGGCATGTCACTTGCCCGTGCCGCAATGTCACGTTTGTCCCAGCACGTGTATCCCTCACTGACGCATTTGAGCTTACAATTCGAGACCTACGACGGGAGATCCATGCCAATGTCCATGGTGAATAATTTTCTCACTCACTCTGTACCCAATTTGGAATCACTCTACTTTGAAGACAGTTTCAACGCACAAGAAGAGAACAACGACACGCTTTCTGCGCTTGCAAATTTGAAGCGATTGCAAGAACTGACTATCGACTATGGATTCAACGTGACCACAGAACAGTTGCTTTGTTTTTTCAAGACAATAGCACAAAATCAACATTGCAACCATGACAACACCAGCTGCTGTACTCGTCATCCCATGTCATCACCTTCTTCTTGCTCCTCATGCCGTGCACTGCCCGCGCTACGTATCATTGAATTCAAATACGCTTTCAATGCCGTTAACTCTCAAGTTTTGGATGCTATCAGCAGATATAGGATAATGATTGACGAATTGACACTCGTCGATCTTAGCGTCTCAGTCAACGATCTGAGTGTGTTTCTGGACACACTCATTGCTGCTGCTCCCATCTGTAGCAGAAGGAAAAATGAATGGCGCATCAACAGATTCTATTTCCACTATAGCGCGTTCTATAGCATGTCGTCAGAACCGGTCGATATTGATGTTCAATGCAAGGAGGTTTTGGCAAAACTGGATGGTGTGGCAAAGGAATGGAGCTTTTATTATACACATATTATAGCAATGACACATGAAGAGTATAGGCTTCAACAAAAAGAAAAGCAATGGACAAGCTAGTCTTGTCGGTTGTTGTACATTTAGATAGGGATACAGCTTATTTGTATGTAGTATCAATTATACTCACCCAGAATTTAAGGTACAAACCTTATTGTTTTTCGACTTATGATGTTGGATGCAAAGTGTCGACTTGGAATTATACAAGATCATAATAATCAGTTCATTTACTTACATATTCTACACGTATCTGCAGGCAAAGTCTTGAGCAAGACAATACTTTAAAGCAGCTAAAGCACACCACAAGATGCACTACTCCAAGTGTCCAAATGGAGCAGCAGGATGCTTAAGCTCGACCCTAATTGCGTCACCCTAAATAAAATGTCGCGTTACCCTTTTTTTCAACGAAGCATTATGTCAGCGCATACAAAAGTGCTCAAAATAGAAAAGCCTATTTACTTTTATACGATGACTCTCAAAAGGGACTACAAACAGTTAGATATGAGAATCATCTCGGTATCTTCACCTTCGTTTTAATACGAGGAGTATGGCTATCGAATTGGCTTCGTTCAGCAGCTGTTTGGACCCATAAGCATTTGACAACATATAAAATCCAAATAGAGTGGAGCATGAAATATGGTGTTTTTTTGACCAGCATGCATTCCTATTCTGTCCTTCACTGTGTCCGTCGAAGCGTTGCCAAGCGGTTTTTCACAAGTCGACAATGCAAGCCGACACTAGAGTTGGATCAACTCTATAAGCTCGCTACTATAATAAATGGCACATCAAGTACACTTGAAAAGGCAGAGCGACTACTCGAATACCCGGCATGCCACGACATTCTGCGACGGATCTATGATCCACACCTGCGACATTACATTTCTTCACGCACTGTACTTGCTCACATCAAACAGCAACAACAACTACAAACAGCAACAGCTACGACATCAGAATCGACGACGACATTGCCAAGTTTAGAGGAACTCTTGGACGCGCTTTCTTCACGTCGTCTTTCTGGCAAAGCAGCTTTGAACGCTGCGGCGACGTTCTACTCTACATATTGCAAAACCGACGAACAACGTCAGATCTTTTGTCGTATACTGGATCGTAATTTGAAAATGGGCATGTCGGTCACAACGATTCAACGGCTACTGCAGAAACAAAACAACGATATGCAAAGCGGCAGCGATAGCGGCGACCTACAATTTAAAAGCGTTGCTCTGGCGAGCACAGCAGCAAATTGGAAACCGACGCCGGATGAAAGTAACAGTGAATGGTACGCGTCGCGCAAGTTGGATGGTGTACGGTGTATTGCCTATGTACGCGATCCAGACTGCATCACGTTTTATTCGCGTACTGGGCGCGTTTTCCATGCGCTCCAAAAAGTACGAGACGCGATTCGGAGTCGTTTATTGGAAGACAGTGATCATAATAATGATAAGCAACAACAACGACAGCCATCACCATTTGTTCTAGACGGTGAGATTTGCGTATTCAATCAAGACAGCAGCATGGAGGATTTTTTGAAAACTTTACGGCAGATACGAACACTACAACAACCTATGGAAAACCCTGTCTATGAGGTGTTTGATATGGTGGGCGTGCAAGGGTTCCGCGAGGGCAAGGATCTGACACGATTCAAGGAACGGCAGGAGCGATTAGCGCAGTTTATCCAATCACCACAACCGCATCTTCGTATGGTGGAGCAGATCAAGGTCGACAGTCCAAAGCAGCTGGCCGCTTTGAAATCCAAGGCTGTAAAGAATGGATGGGAAGGTCTTATCCTGCGAAAGAACGTTGGTTATGAAGGAAAACGAAGGTAATATAGATAACACTGTCAGGATCCAACCTTTCACCCACTTTTTGAGACGTATCCGACTTACATATCTCAAATGGATTACAACCGCTTTAGTCGCAACATGCTCAAGATCAAAGAATGGGAAGACAACGAATATACTGTAAAAAGCATCGAGACGGGACGCATGCGACTGGCTACTACGGGTCAAGATACCGAGGTCATGACCAGCGTCGTGATTGAGCACAAAGGCAATTTCGTTAGCGTTGGGTCAGGCTTTACACTACAGCAACGCATCCGATATTTTAGACATCCCGAACTCATCATTGGAAAGCCCATCACTGTACGTTATTTTTCCGAATCGATGGGCGAAAGCGGACAAACATCCCTCCGGTTTCCAACCGTCAAGGCCGTTTATGAAGAAGGCAAGCGTACAGTGTAAGCTGTTGTTGTACTCTATCTCTAATCCTACTACTACTACTACTACTACTACTACTACTACTACTACTACATGCGTCTTTTCTCCTTTTTCACCGTGCGACGTTTGTCCTTTTCCTCCTTCTGCCGCTGCTTCTCCAGCAGCATTTTGTTTCTTTCCTTCTCTGCATCGGATTGCTTTTTCATTTGCTCTCGTCGCTTTTGATCTTGTTCTTTAATGATATCCGCGTTCCGGTTGCTTGTCATCAATGGATCTGCTGCACGTAGTAGCAGTATTGCGTTACTCTATTTGTCTACCCCCTCCTTATTTTTTTAATGATAATGTTTCTTTCTTCTTTTACCTGAACCTCCTGTTCCACCACCACTGCCACGCTCCTTGTACACAATTTCCGTTTCGCCGTTTGCAGTTTCTCGCACCACTTGATTCGAATCGTATCCGTACTGTTGCATTAAACGTTCACGCTGAGCGCGTTCTTCCTTGCTCATCTGTTTTGACAGATTGCTTCGTCTTAACTCGGCATTGGTTTCCATTTCTTTAGCTGACTGTTCCTGTCTTGCCTTTTGGCGTTCTTTTTTTATCGTTTCCTCTTATTTCGTCAGTAATCACATTCTTTTTTGTCGGTATCGCACTAAGATTGTCGTCTCACCATGGATTTCTTCCAATGCCTTTGCTTTCTCTTCTGCGCGTTTCTTTTCCTCGCTACTCTGTAGCTCTTTCCATTCATTGAGAATGTTTTCAATCACTTTATCCGTATTTTCATCCTGCAAGCCATCAGTACACAATAATATTCTATTGGGACTTTTTCGATGTAAACAATAGAGTATATTTATCTATAGATTATACTTACGGTCGTTGCAGCCAAAAACTCGGCAATAACTTCATGCTTTTCATCGTCAGCTATCGAATCGTCTTGGACAATGCCTGCAATATACGCAGCTACATCTTCATCTATATGTACGCAACGGCCATGATCAGCTTTCTTCTCCATGTTTCTTGACAACCTTTTTTTTCAAGATTAAACAATGTTAGCGAGCTCACCTTTAAGTTGTATAGACGCAAGTTGTTCGGTTACTTGTTCAATCATTCTGATTATTTGATGTGTTCCAGGAATGTCAGATCTGTTTTCTTTTTCCGTTTGAAGGAACGGTTCCTGCGATTTTTGGTGTGTTGCTATTTCGGTAACTAAATACAGCTTAGTGTGGTCTTCGAAGTGCGAACGCGGTATGTATTATGAGAACCCGGCTGGAAAACGTCTATAAAACTCTTTTTGCTATTTATTAAAACACCTTGTAGAGTAAAAGAGACGCAGAGTTTTGATTGACGAGAAACGTACCCTTTTATTTTCAAGATCGAGCTTCTTGGAGCTCACTGCTTGCACCTTAAAAACATAAGAACTATACGCACTATATCTTGGTTTCATTTTATATGAGGTTTTAAAGACATGCTCATTATTGAAGGCATCGAGCAATGGATTTACCGAAGATTTCGTCTTTAGCACGGCAATAGTCAAGTTAGAAATTCCATCACTTGTCCACGAGGAGTTGACGGAGGATCGACTCATAACTACCATCCAATCCGTTAAAGCTATGCTTTTGAATATGCGTAAATTGCCGAGTTGAGTCACATAAAACAGATTGGCATTAATTGGGTGCGACGTTCATGAAGTATTTGTGAAAAACCAGATAGGTCAAAGGCATCGTTCGCTACTTTGATAATGCCCATGATTCACACAGCTTTGTATCAAAGTTGGGAACCATGATTCATATCACATCTCTTCATGCTAATTCATCTGTACGGACTTGATTGCCTGTATTCTGCTATGTAAAAGTGTCTCAATATACCATTCTTGCCGAGAACACTCTTGATCATTGATACTGTGCATCCATGCGATGTCTTGTTGAACCTTCATGCTTGTCGGAAATGGAAACACTTTGTGTTAGCCAATCGGCTCCGCCTTATCCAGATACTGATTTTTTCTACCAACTACTTCGTTACTCCTTACACAATGTCTGATTCCGAAAAACTACGACTTGCCCTTAGCAGACATTTTGTTGATTCCGGTGAAAAAGAAAGGTAAGCACTCACAACCTATGTGCTGCTGTTCTTTCAATATTCTCGTGATTGCTGAATTCCGTCTTGTTTTTATTGCTTGTTATTACTCAAATCAAGATTGATGGGTATTCTACGCACTCGATTAGCTGAAGCTGGGTGGAACGATACCTTGTATGCACACTGTCGTGGTATGTGTAGTTTCGTTTTATACAAAAAAGAAATTGGGTTGGGGCGTGGGTACTCACATATTTCTTTTGTATTTGCGCGTTTTGTAGATACCGTTCGACAGCGAAAACTCGAAAACGTCACGTTGGATGAACTAGCCAAGGAAGCTTCTGACTATGGCCGCAGTAAGAAGCACACACACAAATAAGATATAGAAAAAAAGCATGTGTGTAATAATGCATTGCATGTTATTAATGGATATTCTTGCTTTTTTTGTATATATTTTTGTTACATAGGTACAGTGAACGAGAACATCAAGAAGGAGTTGCTTGTGCAGATCAAGAAATATCTCGACTCTGCGTTCGACTAAAACAAAGAAAAGGGGCGACGAGAGAAAGAGAAGGACGGTTGTTTTCATCATCGATTACTTTGGAAAGGGAGATAAGGAGGAAGAGGTGGTGGTCGTGGTGGCAAATTCTATATACTTCCTTACAGCATCCATCAATCTCAGTTGGCTGCCACTGTCGTGTTCACTTGTTCAACAATGCTGGCTCCTTTTGGCTTTTTATCCTCCTTCATGGTCAACCGCATTGCATACGCGTCCTCGCCATCAGCATAATACTTCTTTTCAATATCATGCACCCTTTTTTTTTATCAGATTATCCATGTTAGTTCTCTTTACTTTCAGACCACATCTTTTGCATCTCATCACTCTCTCCAACCACAGACACACATACATCCTTGCACCGACACCCACAGCCATATCCCTCACCAATGTATATACATATCATTGTAAAAGAAAAATACAAATGACATACTCGAATTGCAATGTGTCACGGTAAAGACCAATGGCAGCACGGTTGGTTTTTCGTACGTGTAAGGAGACATAGTGAGCATCAAAGGCTTCGACCATCTGCTTCGTTGATTGGGTCATCAATTTCTGTGCTAAACCGAGTCGTCGGTACGAACGCATCACCGATAACGATGTGATGTGGCCGTGAGGAACGTCCGTAGGCTCCTCCTCCCTATCATAACAGCTCCAACTATCAGTTTCTCCAAGATTTATTTTACTACACCCATATCTCCATGGTAGAAAAGGAAAGAAAAAGACCTTACATTTTTGCCAATACGTAACCAACGATCTTTCCATTACTGTCCTCAGCAATATAAGACAGTTGTGGCCAGGTAAGGGCGTGGTACAAGTCTATACAAGATATCACGTATTGCCAAGTGTCAGTGTTTTGTTTTCAAAAACTAAAGAACTTTTCAGGAACCCATAACACTATACTTAAAAAAACCTTACAATACTTCATTTGGTAGTTCTCTGGAAGGTCCAAGAGATTGCAGTTTTGAATCTCCAACAAATCCTCAACCTAGCATAGTACAATGTGGTGCGTGAGTTAGTCCAAAGAGCCAGTTGTGTAAGCCTGCTAAAGAAGAGTAGTGTACCGTTGCTTGACGAATGTTCATTTTTGTGCGTTTCAATGGTGCTAGTAGTGTATAATATGAACCGCTTTTGGGAAGGACAGGCCCCGCTTACCAAGCTCACCAATAAGCCACCATTTACGATTTAATGCATGTCGATTGGATAATCTGAACCTCGATTATGCTTATTTTGGTTGATCGGAATTGGATATCCCCAGACATCAGTTTACGCTTCGAGCAACACATTGACTCACCCTATGGATCCTGTAGCGACAAAAACACAATCACGGCACAATAATGAGAGCTATTGAAACGCAGTAAACAAGTAAGTTTCAAGTAAAATGAAATCAATCATCTTTGCTAAACAAGCGACAGGGCTTGTTTTCTTGGATACTTGCAGGAACAAGTAGAGAATTACTACGTCTATTTCCTGAACGATAGAAAGTTACTATAGTTAAGGTTTCAGAGTTGCAGTGGTTCAATTGTCTGTCATATTATGGTCAACCATGCATATGCTCAGTGGCTGTAAAATCTCAAAAGCTTACTATCTGGTCTAGCGCTACCATCTCTTGTAGACCTAGATCGATAGTAGTTGATGTCTGCTATAAAGTAATTTCTGTATTTGAAAAGGATTCACGCCGCGTCGACGGTAATATCAGTGCGCTATGCACCAATACGTTGGAAGATATAATACCTACGGGGCTACTTGGAAAATCTCCTTTGGGGTAACAATCCATGCGAGTTTATAAATGCGCAAGGCCTTGCTTGACAAGCATATCCTGCTCTCTTCTTCTTCTCTCTTTCTCTTTTGAAACACTGCTGGCGTCTCTCAAAAAAGTCTCAAAAGCGTTTTTTTTAGACATATGAAGAGCAAGTATACACATCAACGCTTTATCCATCACACCTGCAAGGATCAAGTTGAGGTGCTGCAACACAAGAAAAAATAAGCTCATTATTTTTGTCGTAGATGTATACTTACCTCATGTTGAGCAGCACAGCGTTTTTAACTAACGGAAGGAAACTCTAAAAAAGCTAGCCACATACTGCTACACTTGGTATACTAGACCTGAAAGTAAAAGTAAAGCCATGCCATGGGCCTTACAGATATTGCACTGTGCTCGTCGGTCAATGTACTACGCCCTTGTCTTCTCACTCCAGTCACCAACGCCGTGCCCACCATGTTACACCACCGCACAAAGAAAGCGGCCTCTCATTTTTGCGCTTTACTTTCTTATTTGACCTTTCTCCTTGCCCCCACTCGCATATACAATGGAGGTGGAACACGCACAAAAGGTAACGAATAATTCTATACATCCTGGCAAATTCCTTCAAAAAGCAGTATTCTTTATTTTTGGCTACATCCAGAACTTTAGTTGATTGAAGGGCTTTACAGCGCGAGTGGCCCAGGTGTCGCCAAAGAAATCCAAGAACAACTGCAGACCATTCAACGACAACCACAAGCATGGCAGATCGCGTCACAACTGCTTTCGATTCCGGTACATATATCTTGTTGTTTTTCTTTCTCTCAAACGCATAATATACCTCAAAAGGGGAAGAACTCTCATTGGGGGCCATTGTCATGAATATAGTCGGACCAGTGTCGATTCTTTGGCGCTCACACGTTCCAAGTTAAAATTGCACGCGACTGGTATGAACACACAGTTTTTCTTTTCAATCAAGTGACAAAAAGTTTGTACTGATTGATAACACACGCGTATGGAAATAAAAATTTGATAGGAATACGTTCCCTGACGATCGAGTCGAATGGCTCCGAGAAGAACTATTGTCCTGGATCGTGCGATCGTCTACTGGCCCTTTGTTCATTACCACAAAGTTATGTCTTGCTGTACGTAAGCATATCTCAACGTGAGAAGGACGTGTACACATGTATAGTTTCCAAGCGAATTTCTTGGAAAGCTAAAACAACTCTTTTATATATATTCGCCAGCTTATTACCTATGCATTCCACACTGTCCCTCAGCACTGGCAGAACTTTATTGCGGAATCCGTACACACGATGCATAATGGAGCACAAACGCTCGGTATACCACCTAATCATATCAGCATGACAATCCTTGAATTCTTGACCCTGGTGCCAGAAGAAGTGGCCAATACGGAAATTATTGGAGGGAAAAGGTTTGTGTTCAGTCATACATGTGAAAGCGCGCTATGTGTCTCTTCTTCTGTAGATCGAAATTGACAGGCTGACATGTTTTTCAGAGCACAAATCACGCAAGAACTTAAAGAAAGTATACCTTTGGTAATATCGACCTTGTCGTCATTTCTCATTTCGATAACAGAGAACAGTGGCGAATCTACACTACACCAAAAGGCACTTGGATGTTTGCAGAGCTGGATACAGTATGGTGTTGACTTTCAGTAAGTGCCAGAAATACCATCCAATTTGATGCGTGTGTAAATACTGGATTTCCTTCTTGAAAGGCTAATGACATACCCCTCCCACCTCGTAAAAGAGAAGTATATCCTCTCGTTCGACAATCAATGATGCTTCTTGGCAACGACGATCTATTTCAATCCGCCACAGATGTCCTATTGGAAGCCATGCAGCAACCATCATACACCAGATACAACACATTACGGAATGACTTGCTCGACTGCTTTTCATCAGATGGAATGAAATTGAAGCTTACCGACTGCATCTCAGGTACATTACACGTGTCATGTATATTTTTGGAGAGGACAAGGAAAAAAAAAGGTTCATTGTTATTCACTCTTTTATTATCATATTTTTAGAGGAGGATGATGAAACGGCAATATCGCTAGCCAAATTGCTCACCGGCTTTGGAGAAACATTTACTGATTTTATTGCAAGCCAATTCGCATCACCCAAAATCAGCGTCTTACTTGAGATGATCATGCAACTCACAGATTTCCCAGGCCATTTTCCAGCGGATCAAGAAGTGAGTGAGGTACCGCTCAATTTTTGGTACATGTTGCAAGAGACGTTGTTTGACGATGGTATCATTCCTATCCGACAACAAGTTGCTATTGTAACCGATGCGGATGACGACGTGAATTTGGAAGATGATGATGATAGTCGTCCAACAACAACAGCAACACATGCAGAGCAAGCCATATGGAATCGTCAGTGTGGAGAAGAAGCGATGATTGTGTATCGAGAACTTGTCTCTGTCATCAAACGGAAAGCTGCGTTTCCAGAAGATTCCGTATGGCGCTCGTGGCCTAAAGGTAAAGTACCCCGGCAAAAAGCAAGAATTGGCTGATGAGTATGGAGAAAGAAAAAGCTAAAAGGAGAAAAATAAAATGTAGACATCAAGGAAAAGTTCAGAAGATGCCGAAGAGATTTAGGCGACACTATGATTAATCCATATTATGTTCTTCGAAACGAACTGCTGGATATTCTTCTTAATCACACTACTGCGATATTGGATCAATTGGGCAATGCACCATCATTGCTGCCGGTAATACATCGCGACGGTTTCCAGCAGTAAAAAAGGTGGATGATTAACCTTTTGCTTTATTTATTCTGGCTTTAGGACTTGGAAGCAACCATGTTCTGTTTGAAAAGTATTTGTGAAGAAGTTCCAGCGGATGAGGATACCTATATCCGTCAGTTTTTTGGTCCAAAAGTACTTGAAAGATTACCGACCAGCGAAGATTTTCGATTACAAAATACTGTTCTGCTTTTGACTGGTAAAATGCAACTTTGACATGCAACGCTCTCGTGAAAGGTGTTAATAGAAAAAAATGGGTGTCAATTTAGGTGCATTGGCCGAATGGTTAAAAATACATCCAGAGTTTCTTCCACCTGTCATGAACTATATCGTGCCATGTCTCAGCGTCCAACGACTATCCATGTCTGCAGCTACCGCATTTTCTGATATTTGTGACACATGCCGAGAATCGTTGACCGATGCTTTGGATAGTCTCATGCACGTATATGGTGCAATGGCGAACTCCATGATTGAGGTGAGTCATTTCTTCTGCTCGTGGAAAAACACTTTGATGTCATTGACCATCTGCTCTCATAGGCCAATATCATGCAAAAAGTTGTAGAATCTGTTGCAGATGTTATTCAGGTGCTACCTCCCGATAGAGCAATCGCGCCACTCATGGTAAGTAGTATAGCACATTCTGTTCTACATGTTCTCATATTTACTCCTGCTATTTTAGGCATTAGCAGGAGATATACTTCAAGGAGTAGGAAAAGCTCTAACGGTTGCCAAAGAAGCACCAGCAGAAGCACGTGAGGTGATTCTGGCACAACTACAATACCTATCCGCCTGCTGTCGAGGGATTCAGTCCCCAAACGACGACTATCAATCCTTATCAGCACGAAACTCCAACTATGACAATTTTGCTAACGGTCAACTCGCAGCCATGTATGCCAAGGTCGACGGCTTCCATCAATTCACGTCAGCTATATATGATTCGGTCCAACATATTGCGGCAACGTGGCGAGACGATGAAGAGATCATGAAGACATTATCACATTATATTGAGGCAGGCATACGGTCCATCAGCCCATTGTTAACGCTGGCGTTCGACGATCTGGCTGTACTGACAGTGACAAATTATCAAAGTACTGGATTTGCGTGCTGGTTACACACGGCCACATTGATCATGACAGTCTATGGAGGTCACGAGACAAATTATCCTCGATTACGTGATTTGTTGGGCTCTTTGACAGAAAAGACGCTGGGATTTATTGGCACGGTTGAAGGTAAAGCAAATTGTCAAAAAGCTTTGCCCTTGATAATTAACCAAACGGTTATTAATCGTCCCTGTTTACATATGAAAGCCATGGAACAATATCCAGATGTCATAGATAATTACTTTGAGCTTCTATCAAGAGTAAGTAATTAAAGAAAACTTAAAAAAGTAGCAAAGGCCAGTAATTGATCAATTGTTTTCTTTTTCTGTGTATATTAGACGATTGGAAGATGTCCGGTTGTCTTTTACCAGTTGCCCCACGAAATGATAAACACCATCTTCATGTTTGCTATCGCCGGCATGGGCTTACAGGAACGGTTGGCGTTGAAAGCAGCTTTGAACTTTATGGTGTGTAACTGATAGCTCAGATCATGCGACAAGCTAGCTGATAATAATAATAACCTGTGGTTTGTTGTAGGCGGACTTTGTTACACAAGAATATGATGAAGGTAGTCAATTGGCAGAAACCACACATTCCCTGGTCATGGGTATGGGATTGCAAATTACGGAGCGATTATTAGCTGTAAGTTATTGCTTTTTTATGTATCTTCATTTATTTTCTTCGCTTCTAACCTAGATCTATCCCTGCAATACAAATTCCAATTTTTAAGGGTATTGGCGGCCGAGTACCACGCTCGTTTTCAGGGTCACTTGTAGATGTTCTTTATAAATTGACGGGTCGTTACATTGAGGGATGCAGACACTGGCTGAACCAACTGCTTGCGCAGGTAAATAATACATACTCTCTCTTTTTGGCAAAGAATGCTTTCCACTTAAAATACGGAACTGTTTATAGGAGGGATTCCCATCCAGATTAGTACAGCAGGCAGATAAAGAAGCATTCATGAAAGGAATCACTGGGTATGATGTTGCTATCAGTATATTTTGCAAGAGGTTCGGCGTATAGAAAGAGACAACGAAACTCATCTGATTTTTGGTAAAACTATTGTATAGAACTCGGTCGTTGAAGCGATTCAAACAGTGCACCCATGAATTCTCCATCAAATGCAGAGGACTGAATAACACAGCATTTGGATCTGTAGCATAATAGAAACAACAAGAACAAAAGCACGCATCTCTATAATCTTTTCCCCTTACTCTACTACAAAATATTAATAAGAGCACCTTTTCGTCTGTATCATTAAAAAAAGAAGAAGTAATGTTTAATGCAAAATGACTATACAGAAATATAAGAAAAAGAAGATGTTGATGGTTATGAAACATTGAGTGTGACTAGGGAAGATAATGGTAAGGTATGCATATATATATAGATGTATGAGTGAATATAGATTTACAAAGACGTGTGTACGGTTATCTACTTTATCAGATGAGTTAACTCTACTTGGTCATTTCGGGTATTGTTGGGGATGGATGATTCGGCGGTAGTAAATTTGGTTTCGTCCTTGCTACCGGGTGATGCTGTTTGACAATGATCATGATGATGAAGGTGATCCTCATCTTCATCGTCGCCCGGAGACGACCGGGTCATTGGATGAAATCTGCGATGACTACGTGCGAGACAGGTAATCATGAAAATCTGGACAATAGCGCGCACGATGCCGAGTCCGCTGGTGATACAGGTCAGTAGCACGGATGCTACAGGGGCATGCAGCATCATTAAGAAAATGGCCACAGCAGTATGCGGCACATCTGCAATCAGCACCTTGATCCAGCTCAAAACTGTTGGCACGCGATGATCGATCGGTAACCGATAAGCAGAGAGGTTGAGCATCCGGATCTCATAGAGGCCGAAATTGTTCAAGTCGAGTGTACAAAACAGAAATACGGGCCAGGTGCGCCGAATAACGAGAATACTGAAACGTCGACAGCAGTAACGGTAGAGATATGCGTTAACAAGAAGGTAAATGATGGTGGTGACGACAAGCACGCAAAACGACGTAGTATAGGAAGGGATCCGTAAACCGAGATGGACAATGGTTGTGAAAAGGTTCACAGCACTGAAAGCAGAATAGAATATGCTGAGCCAAACGGCGAATGATGTCTGCTGATGCTTTTTCATTGTGATGTAAGTCCATATGCATAAAATCAAGAAAAGGCACGTCCCAATGACGATCCATTGGATCATGTAGCGTCGCATGATACTGCCAAAACCTGGCACTAAATTGCAGTGCTGACATACGTCCCACGAATTGCCAATTCCGGAACACATGATGGGATTGCCGTCCAAGTCGCAAGAGCCCGTGTCGCTCAATCCAGCTGGTATTTTGCCTGATAAGTCGTTGCCAGACAAATCAACATTGCTCAGCTGTACACTTGACAGGGCGTCAGGTAAGTCGCCGTATATGCCATTACCACCACCAGCCAAATCCAATTCTGTCAACGGCAAGCTAGCAAGTACGTTGGACGGCATCCTATCGACAATGCTGGCATGGTATGTGAGCGACGACAGATGCGTCAATTGGCTCAGCCATATCGGAAACGTCGCGTGTCGTTGCGAATTGCTGGCTATAACTGTGAGATTTTGCAAAGCCGAGAGTGGTGGAATGATGGATCCGAGCCACTCAGAGACGTCATAGTTTGGTAGGTCGAGTCGAATGTCCAGCTGTGTCAAGTTTGTACAACTCGACAACCATGTAGTACTGTTGCTCGCGGTCGTTGACGTCGTCGATGCCGCCATTGAAGTGACATCCAGTGTAAGATTCGATAATAGTTTGCAAAAAGAAGAAATAGCCGTAAAAGTTGCATTACTGCTGCTGCTTTGCTGCCAACTATTGCCTAGCATGATCAAGTTGTTGACAGATGGAAACATATCACGTATCCATGATGGAAACATGTTGCTGTCGGAGAGGTCGAGGGTTCTCACCGAGCTGTTGTTGTTGGTTGTGTTGTTGCTTATATCACCAGACAACGACGACAAAAATTGAGTGCCTCGGATTGCTAGCGTCGACAACCGAGTAAGATTGTTGAATAAAGCAAAAGAGAAAAACGACGGACATGCAGTTTGATCAACATAATAGTTCAACGTCAAGTGTTCAAGCATGACCAATTCCGAGAGAACAGGAAGAGTAGCATTGTTGCACTTGTTACTATTACTATCGTTGTTGCTGCTTTGTTGTCCTCCTGGTGAACTGTAGTCTAAGGTTGTGATTTCTTGTTGGTCATTACAACCGACATGGAGAGTTCCATACGTTACGTTGCAACAAGAATCAATCCTGTTGTTGCTGGGGCCGACAAAGTGATTCCAAAGATTCTGACACGCCGCCGTTGTCGTTGTCGTCGTTGACTGAGCTTCCACCGACACCAACACTCGGTCACCGCACAATAAAGCAAGACATACAACTACCACTACGAGTGCCAACGGTAGCTGTGGAATTCCAACTAGCATTTGGAGGAGAAGAGTATATTATGTACACAAAAAGAAAGAAAAATGAGAGAGAGAGAGAGGCGAGTACGGCTGAAGGCGATAGTGGTAGTGTGTAGTAATAGAAGACATGTGATTATAGTTTTTTTCTTAATACAGGATTTTTCCTAATGATTGGCGGGGCTTTTTTTCCCATCATGGCGGGGCTTTTTTTTCACTTTGTCGTTGGGGGTGTTTGTGATTGGCGGTGTGATTTTCGTGAATGGCAGGAGGAAAAAAATACAATGGCGGCCGAATTTCAGGTTGATGGCAGAATAGTAAATTCATAATGGCGGTTTGAATTATATCATTAGCGGCATCATTTTTAAAAAATGACATTAGATACTAAAGCAGTTCATCTCATTAAATACATCACAAACATGGGAAGATGTATGAGACATGATAATAGGAGTGGCAAGTTTCTACTAGATGATTAGCACATCACCCTTATATAGCAACATAGATGCTCTGAGAACCATAAAAGAATCGCAAAAAAAGATATCGCAAACGAAAAATAATGATCATGTGTATGTAAAAGGTTTTATTTACAATACAAGAGGTACTTCACATCACAAGAGAAACTTCAATCTTGCGAAAATTTCTTCAATCCACAAAAGCCGATCCTGCTTTAGAAGCAATGTCCAGCGGACTTCATTCCATTCGGCCAAAACTCGGTGAACGGTTCTTTGGTCTTCACTGGCAGCTTGACTGGTCGTCGCCAGATTACATCCAGCAGCTCCTCTCCATCTATTTCATCTAGTAGGAAATATAGTTCTTTGTCGAAGTATACGCGATATTCGAGATCTGTTTGATGGCGCTCTATAATAGAAGTATAAACAAAAGAAGAATAAATAAGATTAATAAGAATAGATGTAATACCTTTTATTTGCAGAGCTGTGACGATGTGATACGACGTAATGAAGTAACGCCAGAGATTAAGCGACATCTTGAGAATGAGTGAAACAATTCTTGCCATTGCAGGTATGCTGCTTTATATGTTTTTAAAATGTAACCCAAGCTCAATCTCACATGTCACTCACACCCACACCCACACTCATACCACAATATAAATCTATGGTTACAGGAATATATAAAAATAGTAAGACTAGATGTTATATCATATTTTTAATTGATCATTATTGCTATCTACAACCATTTTGTCCCTGAATATTCCTATAGTCCTACTCACTCATACCACCACCATTTATCTATGACTCAAACCAGTCAAAGTAATTTTTTCCAAGAAAGCTTATTTATTTATTTTTTTTATTTTTTTTATTTTTTTTATTTTTTATGTATCTTTGTGCTGTTGATTTCGGGATCTTTGCTTCCTCCGCTGCCTTTCGTATTGACCACCCCATATTAAAGTAGAGGTGGATCAAGTATGCTTGTTTGGAGTCAGTATGAAAGGTTCTGTTAACCCCATAATTGTTGTTGCTGACCTGGTCTTCCTGGCTACCTTGATTATGGACCAGTTGACCTAGACAGAAGATATGTTTTTGTTACATCAGTAAACTAAAAATTAACAAGTTGCACGCATCTTTTAAATAATGGTAAAATGTGTTTGGGACGTACTGGTTTCCATTTTGTCAACTACAAGGTAAACCAGGTTGCCCAGGTCTTCTTCCGGAAGAATATCCGTAGGTGTAGCTATATATAATGGAAATAGATGAGTAACGCGCTGTTTTTTGATAGTAATGTTTAGTTGAACTTACTCGGATCGAATGGTTCCAACATGGATTCATCCCACAATTCAAATTCCAGAAATTTTGTAAAGGAGATGTTGTTGTTGTTGTTGTTCTTTGTTACGAAAAAGATAGAGTGATTTATACATTCGGAAAATAGACTTGTCTTTGGTTTAAATAGTTTATGGTTTTCTCTTATGTAACCACATGCTTTCGGGATACAAAATAGTTACAAACGGCTTAGTTTTCTTACGCATATGCCGTTAAACTATATTGCTGGTTTGTGACACCACCAAAAAGATCCAGTAATAGATGTTTGTAAGGTTATCTTATCCAGTATTTGTGATGATTCACAAAAATAAAGAGACAGACTACTGTATGAAGAAAAAAAATTATTTTTTGACAAAAGAAATGCATTTATTTGGTTTTCAAATGATGCTCTCGCAAAACTGCTTGACCTTCCTCAGTATCGATAAATTGCATAACCCAGCGATGCATTGTAGCTGCTGGAACTTTGGTTCTACCGTAGTCGCGTCTTTCAAGGGCACAATCTTTAATTGCTTTCTTGATTTCTTCATCATCCTTGTTCCATTTAGTATATGTTCGTTTTTTGACAGTTGTCAGTGTTGTGATTTCTTCTTGGAGCTGTTCCACCAGTTGCACTAGATCTTGAACTGCCTTAACACAGGGGAGCTCGTCGACTGGTTCGTAATCTTCTTCCAGCCGCATTGCATCTAAGGTTCTTATAAATTCCTCTATTAAAGCATTAGAATAGTGGCCAAAGGATATAATCTTCGATTATATAAACATACCAATGTAAGGGTCTTCTCCCTCACTGACATTGACAGCTTCACGTATTTCTTTATGAGAAAGGACAATGCTTGCCATGCTGGAAAGGACTACGTAGTGAGAATTCAGACAGATAGAGTAAAAAGAAAGTTTATAATCAGAAATTTTCAGGTAGGAAATAAATAAACTATAAGTAAGATATGATCCTTGCAAACCTACAGTACTGTAGAAGAATAGGGTAGAGTATCCACATGAAGATCTAGCAAGAAGCATAATGAAATGTTGCACGAAATGGGGCGGCATAAAGTACGGAAGGTGATTTCATTCCATTATCTGTATATGAAAATAAAATATAACGAAGTGTTGCACGAAATGGGACAAAAAAAATCACAGCAAAGTTTAATAGCTTGTATCCATATGAAGATCTAGCAAGAAGTATAATGAAGCGTTGCACGAAATGGGACAAAAAAAAACCACAGCGAGGATCTAGTAAGAAGTATAAAGCGTTGCACGAAATGGAATGCAATCACCCTCCGCTATTACTTTATGCCGTCCCAGTTCGTGCAACACTCCATTATACTTCTTACTAGATCCTCACACATACACGTAATTATACTTTGCTGTCGGTTTTTTGTCCCACTTCGTGCAACGCTTCATTATACTTCTTGGTAGATCCTCACGCATACACGCTACTATGCTTTGCTGTTATATTTTATTTTCTTATTCAAACAATGGAATGGAACCACATAAGATGGAATGGAATCACCCTCCGCTATTACTTTATGCCGTCCCAGTTCGTGCAACACTGCATTATACTTCTTACTAGATCTTCACACATACACGTAATTATGCTTTGCTGTGATTTTTTTGTCCCATCTGGTGTAGCATTCATATATACTCTATGTTGAAACTTCAAGTCTATGCGTTATAATGGAATGTTGTCATCTGTTGTAGATACCATTGTGGATTGCTTAATTATATATATCTGTAGGTACGGAACAAAAAAGTATATAAACCGATGATTCAAATCCATTGCTTGTAATAACTCATTCTAAATTTACTATTAATCATGTCCGATATCATTTCTACAAACGACTCCTCCCTCGACCTCATGCAGTTTGAATTAGACGTGGACATGCAAGGCAGTCTCGATGTATACAATACTCAGGAATTGAGCAAGGCTCTTCCTTTTGGTGACTTTGAAGAAGACACTACAACATCACCATCATCATCATCATCATCAGCATCGCGGTCTCCATCCTCCTCCGCCTCCTCTGCCTCCTCTGCCCCATCATCGCCATCACCACCACGAAGACGGCAACGAGCACCCCGCCGCGGGTACAACCAAGACGAGGTCGTAGTGGTGCTGCGCGCCTATTTTTGGGATGGGCTTACAATCGAGCAAGCCGGCGCCAAGGTGAAGATGCCGAAGGGAACGGCATCAAGACTCATCCGCATCTACCGCCCCCACATGCCACCACCACCCAAACGGCCCCGTGCTCCCAAGAGTAACCACTTCTTGACGAAGGTTAATGATGGTATTCTGGAGGCAGCTTTACAACATCCGTAGTTTTTTTTTATTAATAAATATTTTTTTCTCTGCTGGTTGTCTCTAAACAAATACTTGCTTTATGTAACAATGGTGGGATACTTTTTATAATTAGCTACAAACTGTATCTTGCTTAGTGGGTTTAACATGGGTGACATTATTGCGAGTTGATCTAATGGATTTAAAAAAACTACTGTTTGTTGTCCCATTTGGTGTTACCTTACAAGTTCTGTTCAATAACAAATTCACAGAATTGAAAAGTATGTATAAAGCTGAATCATTTTATTTATTGTACTTGTCCATACAGTATTATTATCACTCGATTTTTTACATCAACTATCACCATGTTATCCATCAAAAATTTAACGCTACCATACAATACTGACGTTGATATGCATGAAGAGGAGATGGAAGTAGACGACGTGTACCAAATCGTATCCGATGAATTTAGTGGCCATACTGGTGGTGTACACTCCCTTGTATCGATGACCAAGATAAAAACTACATCGCAGGTACTTACAAAATATATTGGTCAATAATTCTGTAGAACATGATATGTATTCTATATATTTTATTAATTAATGGTTGGTAATTCACAGGAAATTTCTACATCCAAGGTAATCGATCCTCCAACGTCCACTTCGCCTGGTACTGAAGCCGCAGAAAACCAAACGGAATCAGTGAAAAAGGGAAGGGGAAGACCTCGCAAAAACCCTCCAAAAGAGCCTGTCATCCCAAAAAGTATGCTACTTACTATTACTAAACCTTACTTAATAACATTAAACCTCTAGTTGCTTCTGATATCTAATCCAAAACTCTTAATTCCTATAGGAGCTCATCGAGTGTATCGAGATCCAGAAATTATCCAATTGATCGATAGAATCCAAAATGTCACTTTAAACGCTGCAGAGGCTGGGCGCGACTTGTTGATCCCTGAACGAACCGCACAGCGATACTGGAAACGATTTGTCGACGGTGAGCCATATCTCCCAAGTACAATGGGTAAATCTCCCGGTCCTCCACCAACCTTGACACCCGAACACACAGCATTTCTCCAGGCGTATTACGATACCAAGTCAGATGCGACCCTCAAAGAAGCACAGCAATCGCTTGTTGATCGATTCGGCATCAGCATCACTCAAAGTGGCCTCCAGAAGCACCTTGTTAGCAAATGCGGGCTTACTATGAAGAAGTTGGAACGGATCTCTGAGTACCGCAACTCCGATGAAACGATCGCTTCCCGGATCAACTGGGCACACGCATTTGAAGCCAGTGGCATTAATTACCACAAATGCGTCTTTATTGATGAGGCTGGCTTCAACATGCACATCAAGCGTAACTTTGGTCGATCGAGACGAGGTGAGCCCGCCAAGGCCTTGGTTTCTAAGTCGCGTGGGGTCAATATTACGATCTTGGGTGCCATCACTGGTGAAGGTGTAATCAACTTGAGTCTCCGGAGACCTCAAGCGGTTGTCGCTTCCAAGAAACGCAAGACGCGTGACGGTGAAGAAAAGGTGATGGGCAAAATCGGCACTCGGGCGGAGCATTTTATCGAATTTTTGGAAGTGATGATGAAGGTGCTCACCGAAAATGGTATGGGTGGAAGGACCTTGGTATTGGATAATGCCGCTATCCACAAGACTGATGAAGTTCGGGATGCCATTGCCAAGCAAGGATTCGAGATCCTCTTTCTCCCGCCCTACAGCCCATTCCTCAATCCAATTGAGGAATTTTGGTCAAAGCTCAAGGCAGGTGTCAAACGCCATTTACTGACCACAGACGACACCTTGCTGCCGCGCATCATCAACTCCGCCCATGAAGTCACCGCCCAAGATTGCCAAGGATGGATTCGCCACTCCCTTACGTTTGTGCCTAGGTGTATAGAAGGAGAGAAGATGCTGTAGTTTTTTTTCATATTTTATATGTTTTTTTACTGCCCTTCTATATTTTTTCCTTTTACTTTTTTTTTCATATATATATATATGTTTTTTTTAATAAAATATAGAGTTGTCGAAAATCATTAACTGTCATGCTGAGAAAAAGAAAGCAAAACGATTACCATAATTACCCAACCGCCATTATGGATTTACTATTCTGCCATCAACCTGAAATTACGGCCGCCATTATGAATTTATTATTCTGCCATCAACCTGTAACTCGGCCGCCATTGTATTTTTTTCCTCCTGCCATTCACGAAAATCACACCGCCAATCACAAACACCCCCAACGACAAAGTGAAAAAAAAGCCCCGCCATGATGGGAAAAAAAGCCCCGCCAATCATTAGGAAAAATCCTGTATAAATGCTCTTCTCATAAACGGAACACACTTTAAGAAAGGCAGTAGCTCGGTTTACTATCGGAACAACGACCCTTTGCATCCGATCGCCCTTTCTGGCTTTCTTGGCATGATCCCTTTTGTTGACGCATTTGCTATACTACAAAGGTGACGCATGGTAGGTCTTCCGTGCGGACAGTTCTATTACAGATAAAAAACCATTAGAAAAGATATAAAATGAAAGGCTTGTGCTCTTTACCCAAGGCTGATCGATTTCACCCATATGTTGAACTATCTATTTGGTTTCCGTTTGTCAGTTTTCGTATCCATTTAAGACTGGTCATGATTCTTAAAAAAACCTGACAAAACAGCAACAAACTTACCTGGGACATTTTGCGCATGTTAAGACAATGCCCTATCATGACTGAACTTCGACAAGCCCTTGAAGCAAACATGGCGCGGACGCGGGAACATCGTACCATTTGACCTGGACGTTCGGATAGAGCATGCACTAGTTCGCTGAAATCTACATATATCAGCAGAGCACAAATGAATTTGACTAGTTACTTTTCCATTTTTCATCGTAACAGAGCAGCAAACATGATTACCCTTATCAGTAAATTCTACATTCTTGGAAGTTGGATGGGAAAGGATACGAATGCGTTGTGTCGATTCTTTGCTTGGATCGATTTCCAGTTCAAAGCCGTTGGCACGCAGAATATCTTCATTTGCCATAGCGACTTGTTCTTCGAAAGGCGTCAGTTCAGGGTTTTTTGGCCTACAAACATAGCTTTTGCTGTTAATATCCCTCTCTTTCTTCTTGACGATGTGCGCACAACCATGTACTTGCATAATCAAACGTTGTCCATCAATGATTGTTGTCGACTGCAGAGTCTCAAAGTTGTACTTTTCATCCGACGCGTGCTGATCCACTATAAACAGATCATGGCCGTCAAGCATTGTGATGATGAACCCGAGATTGAACTGTCCAATCACTTTCATCTTTGCAAAGTCTGTCTTTTTGATCACCCGGTTGAGTGCTGCTGCTGCTATTTCATGGTCGTCCGTATTTGTCAGATCTGCACTTTCGAGAACAACGGTCGTGGGTGTACTGTTATTACTATCACCAATGTCCTGAGATATTGATCTGTTTGTTTTATTGGAAAATCGTCGTAGTCTTTGCCTGCAATACACTGAGCTTTGTAACATCTCAGGTCGGATAGAGGCTGATCGTGTTGTACCGCGTGTATACCATGGGCCAGGAGTGCTCAAAATCATTGCATCGTTGTCTTGAAACAGATCCATCGGTTCTTCTCCATCATCCTCGTCTTCTTCTTGTTGTTGTCCGTCCTCAAAATGTATCGTCAATGGCTGTTGATCGTCAATCGCTGTTGAATTGGTAGTAGTTGCTGTGGTTTTCGGTGTATCATCGCCATCCTCGTCATCCGCTAGTTCATCGTTCTCGCTTTCCACTGATTTCCGACTAAGCTCTTCAAGAACGTCATCCACAGGTCCTTGCTGGGGGCGCGGTCGTTTGCTCAAGAAATCAGTGATGCTGCTGTTTGGTCGTTTCCGGCTACTGCCTGCTGTGTAGGATGTCCGTTGGTTCGAGTACGTAAAAGATGCGAGTGACATGCGCGTAGGTGCAGGTTGTGGTGCGTTTTTTACTCGAGATGATGACATAGATGTGATTGGATATGACGATGCTCCCGAAGTGGTTGTGGTGGTGAACGATGGTGACGGTGTGGGTGTTGGTGTGGTAGCTTCGGGTATAAGAGAGTTAGGATCTTCTTGGTGTCTCAGCTCAGACAACACATTGGATGATGCTGTCGTTGATGGATCTGAGTCACCCTGCCTTAAATTGGATAGTACAAGAGGCTCTGCTACAAATGTGGATCGTGATGGTTCAAGCTGTTCGCGAAGCTCATCCTAATGCGTGTTACAAATCCAAATTTAGTAGCATATTCAATTTAACAGTCTAACTATACATACGATAAAATATTCAATGATAGGTTGTTCGTTGTGAAGAAGGATAGTTCGCTTATCAGGCGTGACATTGACATCGTACATGTCTGATTAAAGAGAAAAATCAGTGAATAAATTGACCATTCATCAAAACAAAATGGCCTTGGTTTACCTGGTGAAAGTAGAATGTCTGCAACAATGAATGGGTATTGGTTGGAAACAAAGGAGCGATACAATTCATTAAAGGCTCTGGCAAGCTAATAAGTCCAAAGATAAATTGTCAGTGGCCTTTTCAAGTTACTTTTTCCATTTTTTTACTAACCTTTGGAAGCGTACAGGGCCGGCCATTAATAAAGAAGTATTGTCGGTCACCACTACCACGTCCATGGCCGAAATCTGGTTTGGATATAAACCCATGAATCGCTGGTTGTGATCTATAAAACATCATAGCAATTAGAGCATATTCCGAATTTGTCCATAATAAGCTTTGAATAACACAAGGGATATTTACTCTGACAAAGCACCGTTACTATCCTCTTCATCGGCACGGCGCCCTACTCTACTAAGCACGGGGGCGAGGTCGACTTGAAAATGAGTGATTTGGGACAGCACCTTGACACCAAAAACATTCGAGATATTTTCACGAACGGCCTTGTTTCCACTTGTAGCAATTGCGCGTGTATTATTACTGTGAGAATAACATAGTTGAATTAGGCTTGATACGTAAACCCCACCGTGTAATGTTGGTACATGTATCAGTAAATAATTTACCCCCGAGCAGGCTGACTTGTGGCAATAATCTTTGTGTTTTTGGCAATGATGCCGTAAGCTTGAATGATTGCAAGTGCTTTGCCATATTCACGTTTGATATTGCGTTGAAATTCTTGCTGTCGTACTGGCAAAGCATGGAAAATTTTCGATAGCTGGACCGTGGTACCCATCTGTTAAACGCCCACTTAATTTTAGTGTACTTATATGCATTTAGGCAAAACAGAGAAAAAGAGAAACATACGGCACGAGCAAACGGTGATTGTGATACAAGATGTCCTTCTGCATCATAAACGAGTTTGACGCCTCTTGGTGCTTGTTCTTTCGTAGCTGTCGCAACGACGACTTCACACAAGGAACATAATGAACTCAACGCTTCGCCTCGAAAGCCAAACGTTCTTACGCTTTCCAAATCTTCGAACCGCTGTATTTTTGACGTGTAGTGCTTTAATGCTATATTTTATATATAAGGTGTCAGATATAGACGTGGAGAGAGGAAGCCGAGGACAGGAGGCCAGAGAAAGAGAAAGAGAGTTTACCCAAGTGTTCATAGTTTTCAGGTGCAATTCCATATCCATTATCTATCACTTCAATCCCTTCAAGTCCATTTTCTTTAAACTTGATTTCTAAAAGAAGTTTAACGAATCTGTCATGAGTTTATGTACAGAGAATTAAGAAAAACGGGGTGCTCCGGATGCTTTTACCAATGGAACTTGCACCAGCGTCAAGACTGTTTTCAACAAGTTCTTTGACAGCCGTGGCGAGATCAAGGACGACTTGGCCAGAGCATATCCGATGCACAGTTTGTTTGTCAATGGCAGCAATGGCACTCATTCTTTTTATTGCAAAAGGGGCACTGAAACGCTGAAAAGGAAAGGTGCTACTAGAGAAAAATTTCGCGCTTTGAGGTCTTTCGCGTTTTGACCTTCGACGCGTTTGAACACAGCAGCTTGCACGATTTGAGTTGTACCATGGCAACAAGATACCATGGCAACAAGACACAAAGTCGTTATCTGTAGCACTTCTGTGCATATAGTCCCCACAAAAGAGGGCATTTTGAAGGCACATGGTCGGTTCCTCGAAACTGTAGGTCTTCATATTTACAATCGCAGTCTTGTCTATTGCATACACGCACAGCATAGGCAGGCAACGTTACACGCACATACGGATCAGCGTTTCTGTATTCACAGTAACAGATGGGTGGCAGGAACACCGCTAACGACGTTGTACTGTAATCCGAGAAAGTGTTCCGGCAATGAACAAGATGGTGGGTAAAAGTAACATGCGCATAGGGGAGAACGTACTAGCACAAAGCACTGATGTTTTGATAACCCCTTAGACACACTTGTCCCTATTTTTCGAAAGAAAGCAGGGCTAATTCATTCTTCCGAATTCATCCGTACGAAATAGGTTTGAACCCTGAATAAAGATAAAAGTACTAAAATAGAAAGCCGAAATTTTCCTTCGGAATCTTATATGCTTTGAGTCATATGCCTCCGCGTAAACGTCTCCATAGGACAGAGTCGCGATATGGTGTTCAAGCTACTACAATGTTGAGCATCTGTAAAGGCGACAAAATCTGATACGGGAGGAAATGGGCGCCAACGAATCGAGAATGTGGTCCCCTATGGCTCTCTACAGTTTTGAGAAATCGATAGAAGAAAGTGACGATATGACGGGTAAAATAACATCATAATTATCAAGCTGCAACGGAGAGGAAAAAGGGCAGCTTAGCCCTTTCGGGACGAAATCATCCGGATCCTGCAAAGATATAAAAACGTCATGCGGCTACCGCCCATGTTGTGCTTCTCTTCATAATATAATAATTACTATGGTTTCTTCTCACCCAGTATCGAAATACTTTGTATCCTCTATCGAGGAAAAGCGCCCTCTTGCCCCGAAGGCTCCTATTGAATTAAACAGCAACAAGTACTTTCTCACCTGTGGTCTCGGTGGTGTCTTGGCATGCGGGTAAACATAGCTTTTTATTTCATTCGAATGAAGCGCGTTTTCAAGACAAGGATGGTTATCATACTCACACTACAGCTGTACACTTTAATAGCTCTACGCACTCGCTAATGACGCCTTTGGATTTGGTGAAATGCCGTCTACAGGTAAAGAATAAGAGAAAACGGTCAAAGTTCGGGTTGTTGACGGTAAGATTGATTCGCATGCTAAAACAATCATACATTTTTTAGGTGAAACCTGATTTATACAAGGGCATTTTTGATGGCTGGAAGACCATCATCCGCAGCGAAGGTTTCGGCGGTGTCTTTGTCGGTCTCGGTCCCACTGCTATCGGCTACTCGTTGCAAGGTGCGGGCAAATACGGTCTGTACGAATATTTCAAGTACAAGTATGGCCAAATTGTCGGCGAGGACAATGCACACAAGTACCGAAGCATTCTCTATCTGTCTGCATCAGCATCGGCTGAATTCTTTGCTGATATCCTCCTGTGTCCAATGGAGGCCCTAAAAGTGCGTCAACAAACATCCTATCCTCCATTCGCAAAGGGCACGGTCGAAGGTTTCCAAAAGCTCAAGGCAGCCGAAGGATTGTCTGGATTCTACAAGGGTCTCGTGCCACTCTGGGGCCGTCAGATCCCGTACACCATGATGAAGTTTGCATCCTTTGAGGCTACAGTTGAAATGATCTACAAGACGTTCCTGACAAAACCAAAGAACGAATACAACAAAGTGCAACAGGTAAGAACAAAGAGAAGCAAGTAAAAAGGGGATAGTGTGGTTGTTGTGACAAGACAGATAGTAACTCATTGTGCACGTGTGTAATTTGTATAGCTTGGCGTCAGTTTCGCAGGCGGTTATATCGCTGGTATCTTGTGTGCCACCGTATCCCATCCAGCAGACGTGATTGTGTCCAAACTGAACAACTTGCCCAAGGCCGAGGCAGGGCACAAACAAGCAGGCCTTGCAGACGTCGCAAAAGAGTTGGGATGGAAGGGCGTCTGGAGAGGACTGGGTCCACGTATTGTCATGATCGGTACGCTCACTGCTCTTCAATGGCTCGTCTACGATACCTTCAAGGTCTACGTTGGCCTTCCAACAACCGGCGCTACAGACGAAAGCGCACCAAAAGAATTAGAAACAAATTAAGTCAAACTTGCAACCTTGTACATAAAATAAAGTACTTTTGATTTCATATGTTGTCCAGTTAAAGTAGCATAGGAGGAGCACCTGCACTTTTCCGACGAGCGCTATTGTGCTGGTTACATTTGTCAGCAGCAGCGCATAAATATTTTTTTGGTGATCTTCTTTCTAAACTTACTTACCCTGTGATCGATCATTCGACATGGCCGCACCGTCCCAACCTACAGATAAAGCAAACATGGATTCCTTGGTTTACCTGGAAGAAATGTAACAAGTTATTTATTCAATTGCTTAGAGAGAAAAATAAAAATAGAAAAGAGAATCGATCGCAAGAGAGCCTTTTTTTCTCGATTAACCTTTGACTTTTACACACACAACAGGTTCCAGCAATACGGCCATGAGGATGGCATGCGCGATGGCAAAGACTCAGGAGTACTGGAAGGTCGAATCTTTGGCTGTGAAAAGTCGTTTGAACTTGGTCGCGAGATTGGATTCTACGATGGTTGTGCAAAGACTTGGAGAGAACTTGCCGAGCGACACCAAGATAAAATTTCTTCAAGGTAAGTCAGTTGACGACTTGTCACCATGATGCATCCACGCTAAAATAACGTATCTACTATATATAAAGGGTACTCAAGAATATCCAAGCGTTGGAAAAGATGGTTGACGAATTTCCTCGTGATAACTGCCCGAATACCGACATGTTTGCTGCACGAGACAAGATGGCAGCCAAAATGAAGGTCATTGCTTCTCTGCTGGGTGTCAACCAAAAGTTCAACATGGAAAAACGGTCAGAATTGATCTACTAGTAAAGGCTAGAAAACAGAAACTTTGTATATATGATAGACTTCTGATGAACATAAGTAGTTATTATTATTATTGATAATAATGGTATTTTTTTGTAAGTAATGTATAAAGAGGGATTTGGTAGAGAATAACACTTGTTATACAACGATTAGGAGACTGTTATGATGACTGTAATAAGAAGACTTGACCGAACATTATATGCACTTGTTTACTGTAAGTTAAAGTTGAGACGAATGCATGTAACGGTTTTGCCTGTTTGATCTGAGATGCGGATCGTACCATCCAACGGCAACTTTGGAATCTCACGAGGTATATATGCTATTATCCAAATTATATGTGTGTCAGTTGAACGGATCAAAGGCCCTCTTGCTGCTAGAAACATATACCTGTTGCTTCCAATAACAGATCGCCAGCATTCAAGGGACAGCTTTTATGGCCCATTACATCCGACTGGAGCACACTACACAGGTCCAAGTTTTTGTTCACTTTGATCATAGAAAGCAGCTTTAGGTCGATTGAAACGGTGCCGCCCGTCACCTCAGACACTAGAAGATGATGTTGTTTGGTTAATAAGTTGTCTATCTATTGTGGAAACGTCCCCCTCTCCTCCGCTTATTTGTAGACAACTACATAGATTGCCGTTAATCTTGACGTTAATATCTTCCCCAGTACGAGGAATGTGCGGAGAGATGTAGACACCATTCTCGTATGCTCTCAAAGTGTGAGAAGCCGGATCTTCACACAAGGACCAAATGTCGCCATGTTGTTCAGGGCTCATAAAGGAGTGTTGTTGCTCGATTGGCTGTGCAGATGCCAGAAGGACATTTGCAAGAAGCAACAGTGTGCATGAAGCGAATCGCATTTGTGGTAAAGGAGGAAGAAAAGGATAAAGCGGTAAAGGGCTGCGAGTAGTAGAATATAAGAAAAAAAGAAGCCGGGATTTCCGGAAACGAAGAGAGAGTCAAATGATCTTTGTGGATCCTATTTCATATTTGGAAACGGGATGATGCTATTTGTTTAGTCTCTTTTTGCAAAGAAAGGCGTAATTTCTTTACAACAATGTGCAAGTGCGACAAGCGTTACACAGCAGCCTGCATGATTGCAGAGGAGGCAAAAAGAAATGTGTTGCTTTTTATATATAGATACAATGAATGAAAAGAATAACAAACGCTAGAGAAATGATAAAAAATTTATATGGAGAGTTGGAGAGGGTGAGAGAGTGTGCTTGTGCGGGGGAGAAGATGCAAATTAGTCTATGCTGTGCTGGTGAGAGGTTGTAATACTTCAAATGAGCCGGTGCCACCTTCGACGACCTTGCCCATCACAATACGCGCAGATGGGGATTCCAGCGTATCAAAGTCGCCGTGTCTAGAGTAAAAATGTGTGTGCGTGGCGTGAGCACAAACCATCCCTTTCAAATATAACATATATCGCAGACTGTAGTAGTAATAACTTACAATGTGGCATCCGTCAAGAATTTACAAGTTGATTCGAAACTCATTTTCAAAAAGGGCGAGGTGTTGGATGCAAGACCCATGCGGTTGAATGGCTTGTAACCACCTTCAAATGTCATGTAGTCTGCAATCAGAGTCAAATGGCGTCGGTCCACCTTGATACCGTATACTTCAAAGACGCCAGCTATTTCCTTAATGATGGCATTACGGGCAGCCTCGACACCATATGTGTTGAGAATGGCTGCAATGTCGTTGGTATCGATGAAGTTGATATCAAGCAAGTCGCTGTGGTTCCACATGCCGCGAAGGTTGACACCTTCAGTTTGTAATTGTTTCTATGTTTAAGCGAAAATAAAAGAAATTAGGACATTGCGTTCCTTTTGCACTCGCTTTTTGCTGTGCTGTCAAACTTACCGAAGTGTCGTTCTCGATGCGGTTGAGATATTCAAAGCAGCGCTGGATACCCTTGATTTCATGTACAACAACACGAGGGCAGACCTTTTCAATCAAGCTCGCCATCAAAATCTTCTTGGTATCTGCGGGGAACTATAAACAAATTTGCCGGGATGTCGTCAGCAATCCATCGTATGCAAACGAGCAGTTCTTTTACATCTTTTTTTACCTTCATATCAATTTCACACCATGCACCGTTCTCGGCATCAAAGTCCCATCGGGTCACATACTGGCTATTGTTGATAGCACTCTGACCCCAGTTCTTCTCCCCTGTGCTGTCAGCCGCCTCTTGCATCTCTTCGTCATCTTGTCCGCTCTGTGCAACTGCCTCCAATTCAGCTTCTTCGTCTTCGAGCGTCTTTAACTTTTCTGCCACCTCTATATCTTCATCATCCGGCTCGTCGTAACTGGCCTTCTCCTTTGTCTTCGATGCTAATCGAGTGTTTGTGGCGTCCTGGTCGCCTTCATCGGAATCATATGCTGCTGCAACATTTGCACTGTCATCCTCCTCCGAATCCTTGCTTGAGTCGCTGACCTTGGATGGTTCTGCAATGTTGACAACCTTGCGTGAGCCCTTGATATCCTTACGAATGACCTCCTCAAGCTGCTTCAAGAAGGTAGTCGCCAGGACTTCCTTGATACGCTTGGCATGTACTCGGTATTCTTCCTCATATTCCTTCTCGTCAAACAGGTTGAGACGGATTGTGTAGACCTTGGATCGGCGGTAGTTGTTTTCAGCAGATTTGGAAGTCATCGACTCAGTAACAGAAACATCGTCCACGATCTGTGCCAAAGTGAGCTTGGTAGCAACCTTGCAAAAGTCGGCGGCTTGTTCGGGAGATACTTCAGGTTTTATAGGCATGGTCATGGTAGGTGTCTTGATAACCTTGGCGGCAGTCATTATAATTTCACGAAGACGAGGGATACCCAAGGTGACGTTGGCAGCACCGTAACCGGCAAAATGGAAAGTGTTGAGCGTCATTTGTGTGGATGGCTCACCAACCGATTGTGCAGCCAACAAGCCAACAGCTTCACCAGCATCGACTAAGCTGTGCAGGTATTTCAAGTGCATCAATGCCTTGAACTTGGCCTTGGTGAGCGATGCGAATCGTTCATTGTTCTTGGTCATTTCGCTGTTCTTGTCGAACGGCATATTGTCTGGGTTTCCTTCAACGTACTTCTTCATGGCCAATGCGAACTTTTCAGAGACAACACCCAAATGAGTTGCAGGATTGAACTTGGAAAGCGGTGGATCGTACTTGCTAGGCTTTTTGAGGGCTTTCTTGGCATACTCTTCACCAATCTTGGTATCGAGCGACGAGAGCGCAGCCTTGGGGTTGTATTTATTGGACAGCATCTCATAGTTGTGGGCAGAGAAGCTGAATTCGTTGAGGTATTTGGCCTTGATGACGTCCAGCGAGTCTTCACCGTAATGGAATTGCAGGATCGAGCCATCCGAGTCACGAACAGTATGATCATAATGTACACGCAAACCTTCCATATGCTTGATCAAACAACGCTGCAGATAACCAGAACGAGAGGTCTTGACAGCAGTATCAATAAGACCTTCACGACCAGCCATACAATGGAAATAGTATTCTTGTGGACGGATACCAGTCAGAAAACGGCCAGCAACAAAACCACCGGCTCGTGCGCTTGTGTCGTAAGGTCTGAAGGATGGCAGAGAGCGACCCGATACCATCAACGGTACACGTCGACCTTCTAACTCTTGCTGACCCAACATACATGAGATCTGGGCTGCGTTGACGTTGGAGCCCTTGGCACCAGACACCGTCATCATTTGCATGTCGTTGTCAGGGAATTTACGAACCTGTTATATGCAGCCGCGGGGTGGTTAAAACAATCATCACCACTATAGTTTCAAACGTTTTTGAGAAAAAGAAAACATACCAAGCCGTTGGGCAAGCACTGTTCAGTGATAGACGATGTAAGCTTGTTAACCTTGGATTTCATGGCGTTATCCAGACCAGCCAGTTTGTTATCATCACGAGCAACTTCAGCCATACGCAAGTTGAATTCTACAAAGGAAAGTATTGCTTCTCGTTAGATACACTTACGCTTATTAAGAAAAATTGCTTCTAAAAGTTTTACCTTTCTTAAGTGATTCTTTCGAAGCCGTCTTGGCCGTCTCAGTGAGACCAAGGAACTCAAGGTGTGCTTCCCGACCAAGGCCTTGACCATCCGTCAGCAAATCCCGACGCCATTTGTCACCTTCTGTAGTCAATCGCAAATCGTCCATACGACAAGTGAAACCATGCGACTGAATATACTTGGTAAAAAGGCGACCAAAAATACTGAGGATCATGCCCGCGGATTCAGGACCATACAATTCATAAATCGAGTGCACCAGACCATATGCGGAAGCGCCGAACTGCGACTTGTCAAGAATACCGATCAATAGTTCGCCATCCATCACCATCACATTTTCTTCCTCTTTAGCATCAGGACCCCAGAAGCGACCTGGGACCTTACTCTTTGACTTCATGTTGAGTGGAGATTTGCCAACGGTCAAATTCAGAAGAATCGTGGAGATCTGCATGACATTTGGTTACGATTAGATCCTCACTCCTTCTTTGAAGCTTACATTACAAGAGAGCGAAACTTACCACTTGTTTTCCGGTCCATAAGGGAACAGGCTTCCAAATGGTCGGAGGCATGGTCAAAATGCGACCGTTGCCAGTATTGTCGGCTTCAGGACGCAGGGATCCATACAAGAGCTGGTGGTATTCATCCTTGGTAAAGAAAGTGTTGCGCGATGTCATCCACACACCGGAAACAACGTGGTCTTGAATCAGACCACGCAAAGGGTTACCACTGGTTGGTACGAGATACTGGTTGTCAGTATTGGCGATCAGGGCGGCTTCAGCACGAGCGATTTCGTTTTGCGGAAAGTGCATGTTCATTTCGTCACCGTCGAAATCGGCATTGTACGTGTTACAGTTGGCGTAGTGCATACGAATCGTTTTTTCACCAGGCAACACGCGCGCTTTGTGAGCCATGATGGATGGCTTGTGAAGAGTAGGCTGGCGGTTGAGCAAAAGCATGTCACCGTTGCGCAAGTGACGGAACACCTTTTTGTTGATCGTCTGGGTACGCGTAGCATAAGGGTTGTTGCTGCCTTGTGCTGCCTGCGAGCTCTGTGGTGCCAACAGCGAGTTGGCAAGAGCGATACGCGATTCCACCGACAAATTGGCAAGTACGTCAATTGACTGGTCTTCGTGCTGGACGTGGGTTGCACCTGGCCACTTGAGGGGACCATTGATCACAGCTTGTCGCAGTTCCTTGATGTTGTGTGCCGTGACGGGTTCAGGGTAGGTCAGCTTTTTGGCAAAGACGGGAGGTACACCGATTTCGTTGGTGTCGATATTTGGATCGGGCGAAATGACTGAGCGCGCAGCATAGTTAACACGCTTACCCATCATGTGCTTTCTAAACAGACCCTCCTTTTTCTCCAAAGCCTGACGGATGCCAGCTGGTGGCTGCGCGTTCTGACCAAATGATTGCGGGTTTTTTGTCGAATCGATGAAGGAGTTGACGGCGTGCTGCAACGTGATGAGGCTGTTGACAAACATGTCCTGAAGACGCGTAACTTGTCTCTTATTGACGGGATCCTCTTTGCTAGCCTCTTGCAGATTGCTGGAGACGTCTCGGACTTGATGTGCGCCATTCAAGATGTTGCTCAAGAGTTCGTTTTGAGGTGATTCAAACAATTTGTCACCCATGACCGAAGGTGGGCGGAAACGTGTGGGCGAAACAGACAAGACTTCGATAAAGAACATGTGGTATGTTGCTCGTCTAACTTGGGATGGGACGCTGGGGTTTCTTGCGCCATACAACAATGTCGTAATCTCTGGTTCCTCCTGGAACAAATCCTGAATGCTCTTGCGTACTTCGATCGGATTCAAGTATCGTTGGCTGCCAAGTGCTGACGATGACTTCTTTGCTCCTGAGGATGAATCGTCGTCGCTATCGCTGTCCGATGCATCCCTCGTAGTAGTAGCGCTGGCTCGTGCTCGCATTGTCATCTGGTCCTTTTTCGAAAGATTGAGCTCGAACAGTTTGGCAGCGCCATCACGTCGAATGGGTGGCGAGATGCCTCCACAGTTGCCGCAGCGCTTTGACGTGACGCAGTATTTCATGAACTCCATCATGACCCGTTTACGGGCATCGTTGATAACTGTCACTTTATAGTTGTCGCTGGCGAATTTGCGGGCGGCTGTATCGGCCATACAATCCTTGACGTACTTGTCTAAATTATTTCATTTTGTTGAGAAGAGGTTTTACTGTGAGTCATTTATCCCTTTCTAAACGGTATAAAGTATCCTTTATACATACCCATACGGTCGAGTGCTTTGTCTGCTTCTTCGGCTTCCTTTCCGTTTACTTCCACCTCGTCTTCGAGAGTATGCTCGCCATCCTTTGACTTTTTTCCGGTCTTTTTGCTTTCAACATTCATTTCATCCAAAGCCTGGGCTTCGCGGATCAGACCATGTTGAAGCAACGTCAATTTCGCAACGGTTTTGTGCATCTGTCAAAAATAAAAGTAGGGAGATAATTAATATTAGGCTACAAATCACTTTGCTCATTCAAAAAAGCTTTGCTTTCTTTCGCCAGTTACCATATGTCGTCCCATGCGGAACTTGTTGCAGTATGCACATTTGGCTCGAATAAGGGCATACAAGTTATCGAAAAACATTGGGTTATACGTCGGCACGGGAAGTTCGATGTGACCAAAGTGGCCTGGGCAGTTGTGGTGACTCTGAGAACAAGTTCCACAGCTAAGGAATTGAAAACAGAAGAAAGGGTAAGAACTTGAGCTCCCCTAGAAAACTTGGATAGTAGGAAACGGCGGAAGTCTTACATTTGTGTCTTTTGGAAAGGGCCAAGTGCTGGATCGTATAGACCACCTTTCGTTGGATGACCGAGAGCATCAAACAGCACAGGATTCACAATTTGTTTGACCGAAATTTTCTTGATTTCATGTGGCTGGTAAAATGAAAACGAGACCGAATTGATCTCGGATCCAATTGGACATGAGATGTTCATGGCGATCGACGGTCCTGCAACGAGTGGAACAACGGGAACACACTGGATTAAAAAAACGGGAGGAGTGCTAAGAAAGTACAAGGAAGAGCAGTCTACCCAAAAAAGCCACGCACTCGGGATTTGTTCCGATTGTCCCGAGGAATGGTGATTTTTTTGTCCCGGAGCTTTCAATCACCATCCACACTGGTTGAGCACTGTACCACTAGAATGACTTGATCATTATATCTGGGACTTTTATCTACTTCTGTTGCTTCTTCTTGGCGCTACATTATGGAATCAAAACAATAGAAAGGTTTCGTTTCTGCACAGTAAAGTCATATCCTTACGCACTCGCCATGTAGCTTTTTGGAGCACGCTTCTGATACCAAAAGAAGCCGTGTTTGTTTGTCTAGTGCAGTTCTCCCTCGTAGTAGAAAACCATGTCTTTTCCAAGATTGCGTAAGCGTGGATGTGACATTCTCTGATATAACACTTTATAAAGCTCCGTGAAAGAATAGCCTGCTCTACAGTATCTTAAAAGTAAATATGAGAGACAACACCCGTATTGCCGTATATCATGGCTTACGTCTAACGAAGCTCTGTGATCATAATAGTTGCGGGCATGACGTAGAAACGAAGCTGGACAGCCTTGAGCCTCCTCTTTGATGGATCGGACATTCAGCGTCGCCAAGTTTTAGTCTAGGAAATTGCGTGCATAAAAACTTCAGTTCTTTTTTATCCCATATGTCCAAGCTTCCTCAGTATTCCCAATCACAAGACGATCAATCTGCTACACAACCGCTGTTGGGATCCGCAAATGAACGATCCCCCGCGAGTAAAAGCTCCGGTGTACGCCACTATGCACATGACAGCAGCAATCGGAACGTCTACAGCACGTTTCAAACCCCCACGGTCGCAAATGCTCGAACCAAAACGAAACAGCCCAATCGTACCACCAAAACCTCCCAAAAACTAAAGCTGTTTCCGGAAGATGGCAATCAGACATTGCTTATGCCTGAAGAGTTTGACGCCGACGTATACAGCCAACTCGCAAAGATCCCACATGGTAGTGCGAAAGTGGAGGCCGAGAAGATCAGCAAAATGAACAAAGACGAGCTTTCGCGAGTTACTGCATACTGCACATCATCGTAAGTCAGCAAACTACTCCCTTGCCTTTTTATTTTGCCTCAGTATGAAACAGCTTATCTTTCGGAAAATGATAGTGCGTACCTTATGGATCAGTTGATCAAGTATCTGAAAGCAAGGAAAAGTACGAACGGATGCGCACCAAAACGCTTTGACGAATGGTAAGAGGACTGCCGATGATATAAATTACTGCTGACTTTTATGCTGGATCACTAAAAGCTATATGCATAAAGCCTGTATACCACTTATGCATCAAATTATCCTTTACTCCCCCCACGTTCCGACGACACTGGGAGTAACATCCAAAGAGAGCAGCCAGTTTTACCCGAAATATTTTTGTTCGACTACGGTGTTGTGGTCTTTTGGGGAATGACTTTGGCAGAGGAGCAGCGGATATTAAAGGATTTGGAGCCATACGAGGAGGCCAAGTTAGGTATGTAAATGTGTGAAGATGGTTTGTTTTTGCTGTTCCTGCGGATATCATATGCTGACACCTATCTACTAGATCTGAACGACATCGAGGTTGAAGAATTTCACTATTACTATGACGAAGGGTGCCAGCCACGGTAGGAAACCTTTGGTGTAATTTTGATGCATTGCTTTGTGATTGACTCCTTTTGTTACATTCATATCAAAGCATTTACAACGATATTATTACGCTGCGGCATCCGTCCAACTATCTAGTCAAGCTAACTATCGCTCACGCGATTGCACAAAGCGTCAAAATGACCCTCTTTGAACGCTTAATCGATGACACAATTAACGAGACCAAGTATATACCGCAAGTGATGGCTGAGAGCGGAAATATTCGCATGTCGAGGTATATAATATGTTTTTAGCGGCTTATCAATAACTCTTACCCTGGGTAAGACGACTCATAGTTTCCTTGTGCATACAGAACGGCTATAACCAAGAAGATTGGTCAATTATTCATTATGCGGATCAACGTGAACCTAGTATCCAATATTCTTGACACACCCGAAATATTCTGGTCTGAGCCTGCTCTCGAACCACTGTACAGTGCAATCAGAGGTTATCTAGAAATATCTCAACGCGTCGAGCTGTTAAACCAGCGAGTTGAGGTTATCAGCGATCTTTTAGAGATGTTGAAAGATCATTTAAATAGTTCTCATGGTAAGCATCAGATACGGTGGAGGGAATATGAGATACATGGATACTAAAACAAGAATGTTTTGGGGTAATAGGTGAACACTTGGAGTGGATCGTTATCTGGCTGATTGCAATGGAAATCGTTGTCGCTGTAATAACCACCTGTCTAGATGCATTCAGCCTTTCGCACGATTAGAATTTTTACTCGTTCCCTGCCCCTATCCTTGGGGATATTGCCTTCAAATAAAAGGCATTTGGTTTACGTGTATCTCGAGCTATATGTATACCGGTTGAATCTTGCTGCATCAATCCATTTAGCGGATCAGCTGAAGTTTATTTCTATATTTTTCTCACCTGCTATCCCGAAGGCTTCTTTTGACATGTCAATTTTTGTAGTAGACTAGCTAATTAGCCAAAGCAGACTCAGTAATGCCTGATTTTTCTTGACTTTACATTAAATGTGTTGCCCGCCAAACCAGCAATGATGGCCCATGAATTTCGTATCATGAGCCTTTATGAATGGGTTCTGATAAAGGGGCTAATGGAGGCGATGGCGCTGAGGCAATGACAAAAAGTGTATCTTCATGACGTTTTTAAGGAGTCGTTGTCAGCAGACCTTATGTCCCCACACCCTATGCCTACCATTTGTGCTATCATGAACGCTACAATTCTTGACAAGCAATTGACGAAGAGGAAGAGCCGCGTCATATCGCTGTATCCGAAGAACTCATGGAAGAGTTTAACCACAGGATCCAATACGAGCATTTGTCCAGGAAAAACATGTGGAATCCATTCCTGGTCGTGAAACACTTGAAGATTTGATCGTGATCGTATTGCAACCGATGCAAGGTTGATGGAGGATTATTTCACCGAGCATCCAGTTTATGCTGAGCATATGTTTTATACTCGGTGTCGAATACATTGTGTTCTGCCTTCATATGTCTTGGAAGGTGTCAAGCAGTATAACAATTACTTTGTGCAGAAACGCGACGCTGCCGAAAAGCTTGGTTTATCGGTGCATCAAAAAATGATATCGGCTATGTGTGACAACTTGCAAAGGGTATACCTGCAGATTCCACAGACGAATATGTACCAATTCGGGCTGCGGCAATTGCTGATTTTAGGGACGTGTACTTGCGCACGCCAACAGAAGAAGGTACCAAGAAGATATTGGCCTTCAACGAGAAATGTGCCTTTCCTGATATGCTCTGATCGGTTACTGGATGGGCTGGAAACGGAAAAATTGTCCTACTGCATAGTATGGACAATATGCTTGGTAAGGAGAAGGCACCAACAGTGGCGTTAGAAGCGGCTAATGCTTACAAGTTGTGAATCTGGCGCATTATACTCGGCTGCCCTGGTACATTGAGCGATATCAATGTGCTCAAGTGATCGAATCTCTTTGCTAGCCTTGCTGGTCAATGGACACCACCGGTCAGTTCCACTGTGAACGACCATAAATATAAATAACCTGGGCTACAACCTTGCCGATATCATCTATTTTCGCTGGGCAGCTTTTGTCAAGTTTGCACAGAAGAAAACAACAGGTATGAAGACTATTATTTTTGCTGGCTTACAGTAGGCATATGTTTTATAAAAAGCTCATATATGTTGGTGGAGTCCACTCGAGTATACTGTAAACATGTATATCTACTGATAAGTTGATAGTAAATATCAAAGCTTAGAAGAGAAGATACTAATGGCAATGGATTGATCGTGATCTCCCCAGATAAATTAAATGTCTTGGAGCAAGTCCAGCGGACTCGCTAAATCACCAATTTTGCTAAATTTAACAGAAAATAATAGCTAGTTGACAGTCCAGCAGACTCGCCAAGATACGTAGTAAAATTAAAGGATAGCTAAAGTTGACAGACTTTGATAGACTCGCTAAAAGATCTTCTTGTGATCTTTCAGTTCTTTCCGTCAACCTTTTTTTCCTTGAGTGAAATGAGCAACAACAACAACACATCTCGCGAGTCCCTTCGCTCGTCTTCGGAAGCCTCGTCCTCCTCCTCCTCACCAACCACCACTATTAACTCTGCTTCTCGTCCCCCTACCACCCGTGGGCGTAACTGGACAGAAGACTAGGACGAAGATTTGTGCGCCTTGTGGCTCAACGTCTCGGTCGATCCCATCGATAGGAGCGACCAGACTGCCTCGCATCTGTGGGCTCGATTCACACTAATTTCGTCTCTCGCCGCCAGGATAGCAACAACGCCGTCGAGCGCAATTCACCCCAAAAGTTTCAAAGTTGTGTGTTTGCTTGGCTCAAATCGAAAGAGTCAATGCCAGTGGCACGAAACCAGATGACCAGGTAATTTTGTAGTAATTAGTATTCTTTAAGTGTGTCTGTTTTTATTGTACGTAATGCTATATAAAGAAAACATCTCCTTACTACCAATATAATCTTATTTTACCGGAAGATTGCGGCAGCCAAGAGCCTGTATTGGCAGTGGCATCAAACTGGAACACTGCTGGAAGGTTCTCCGCTATGTAGAAAAGTGGCGCAACCAGACCGAAAGAAGTACAAGAAGAAGAAGAAGACCTGCTGCCGCCACTACCAATGGCAGTGACGGCGAGGAAAACGACAACGATGGCCATAGCCGACCGATTGGCCGCAAACAGGCTAAGCGCCAGGCCACCGACAACAACCAATGGGAGACGATGTGTGCCGAGTCGTTGGCCATTGAGCGTGAGCAGCTCGCTCTCTCACGAGAACGATCTGCTGCTCTCGCTCAAATGGCTGACAGGAAATTATGGCGACCCCCATGGACGGCATGGACGACCTCGCCTGTGCCTAATTCACGGCTATAAAGGCTCGGATTCTGGCCCGCGTTGTTGGTGAGCAGCAGCAGCAACAACAACAACAACAACAACAGCAAGAAGAACAAGAAGTAGAAGAAAGCGATGAAGAAGAAGAGTTAAGGAGAAGAATAAAGCGATGGTTTTTAGGAAAAGAAGCCGGGGTCGAGGTTTGTAAAACAAAAAAACGAAAGGAACAAAAGAAAAGAGGGAAAAGGAGAGAAAAGTGTGAGGACGGAAGTAAGGCTTATGTATCCCGTTCACCTTCTGTTTGCCAAAGATGCTCCATGATATCATGTCTCGAACGATCGTGCGTGTTTACATCCCTTATTTCTTTGTGACGTCGGATGAAATCTTGCAAGATGAATGTATTTTCTCTTGCTTGATCGAAGACTTCTTGCAAGTATCTCCATTCATGCAATACGCGCGAGATATCCAGATCGTTTTGAACTGTCATGTTATGAAGAATCACACATGTCTTCAGGACCATGGTGAGTTCTTCTAGCTTCCACAATCGAGCTGGTTCCTTAACAATTTTGTAACGAGCTTGAAGGATACTAGAAGCTCGTTCAATGTCCTTTCGTACGGCCTCTTGCATTGTTTGAAAAAGCTACATCGCGAACATTCAAATTAAGAGAAAAAAGCATGATCTCCACAATACTGTTAACTCATTTTCTTTTCATATTGATGCTAATGTCTACATTTTAAATAAACACAAATACTCGTAGATATGCTCCACAGAAAGCAGCCTTAACTAGCCATTGTCCTTCTAGTAATCTATCATTTATCATGAGTAAAAGAACAAGAAAGTTTTTTTCATACCTGTTGTTTTCTTCTATGTGGGTTCGAAAGAGGCCTGACCAGCGTCGCCCAGCAAGGGTAGATTCTATCAGCAAGATAGTACCCCATGTTGTACTCGTGGCCGTTGATGGAAACATTCACTGGTGGGGCACATCCAGCAGCAAGATCGGTGAAGAGGTGCGATCGCTCAAGCACATTGAAGTCATTCAATGTGCCGGGGCACCTAAAAAACACATGCCAGATCCACAAATCATGAGTGGCAGCAGCTTCCAATACCACAGTAGGTGCCTTCTCCTTACCAGAATACTGCCTGTGCCATCTCTAGTGCATGCTGTCCACTGACCTGAGCATGCCTGGAAAGCCACACTTCTCATTGAACGCCACGATCTTACGCCAAAAGCAGCAATAACCGCTGTGTAGAATCGTTTGAGGCATTCGAGGAGCGCCGTCGACTTGGCTGTGCACACATACTCGTCGGTTGCATCTGCTGGGACACCATAAGTGAGTTGTCTCATCACTGAACTTATTTTCTGATACGATGACAGGCCGAGTTTGTGCGCGGCGTCGCGTTTCTGGACGAAATAATCGTCCTGCTGCTTTACTGCATCCACCACGTGCAACAGCAGGTCTCGAT